ATAAGTAATAATCGATTGAATTATTAATCATTAATTAATTTAATCATCCATACCAATTATAAAATCTAATAATTATTTAGATTATTTTAATATTTATAACCTTAAATATATTTCACAACTTAATTGTATAACATATATAATCTAACATCATAATTTAAATATTTTACTATTTCATTTATTTATATAAGGTGAAAATTTTAAGCTATGTTTTATTGATTTAGATAATGTAAATAGAAATTAATTAACAAATATAATTAATATTGTTATAATAATTAGCAGATTTAATATCAAATGGATTACAATATGAAATTTGTAGAATTATTAAAGAAACATGAGAATCATTAAATGATACTTCAAGTGGCTTTGGATGTGATGCTTCAAGAGAAAAATTACAAAAATCAACTGACAAAGTATAGGGATGAATTGAGGAGAGAAGATAAAATTTTAGTGACCAAATGCACTAAAGCCTTAAAAGAATTAGCTATGAGATCATAGTAAGATTAAACAAAAGCTTTAGAGAAAATAAGTAAAATTGACTAATAGATTATGCTTTATCTAAAAGATTAAGTATTACCTATTATTCACTTTGATAGAAAGTTAAATAATTACACTTTTATAAAGTACTACACAGATCCAGGTATAATATTTAATGTTATTATAGAAAATTCAATCAATCCATAAGAAACTATAATTGAAACACAACATAAAGAAAATACAAATTTAGAATCATTTGAGGCTGATTTTTCTAAGTTAGAATGGAAATTGGAAATTACTTTGTCTAGTATTAAGATGAGAAAAGTAATCTTTAATTATGAGTCATAATTAGGTTATTCGACCATTAATTCTTTTAATATTCCATACAAAAAAAGGAGTTAAGAAAACTATGTATTTAGATTACAATCAATTCTAAGAGTTCAGAAAGAATGTTGCCTTAGTTTTAAGATAAATCCATATTATTGAGAGTATATAAAGTAATTTTTGAATTGATTATTTTAATTAATTAATGTTTCAGGAGGTAACAATTCCTTGTGGAAAATATGATTTCAATCCAGAAACAAAGAAAGTAGCTATTGTAAAAGCAAAAGGATTATTAACTTTATGTTTGAATGAAGAAAATGAATTGTAGTTGAAATGGTATAATTTGGATTAAGATAGTAAATTAGAAATTGTATTAATTTATATTAAATAAATAAGGAAAGATTCTTGATTAAAGGATTTACATTTTTTGAAAAAGTTAAAGGTTAAAACAGAGTATATCTTCTTAGATTTACAGATGATGATTAAAAATATTTTTTTTGGATGCAAGTAATCATTAATATAATCTATTTAAAATTAGTCTGAAGATTCAAGTTTGGATGAAAACTATTGTAAACAATTTAACAATGTTATAAATGCTTAAGTATTAGATGATCCTATTGAAATTGAATAATAACCTCCAGTTCAAACTCAAACATAATTACATTCACAACCTGTACAATAATAAATGGATTAATAATAATAATAACTTTTACAATTACTCCAATAATAATTGGCATAGAAAGTTGGTCCAGGACTTTCATTGACTGATCTTCTTAGTAGTGAATTTTTAACATAAATTTCAAATGATTAAGAATATTTTGACGCTTTAAAAGAGTAATTTATATTTTTATTTTAGATATTTACCTTCTGATTAATAAAATCTTGAATAATTTAGACAAAATTTATTGAGTCCTTAATTTAAATAGGCATTAGATTAATTGACTCATGCTTTAAAGGGTAGAGAAAGGAGTTCTGTTATTTAATAATTAGATTTGGATTACAGAGTGTTAGAATAAGAATTTGATGGAGTGATAGCTTTTGTTAAAGCAATTATTAGAAAGGCTTAAAATAAAAATTGATATTATAGAAATTTATAAAAGAATTATTAAATTCTTATTTAAATCATTAAAGATGTTTTCCTAATTGCTATTAAAATTAATACTTTTATTATGATATTTCTTCAATTATAGTTTTGTTTAATTAGAATAATTATTTTTTCTTAATTTTAGATTCAATTAATTTCAACTTCCTACTTTTTATAGTTTATTTAATTTATCATTTTATATGGTTTGTTACAGATTCATTTAATTAAATTATGATTTTATATAAAGATAATCCAAAAATAAATATATATAAATGCATACATCTGAAAAGAGATCAGTTCCTATCTAAAATTTAATTAATTAAAAATCTTTCAAAATTACTGTGTCATCTGTTAAAGGTTTAATAAAAAATAATTGATTTGATTAACCAATTGAAATTCTTTCCAATTATATATTTATTGTATGATAAAATATATTAAGCTATTTCTAAAGATTCTCCTTATAAAAGATCTATTATTATTATTATTCAGAGCATATCTCTTAATAGTATTGATTTAGAGAATGTATGTATAAAAAGTTATTCTAATTTTTTAAATGGAATCATTATAATTAATGTCTGATTTATATAAAATTAATAAAAAAATATCACAAGGTGCATTTGGAACTGTTTATGAAGGCATCAATGTGAAAACTGGAGAAATAGTAGCCATTAAACAATTGTTTTGTAATAAGAAAGTACTAAGAGAAGTTCATTTACATGAAAAGATGAATCATAAAAATGTTATCAAAGTTTACTAATATTAAGTTCTCGATTAATAATGTTCAATCTATATGGAATATTGTTAATATGATTTACACTAATTTATATCAAGCACTCTCTATCCTCTTGATGTTGAAGTAATAAGAAATATTGCATATCAAATTCTATGTGGGATAGAACATATCCATTCACGCTAAGTTGTTCATCGAGATCTCAAACCATCTAATATTATGCTTCATGAGGGAATCATTAAAATTGGAGATTTTGGTTCAGCAGAACATTTGAGTAAATTGGATCAAAATGGATAATATTCAACTGAAGGTTTCTCTAAATGGTATATGGCACCAGAAATGTTATTTGGTAAAAGAGATTATGGAACTGAAGTAGATATTTGGTCATTTGGATGTATTTACGCTGAATTACTTACAGGATTACCATTATTTACTGGAAAAGGTGAAATTGATTAAATCATTCACATAGGTAATGTTTTAGGTTCACCTACTGAAGATAATTGGCCTAAAGTTAAGGAATTACCAGATTAAGGAAAGATTAAGTATTAAATTAATTAATTTTAGCTTTTAACATGTAAGACCCAAGTCATTCTTTGAATATTTTGATTTAGCTGATGATGATTAAATTAATTTTCTTTAATCAACATTAAAATATTAGGACCGTCCTACTGCATCTTAATTATTAAAACACAAATATTTTAATAAGATAAATGAAAACTTCAAAATCAATGCTGAATGTCTTCCTAAAGAATAATATAATCCTTATTATAAATATATTTGAAATATATATATATAAATCAATTATGAACTATTTAAATTTATTGAATTAAATTAATAAAATGCAAAAAATTAAATATAAACACACTCAAAATTAATGAAATTCAATTTAAAGTAAAAAATCATTCTTTTAATTCTTTTTTATAAATTTATTAAATTTGAGAATATTAATTAATTAATATAATTATATTTATTACAATTGTATGAATTTTTCATAAATAACTAAATCTTAAAGTTTGTTAACCAGACTATTAATCTTCTTTTAAACACTAAGCTAAAATATTATTTAATCAGCCTTAATTTCTAAATCACAAAAAAACATTGATACTCAGCAACTATATCAACAATACTAAAGTGGAAGAGAATATTTATTTATATTAGATTTTATTATTAATTGAAAAATGACAAAATTTTGTAACTTAATTTATCAAATTAATTAAATAATATATCTTATATTCATTTAATAGAAAGAATCTATATATTAAATTAAATATTATCAAAAACAGTAACCATTATATGATATATGAATTAACATTTGAATAAATAATAATATTAAAAAATAGATTAAATAAAATAAATAATATTCAAGATCATCATCATATACCGTTAGTTATAAAGATTATCAACAAATAAAAAAATAAAAATTTCATATAGTTAATTATTATTGATAAAAAAGATATAGAAAATAAATAAAGTTATGTTATTATTTTCAAAGAAATATTTAATTTAAAATATAATAATTGATTAAATAAGATATAAAATGATAGGTAAATCAAAATTCTTGACTTTTTTGAGATACCTAATTAGATTATTAATTGAATACCTTAAATTGTTAATCTGATCTTTCAGTTCCTTTTTAACTCTCTTCTTCTGGAATTAAAGGAGTATTAAGCTACACTTGGGATGTCTTAATAATTGTAGTTGCAGTTAAGACTTTTGTTGCTGTATTTTCACCAGAAGAGTATGACTTTTTGATTTCAGCATCATTAAATTTTTCTAATAATTCTTAATTCTTTTTATTTAATTATTCTTATGTTTTCTCATATTATTTTTTTGCAGAAGCTAATTAGATCTATAAATCTTCATTTTCTCTTTTCAAAGCATTAATTTAATCATTTTTTGTACTTAATTAGGCTTACACATCTAATAAATCATGGGATACTTTTGAATAATCTTTAGTTAATTAATCAATTTTTCTATTTAATTCATCTTATTCACTTCTTCTTTTTTTCATTAAATTATCAGTCTATAAAAGTTCTTAATCTTTAAGTTCAATATCTTAATTCAATTTATCTATTTATCTTTCTAATTGTTTTTTTTCAGTACCAAATTTAATTTGTTTTTATTCTAATAAATGTAATTCATCTGTTTATTCATTATACTTTTTTTATAATAATGTATATTCTTCATTTGAAATATAATCTTTATTAAGTTAATTTTTAAGTGATTCAATTTCTTTTGATTTTTCATCTAATAAATCTTCTAATTCTCTTCTTTCTTTAAGAAGTTGATTCTATCTTAATTATAGAGTTTCTAATTCTATTTCTAAGACTCTTATCTTATCTTAAGCAGCATTCTAAAAATAATACATAATTAATTACCAATTCTGCTTAATATTTCAAATCTGATTCCTTCCTCTCATATTCTATTGTTTAATAATATTCCAATTTTGTGTTAGTCTCTTCTACATATTGATTAAATTACTCTCTTAAATCTTCATACTTTTATTATTATTCTTCAACTTCTTTTTCTTTATTTTAACTTTTCTCTTATAAACTTTAAACTTATTCTTACAATGTTTCTCTCATACTTTAATATTCACTTTATCTTTGTTAAGTAGTATCCATAAGTTATTTTAAATTTGTAATTTCTTGAACATATTAATGTTCCCTTCTTCTAAATTCATCTTAACTTTATTATGTAATTAACTCTTATTAACGAACTCTATTATTAGTAGTGTCTAATTCACTAAGATACTATTACAATTCTTATTCTCTTTAATTTATTTATTATTTTAATTGTTATATCTTATTTTCCAATCCAAGTTCTTTCTTTACAAATTAAGCTCTATCACTTTCATTCTATTATTTCTGATCTTCTATTTCCTAATTAATTTACTAATTCTATTCTCTTAATTCTGATATTATTTAATCAAATTACTCAATTTTCTATTTATATACAGTCAATTGAGAGCTGATACTATTTTTTTCATTTTAAAATTATTATAATTGAAATTCTTTTTATTATAATTTTTATTATAATTCTTATCTTTCTTATTCCTTATTGAATTCTTATTATATTTATTAAGTCTCAAAATCATTTAATTTTTGTTTCAATTATTTAATTTATTATTCTAAAAGACTTTTCTCATTTGTTAATTTATTTAGAGATAAATGTTATTCTCTTTAAAGGTTTTCGATTTCACTTTAATATTAATGTATTTCTTAATCTTTAAGTTTTTCTAAATTTTCTAATTTCAATGTCAATCCATCAATTTCTCCTTATTTTTGAGATACATTTAATTTTTATTGATGTACTATTTCATCTTTTTATTTTATAATTAAATCTTATTATTAATTTTAATTTTTTAATTCATTAATTAGATCCTATAATTATTTAATTTCATATTATTATTTTAATTTTTAATTTTTAAGATCATCTTCATATTCAATTAAAAATTACTTTTGAATTTCTTAAGATTAAGATTTTACAAGATCAATTTCAGTTTTAAAATCATTAATAATTTAATTTAATCTCTAAATCTCATTCTATTAATTTTAGTTTTTCTATTAAGTTTCAAATTACAATTATTTAAATTTTTAGAATTCATTTTAATATTCTTATAATTCACTTTCTTTAATTCTCTTATAATGTTCATGATCTTAAACAAAAATTCTTAATTCAGATTCAATGGCTTATTACTTTTATTGTAATTATCGATTCTCTTCATTCTTTAAATTAATCTTTCCTTCAAATTCTATCAATCTTTAATTTAAAGATCTTATTTGAGATTCATAATTCAATTTATCTGCCTAAAATTTAATAGTTACTTCCTTAACTTCCCTCTCTACCTAAGATTTTTTCATATATTCATAATGAGATTTTAATTCATTAAGTGTATTTTAATGATTTTTATCTTATTACATTTATCTATCTCTTTGTGAATCTGATTCTCTCAAAAATTCTAGTTACTATACTTTAATTTCTTCTAAAAATCTTTATAATTTAGCATTCTCATCAAATAATTTATCTTTCTCAATCTTTAAATCATTCAACTTAATATTCTAATAATTTAATTCATTCATTTATTATTCAAATTAATTTAATAATCTATTATATTTTTATTATTCCTATTATAATAAATCATTCAATCTAGCAATATTGTTACCATGTTAAACTTAAATTTCTTTTATCTATAATTCATAATTAATACGAATAGAACTATCAGTAGCTAATTTTAATTCCTCTTAATCCCTTATATTCTTAGTTTAAAGTTCTTTAATATATTATCTTAAATTATCTATTTCTATAATTTTTGAATCATTTGATTATTTTAATATTCCCATATCTTTTTGTTATTGAAACATCTTTTGAATAATTAATATAATCATACTTTAGATTCTAAATCAAAATACTTTTGTTCCAATCTTAATAATTCTTAAGTTGATGCATTAATTTCTTCATTTTTGTTTTATATTAACAATTTATGCTATTATATATTCATTATTTCTGTATGTAACTTTTATTCTAAACATTTAGTTTGTAACTCAAAATCAATAATTATTTAGTTGTATTTTTATTGATCTGAAAATAATTAACTTTATAATTATCCATTCTCTTGACTTAACTTCATTAATCGAACTTCATATGAATCTAACAATTTATGGTTCTCATTCTTTTAGAATTGAGGAGAAATATCTCTTTAGTAATTTGACTTTATTATAGGAGAATACGAAGTTTCAGCTAATAATAATATTATGGAATTATACTTTTTTCATATTTTTGAGATATGCTTGATTTTGCTATGTCATAGGAACTCTTTATCCGTGATCTATTTTCACTTTATAATGATATTGATAATAAATTTACGAAGGAATCGGACTATCTTTTTGACAGAGTTATCTCACTTATTCATCATTTTTAACATGATGTGCAGGTTGATTGTTAGGTACATTCGAATTATCAATCTCTTATTTGTGACGAGATTACTACAAAGGAGCTTAATTAGAAATAGACCATCTATTATTCATTTAACAGAAATATGATTGAAATTTGTTGTTAAATTATTAATTATCTCTCTGCTTATGAAATCAACCACTTAGACAGACTTTCAGTAATCTCTAAACAAAGAATACTATAATATATTGTATAGAAGAACTAGACTAAATATCACTCTCAAGTAATATTGTAGAATAATGCAATTTATATCTATTAATCTATATCTAGATATTTGCATCAAAATAACAAACTTTTATTATAGATTATTTGATTTTCATAAATTATATCTTTGTATGAACTAAAATATAAATTATATTTTATCTTAACTACATAATTTTAAACTTATATAATCATAATTTATTATAAAAGTTGATAATCAATTTATTTTACTCCTAGATATAAAACAAATATTACTATAATATATATAAATCTACATTATTATACTATTCATAATTATATTAAATCTATCAATAAAATAAGAATCAATATATGATTTATACATACTCTATAATAATGAATTATTGTTTATTTATATTTAAATATCACTTTTTTTTCATAATAGATTTAACTTTATTTTTAACAGTGGTTATTGACTATTTATTTTCTGTTTATAGTCTATATATTTCTTAATTATTTTAGTATTATTTTCTTTTATTATGTTATAGATCATCCAACTTGATTTTTTATTATTAAAATGGATAAATTTTCTCGAAATTTTATAAAAGAACTTTAGTAATATCTGTTTTAGTTGATTATGAATTAGTATGATGAAATACTCTTTATTTTAAAGGAGATTTTTTTGGTTATGTTTTTAATTTATTACTTATATTATTTGAATAAACTTGAATTATTTGTTAATTCTTTTTAGCAGGAGATCCATCATTTTGAAAAGTATGTTGATTTGATGATTGTATTGGAAAATGTTTTACATAATTAATTAATTTATCTTAATTATATCCATTTAAATTAATTTAACTAAGACGTAACTATTCAGTATTTAATTATTCAGATGAAATACTTCTAGTGCTAGTAATAAAATGAGTATTGCTTCGTTTTCCTTAAGTATTAATATAATAGTTTTAATCTATTTCATTTTTATTTTTGAAAATATTTTGAATTTTAATTTTATTTTATTGAGATAATTTTAAGATTTTTTGTTTCATTATAGATTTGAATTCACACTCTTCTTGACTACTATTGATGTGTTATTGAGATGAGGATTTTTATGTAGGGTTTATCCTTTCTGGAGATTGATTTTATGAATTTCGAATATTTGATAAAGTTTTTCCTTTTAATAGTTGAATGGGTAGATTTAATTTTATCTTTTCTCTTGAATGATTTTAAACAAGTTTTTTAAGTAATTTAATATTTTATGGTGCATAATTTTTATTTAATTATGGAATCCTTAATTCATATTATTACATAGTCAACCATGTTTCATCAATATTCTATTAAAAATAATCTACAAATTATTTACAATCTAACAATCATTAGTTTAAATCTTAAAAAACTCATTTAAAATAGACTTAGTGGATTGTTCAGTAAATTTTGTTAAACTATTTAAAACTTATATGTCTTAATTCATTTTTTCATATTCTAATGTTTTTATGCGAATATTTTTGTACATGTACTCTAACTAGATTAATCACAAGGTATTCCGAGCATTTTCTTAATTCTTCTATATTCAAATCTTCTATTGAATATTTATTAACAATTTTATATACTTTTTCTTCTCATAAAATGATATAGCTATTTCAGCTAAGACTCCAAAAAACATTCTTGGCAGGTTTTAATGATATTTATAGTAATCTAACAAGGATTTTAATTTTTGGGGCTATTGGTTACTTGGATAGTATCTTTATATAATGAAAAAAAGATATATACCTTTTCAAGTATTCATCATCATCTTGAAAATGCAAATGATCTTTAAACTCAATTATCCACTTGGCTGGTATTTGAGCAAAAAAGTCTTCAAAATTTTTCGACTTTTTTGATGAATATTTAGTGTACAATGCCTGTTCATTGTTTAATTATTGATACACTATTGATTAATTATGGATAAATATGTTTAGCATTTGAAGTTCCATTAATTTTTAAACAATACTGATACTGCCTCTTATTCATAACTGATTATAATAAATTTTGTATAAAATATATTAAAATCAATTACTTCCTTTGACTCTAGTTATTGGCCTTTCCAAAAGAGCATATGTTTAAACTTACCTAGTACCCTAAATAATAGAATAAAATCAATAATACTTTCTCTTCATTTTTGTAACCAGCAGATTATTTTTGACCAAATTCAGTATAATATTTTCCACTGAATCTTTCCATCAACTACATGTCTCTGTAAAAAAGAACAACAGTTTGATTTCCATCATTGCCTGCTTATCTTAGATACCCCTTAAATAGAAATGATAAATTATACTCTATAAATAATATAATCGTCAAGACTAATTGCTATTTCATGTACTCCTCTTGTAGGAGTTTTAGTGTAATTCCAAAAGATAATACAGCCTAGAGCAAAAGGTTGTTCTGAACCAAAATAGAGAGTATTAATTTGAGGATCCTAAGAATGATCAAAGCATCTATTAGTGAATGGAGCTAACCACATATGAGTGTCATTTTAAGTTTCATTAATTCCATCTAAGAGATTTTCCACTACTCTTTTATCTCCTCTCATTGATTAAAGAATTCTAACAGATGATGGTTCTGCTCCTATATTACCTTGAACCTATTTGCCTTTATAATCTAGAATTTCTAAACCATTCAATCCAATATAATGGATATCACCAAAAGTAGTTATCAATTATATCTTTAATTCATATCCAACCATTAAATTATTGATTTCATATTCACATCTTAATTATTTTTATACTTGAATTGTTTCTTCAAAAACATATTCTTTACAAGGTATCGTTATTGTTTAAGCATAATCATAGATTTCACAACCAGGTGCTCTTTTCAATCCAACACAATTAGAAATAATTCCTTAATCACTTTATAAACTGATGAATTTAGCACCTCTAAAAGTATCTTCATAAGATTTATTGTAATTCCAAATTCTAATTGAAGTGATTAATTATGGAATGTCAAATGTAAATGTTAGAGTGACACACATTCCAGGCTAAAAGGGTAAAATATACATATTCATATCATTAGTGGTCACATTAATCCCATTTATGAGACTCATTATATTACCTTTGTCTCCATCATTTTAGTAATCTGATTTAATATTTTTTACTTATATTTTTCCCTCCTTACCTAAATAGATAAATAAATCAATACCATAAATATCTACTCCAGTCAATCCAATATATGGTTGATCTGCCCAAGGTCTTAATAATTTGATTTATAAATATCTACAAATTATACCATTTGAATTTTAATTAACTAATGCTCTTTAAATTTATTATTTTTCTTGTCTCTATTAATTTTACTCTTATTATCTAGCTTATTTAACTAAATCATTATTATTTTATATTACTTTCATTCTAAAGACTAGTAACTTTGGCTGATGTTGTTGGTCTCACTTCTGAATCTGCATTACCTGTATTTGGTCTTTCATTTTAATAATCATGTTATATTGTTTAAAATTCCTAAGTGTTTATCCAATCATTTTTGGCAATTAATGAAATGATATTTTCATCACTTGTAAATAAAAATAATTCAAATGGTTGTTCATTCTAATTAATAACTCTTTATAAATTCATGTTTCCGAAACCCTTCTTTATATCTCCTTTAAATACGATTTGATTATCAAAAAATAAACTTATATCTTTGGCTCCTCTAAAACTATGGATTCTGCTCTTATTATAATTCCATATTCTAATCATACTTATTTTCTTCTTATCAATCAGATCTATTGTAATCTTATTTATTTTCCCTCTTTAAAACGGACTCAACCAAACATGCATATCAGATTAAGTATAATATACACCATCAACTAATTTATCTGGTGTTCTAGGATCATTGAAATATTCTGGTAACACATTAATGTCACTAGGATCAGCCTTAACTTAGTTGTAAGGATCTGAAATCTCAATTTATTTTCCTTATTCATTGAATATTTCTATTCCATTTAAACCTACATAATATTTATCTCCCCAAGTGGAATGTATGTGAATTGTAATTACTCTAACTTATGGAAGATTAGGCAAAGAAACTTACTTCTTAGCCTTTTTTATTGGAACCTAATTAATTAATGGTTAATTAAGCAATTCTTTAATGAGTTATGCATTTTCTTATGTTTATTACCTATAATTATTTCTATTTGGCTATTAGATGATTTGTGAAGGAATCTATTATTAAGATGGGGTTTCCCATTTGGATAATTGGGGTTTTTACTAAATATTATTTGGTCGTTATTAACCTTTGAAGAAAAAGTCTAGAGCATCAATTTCTTCATATTTTGGTAAGGGTGAAGGATCTTCAATGATATCTTATCTTTAAACAGGTTTTAATCTGCCTTATTATGTTATATTAAAATATTGAAGAGTTTCTTCAAGATAATCTTATGTTGGTTATGGATTATCTCTTCTTCTTCTGGGTTCTATAATTTGTTATTAATTTGATTAATTATTATTCTATTATTATGTTTATTCAATCTTTTTATCAGTTTTCCCAGTATCTAATCGTTCCCCTTTGAATATATCTACTACTATGGGTCCTTTGCCTTTTCTTGAAGGAGGAGGTTTAGAATCTTCTAACTTTTCTTATTTTTTTTCAATAATATCTGATTGATCAATTTAACCTCTGAGTTTTTGTGCAAATTTAGATTGTGTATTTTACAAATTTTGGAATTTAAATGTATCAATAATTTAAATTTCAGTTCCATAATCATCAATTTCAAAACCAGTACCTTTTTTAATTTCCACAATTTTAGAAATGACTTTTCCATTTTATCTACATAATATTTCCATATCTCTTACTCCTTTAACACTATCAATCAAACTTTTATTATAGTTATAAACTTTGATTCCTCCAAGTATAACATCATCATCATATGAGATTTCAATATCAATAGTTTTTGGAGGATCAGGCATACTTCCCAACCACATATTAACAGCATCTTTTGTTAAGAATTTCCCATTGATTAAGATTTCTGGTAATTTGAGAGATTAAGCATTACTCATTTTAATGTTATATGGTTTAAGTTACACTTTATTACCATCTATAGTATAGAGTTCTATTTCAGTAAGACCTACTAAACTTGGATTACCCCATGTGGAGAGAATTCTCATTTTTAACTATGAATTCTTATCAATCAATAAATCAGTATTTTTTTCCAATATTATCTAAGCTTTTTCTTCTTTAACAAAATCTTATTACATTTAAATAATGTTATTTATGCTTTTATTTCTTTTCTTGGTTTCAATTTATGGGATTTATAGAGCTGGTTAATTGTTAGTTGATATTTATTGAGGGAGAGGTAATTGAATTTACTCTTTGGGTTTATTTTCAATAATTTATAACTCTTTTTATTATTTTTATTATTTGATAGGCATTTCAAGTGATAGTTTTTGCTAGTTCTATTCATTTGATATTTCAGATCTGTCAGTCTTATCTTCCTAATTAATAGTATTTTTATTCAAAAATAAAATGAGCTTTTATTTCTCATTACTAGAAAGCTTTTCAATTTTTTCAAACAACTCTTCAAGTTGATCCTTTTACTTTTCTTAAGGTTTTTAACTTTGTGAGGTTTGAGGGATTTTGAAAGAAGGATTATCATTTTTGATATCATCTTGTTTAGTTACAGAATTAGCCCTCAATTGAGGTTTAGATGCATATTACTTAATTTCTGGTTTATTCAAAGGAAGAGGTTTAATTTCAGTGGAAGGTTATCTAGCTTATTGAGGTAATTGTTATTAAGATTATGCTTATTCTGAAATGGCACTGATTGGTCTGGGTTTGGTAGCAGGTAAATTGACAACTTGTATAACTTTTTAAGGCTATGATTATTAAACAACTGGTTGGATTTAAGGTTTAGTGTTTTCAAAGTCATCCCTATAGACTTCTTCTTCATAGTCTTCACCTTCAGACTAACACAACTTGGTTATTCAAATTTTTATTTACTTCTTCTTCTTCTTATATTTATTGTTCTTCCAATTCATCATTATCACTATCCAATAGTTGTGAAAAATGAGGGTCATATCTATGATCAATTGGTGTGTCTTTCTGCAATTTTTCAAGCAAATCCTATTAAGATTTGCTGAGCACATTACCTGAATTAATGATGCCCAATACCTTACACTAATGACTTCCTCAAGACCTCTAAATCATCTTGATCAAGAGTGCCTATCTTCTAGGATTGACTCTATTCATCATTCCATTTCTTAACACTCCTAGTTTTCAACTTCAATTGATTTTTGTTCTTCTAATTAACCCTATCCTTGTTGGCCCCTGAGATAAAAGTATCAAACCCTTTCTCCCTTAATTGTTATTATTATTTCTTTTATTATGGTTTCATTTTATGTTCTTATTTATTATTTATAGATTAAATTTTATATGATGTCTAACAAATTACTCAAGAGTGAATTCTTGAAATCATAGATTAAGTACAATCCTCTCTTATCATATAACTTAAATGAAATTAGAAATTATTTCACAAGCTTTTCATCTGCCAAATAACTCTATTACAAATCCATCTATAAGATTTATCTGATCAAACTAATATACTTTACTTTCTAAATCATTGATACCTTAGATTAAGATGTCTTCATTAGATCAGTCCTCTAAAAACAATCATCTATCTATTAGGTTGCGATTCCCCAATCAATGGATAATCACTCTACTTTGATAAATAAGCATACACAACATAAATTCTAGATCCAAATCTATTCAAAATAATCTAATTAATGGTCACTCTCTACTCTTAATCAATGAAACCAAAAATATTTAACAAATTCAATATTCTTGCACTCATACACGAATACTTGTATAAAATCTATTTCAATTTTATTAAATATATCCAACCCACATTTACATATCTAATTGGTAAATAGCTACTCTATTAATTGATAACTTTAAACTTATAGAATTATTGGCCTTGCATTTTCTAAATATTCTCAATATGCTGAAAGCGCTAAATAAATACTTAACTTTATGGCTTTAACATTTATTATGCTGAAAAACTAAAATCAAAAAAATTACAATTAGAAAATCTTATCTTAAGAATTACAGTTTTGTATTCTTACTTAATTTGTTAATTTTTTTTATGAAATTTAATTGAAGGAAGGTTAAAACTTCTGGATAGACCTTGCTAAACCTCTAAAATCTTTAAAAATTCACCTGACATTCCAAAATCAGAATCACTTTTTCATACTTGATGGAATTACCAGTTTAAACTAATGTTCTCAACTAAAAATTACATGATATAAATTTATGATTGTCCCTTAAATCTATATCAAAATATAAAAATCAAGTATGAGTTGTTTAAAAGAGTTTGTTATTTATGTCTATTAATAATAAATGTTTTTGAATATTGATGAGGAGGAATTGAATATAAAAAATAAATTCAAAATATATTGAATTAAGATAAATGAATTATAATGTCAATAATTTAAATAATTGGATTTTCAAAATGTAAATATTGATATTATTTAAATATGATGAGTTTTATTATAATAATTTTGAATATGATGTCTACTTGAATATAAAAAAAAAATAAAAATAAATATTTGAGTTATATTGTTTATAATTAAATATATTAAATAATAAAAATGTCCCAAGAACCTAGAGCATAAACAGTTGGAGCTTTTGATAATAAAGCTAGTTCGATTGTGCCATTATCATAATTAAGAAGAATTCAATAAAATTGTTTTGGTACGTAGGAAAATTTTGGATTAATCTAAAAGATGGAACTGTAATTATATGATTAACTGAGATAGACATGCTAAATCCCAGGAAAGAGTAAAGAGATGGCCCAACACAATTAATGCTTTAAGAAAGAAGAAAGATCAAACTAGATTTGAAAGATTCAAAGCTGATGAAGAGGAGAGAAGGAGACAAGAAGAAGAAGAAGCATTATATTAAGCATAAGTCAAACATGAGATATTGGAGAAAGCTAATCGTTAGATATATGAAGCAAATCCAAGAGTGAGATAATTTCAAAGCAAATTATTGATCACTGATGTTATATAGGAAAGAGATGAGCAAGTGGAATTGAATAAATATAAGAAAACTATCTTGGAGTATATAAGTTATTCAATCTATTCTTAGGATGAAGGAAGAAGCTCATCATGAAGAGGTTTTAGAGAATGTAGCTCGATTATAATAGATAGAGGAAATTAAATAGGAAGAAATGAAGAAAAAGAAAATGGAATAACGAAAAATATTGAAATAGTAGCATGATGAAATGGTTAATAATCATATAAAATAAATATAAAATGATAGAATTGAAGGTTAATTGAATAAGGCTAAGGCAGAATAATTAATAAAAGATGAAGAAGAAGCTGAAAATGAAAGAAAAAGGAAGAGATTAGCTAATATAGAAGAGGTTAAGAGAGGCAATGAGGAATTAAAAGAATAAAAATAACTTTAAAAAATTAAGGAATTAGAGGATGATGAAAGAATAAGAGTTTATGCAGAGAAGAAGGAAAAAATCATGGAAATGAGAAAAAAGAGAGAAGAACTTAAATTTAAAGAAAAATAAGAATAGAGATAAAGATTGATTGATGCATAAATAGCTAAATTAGAATCTATTGAAAATGAACATTAAAGAATACTAAATAAATAGATTTAAGAAGCAGAAATAAAAGCAGAAGAAGTAGAAAGAATAAAAAGAGAAAAACAAATATAATTAAAGAAGAAAATAGATGAAAGTAGAAAGATAACTTCTGAATTTAGAACTAAAGATTCAGAATAAAGAGTAAAAAATGATAAAGAATTTTAAGAATATTGGAAATAAAGAGCTGAAGAATTAAAGAAAATGGAAGATGATGAAAATGAATAAATTAGATAAAGAAGAGTTTAACTTAAAAATTTTTAGCTTTCTTAAATTGAAGAAAAACAAGTATTTTTTATTATTTATAAATTTACAATAGAAATTAAGAGAATAATAGATTCTTTAAGAAATAGATGAAGCTGAAGAAATACTAAGAAAAAAAGAATGTTGTAGCAGAACATTCACATCATGGGCTTAAAGAGCAGTTGAGGAATGGTAAAGTAATGGTAAAAATGTATATCCAATGCTTAAAGAACTTACAGCTAAATAATAATGATGACTATAATAATTTGTTTTATATTATTTATAGTAGATAATATAATGAATAGTATTATTCTTTTATTTTTGCTATTCATTACATATACTTAAGATTAACTTTAACAAGAAGAAGCTATTTAGATTGTAAAGGATATTAAAGATGCAATTAAAAAAAGGTTAGACCTATTATTATTTATATATTAATATAAAATAGAATAATAATTCAATAATTTTCATCACCCAATATTTCCCTTCTTTTTTCTTTAGCTAAACTATTCATAAATTCAACCAAATTACTACTTAAGAACATATTCTTTTGCTTTTCAGAAAATTGTTTAATAATATTATAACAATAATTTTAGAACTAAAATTGATTATAATTTATAAGTACCCCTTGTTATTATAAAAATGCGAAGAATTCCAATAAATTTTCCTTACATTTTAAATGAACATCTGGATGATAAATCAATTATAGCATCTTTTAAAATATTTCATTGGAATTATCCAAAACTTATTATTAAATTGTTTAAAACATAAAGAATTTTTATAAGATTACCTAGGCTAATGAACATAAATCTTCATTTGACAAAGCCAAAAATAAAAGCCTTTTTGTATTCTCAAATATTTTAAGCCAAATTTCACCATCAGATTCCAATAATTATTTATGTAAACATCCATAAATAATTTCTAAATGTTCATGTTTAAAAAATTATAAGTCTTTTTCTTTAACATAAACATCCATAGCTTAGGCAATACCAACACTATTCCAATCAATAGGTGCTCCAGTTATCTTGTATCGAAATGAATTACAACCATTTACAACTTATTAAATTAATGTTTCCTATGTATTTAAAACAGATATTCTGATTTCAGAATCAACTGATAATAGTATCTCTAAATATCTAGGACACAGTTCTGAATACATCTACAAAACAGGAGCAAGGTAAATTAATCCAATTCTAATTACATTTGGAGTTGTTGAAACAACAAATACTTAATAAATTAAATCCAATAATAATTATTTTGATTATTCAAAATCTATTGTGATTTCTTATTCATCCATACTTCTATTTGAATTTTAAGCAATTTATAATAATAAATCAGCACAAATACACATACCTTAAGCTCTAACTTCCCACCATGAATCATTCATTAATCTTTGAATTCTATTGATCTTTTAAAGAACAGGAAAGTAATCCCAACTAGATATCTAATTGATAATTCTTAAACCATTAGCTCTTGTAAGAGGAGAAGGTGAATCTAATGAATTAAATGCATAATTGAGAAAAAATCTATACAATTCTTCATCTTGACTTGGATAGTCAGATTATATTAAAATACTTAATATGAGAGTGAATGCATTAAGATCAGTAGATAATTTGCTTTTAATACTTTTTAGTAATTGTGTTCTATTCACACAATTAATAGGTGTGAATACAAAAAATAGTTAAACAATATCTTCCCTCTTCTTTGGATTTCTTAATGCAATTTACAATAGTTAATCTAATAAAATACTTTCAAACATCATTTATGTATCATTTGGATCTATTTCTACAAGTTTTGAACCTATAAATCTTATTAATTCTAGAATGTATTGATATGTTTTTGATGTAGGTTTCAAAACTTGAATAGGTCTTAGAAATATTTAAAAGAATCTTTTAAAATCTAAATTATCAAATTATGATAATACCTATAAAATTACTCTAAACTTATTCTAGAATTAATTGTGAATGAACATCTATAAATTATGTTAGTAGAAGTTTCAATGACTTTTTTTAAACTTCATCACATCTTAAGAATAGCTATTAGATTACAGCTGTATATTGGACATTTTGATTACTGACTTAATAACCATTATTTTATTAGGATTCTTTAGGTTCAAGTTTTAAATCTTAGATATCTTTTTTAATAGGATCTTTTTTAAATAAGGAAGCACATGCTTCATGTAAGAAATCAATAACACCTTTAGTCTCTAATAATTAACCTTATTATTCTTTTGCTTTTTTGCTAGTACTACTATGATAACAATTAATTTAAATTTCTTTAACATCCTATCCAGTTTATGAAATTGATTAATCTAAATTAACAAGTTTTTTATTAAATTTCATTTATTTTTTTAGTAATTCTTCTTCTTATTTTTTAATTTCTTCTTCAATTTATTTTTTTCTTTTCAGAATAAGATATTCAATGATGTTATCATCTTTTTTATCATTTCTGACTTTTTCAACATGTTCTTCAATAGCTTATTTAGTTAACATTTTCCTTTCATTTTCATCAATAACTCTTGTAATTTCTCTATCTTTTATAATTGTATTTGCAGTAGGTCTTGCATATGTAGGTTAGACACTTAATGGCTTAGTTCTTTACAAAGTTGCTTGTTATTTAACTTGTTTTTTCATGTCTCTATTATCTTTATCAGGATAAATAGTGCCTATTTTCTTTTTAGTTAAGAATTCATAAAGTTTAAAGAGAAATGCTTATGCTGCATCTGGAGCTTAATGAAAAATGGGTTCATATTCTTCTTATGGAACTTGAAGTTCTTTTTTCTTCAATAACTTTGAAATCTATTCCCAATTATCACGCTTTTTATCCAGATTTTATTCATTATATACAGTGTAGATATTAACTTCTTTTGGGTAATACCTTGATAATATTTCAGCCACGATGAAACTACTGTAGGATATGATCATACCCATTAGCCAAATCTCTCCTGAAATTACGAACCTAATAGGCCAAATCTAATGAATCTAACCATTTGGCTACTTCTCTTGGAATAGGTCCTTAAGGTGGTTCAATCATTTTTACAATTAAATTAAATATTAAAATAATTAACAACGAAAAGAGTAAAAATTATATCTGGTAATCATTATCTAGAAAGGATAATCTTTTCTACTCGAGTACTCAATAAATTATTATTTACAAGTAATAGTTTGATACTCTTTGTATTTAGAATGAAATTATAGATTTCTAGAAAATAAAATAAATTAAATATAATACCTTCCTCTTTGAATTATATTTTTTTTAAATTAATCCTTTATAAATTTAATTTCTAGATTTGCAAAAGAGAATACCCATTGATTTCTAAACAACCTTCTAAATTAAGACTATGTAATTTATAAAGATTAGTTGTGATTATTTCTAAAGCTTCATTAGTTACAATATTTTCCTTGATTGAAAATGATTGCAAACTCTCAATCCTCTTCAAAGGACTACACTAAAATTTAATTATCATATTTAATATACTTTAATAAGATCCAATTATGGATTACATCCAATATCCAATCTTTCTAACTTCTTTGAATAATCTCCTATTATTTCAAATACTTAATTAGTTAAACCATCACATTTTAAGAGCATTAAAGTTTTGAGTTCTTATACTTATTATAAGATGATTTTAATATTTTCATCTTTCAAATTACAATTACTTTAGATATTTATTAAACTTAATTATGCACATTTTCCAATAACTTCAAAACCTTTACCAGTCATGAATTGACAACTTATCAATTGTATATATTAGAGTGATTTACTAAAAATTTTAAAATCAAATATTTTACTAGCTTTCTTTGCAAATACTATTCAAATCTTTGTCTGTTAAAAATACTGATGTATATTGTTTTTTTGGTTCTAATTTAAATAATTCTAATAGAGATCCTTATTATTGTGAATTGTCAGATAACATTGTTCTAAGTTCAGTTTTCTCCAAAAATGAACTTATTTTTTAACCTTTAATTATATCTCTAACTTTCTTTATGTGCTTCAATTGTTTACTTGATCTCTTCAACACAGTGGCAAGTTCCTTTTCGTTAAATCTCAAACAATTAAATTGTCAATATTACCTAGAGGTCTCAAATTCCCTAAAGAAACTATAAGAGAAATAGATATCATTATAACAAATCATCCAGAACTTGCAGACTTAAGAACAAGTAGCACATTCTCTCAATTACAAAAATTTGTAAATCTAATACATTAGATTTTTTGGTAGAAATGGCCTTCTTAATAAGTAAAATTATATTACCACTTCTTTTGTTATAAGGAAGATTTCCTAATCCAATTGTCTAAATTATTAGAACATTTCTTTTTAGCATTAAGATTTTCTGTTTTACTTTAAATTTCTTAAGTAGGAGGAGTACAAAATAACATCTACCAAATATAATCTTAAAACCTTACAAAATCATTTAATTTAGTTCTTACAGGTGATTCTTGCTATTCTTTAGCTTTCTTTGAGAAAAACTTGGTTAACTAAGTTTATTTTTGCATAATTTAATTATATATTTTGGAGGTATATTAATTCTTATGCTTCATAAAATAGAAGAAAAACTAAAAGCAAATTCTTCATATTTTTTTGAATGTTTAATATTAATATAAAATTTCATTAAACCCTATTATTAATATTCTATGAGTCATATAATGTTATCTAATATGAAAAATAATTAATTATTCAAATATAATGTTTAGAGATATCATATGGAATTTGAATAATATCAAAGTCTTTATGTAATGGCAAATCATCAGTTGAATTTAAATGGCTAAAAGTTAAACTTTTTATTTTAAAAAAAATTTGAGATACAAAGAATAACATAAGATATTAGATATAATTTAATGTATATGACTGTTTATATTATTATCTCGTCTTAGGTATGATACATTATATTATATAATTAATGGATTAATAAATTTATGGATTAAGAACGAAAACGTCGTTGGATCTAAACTTAGTAATAGAAATTGGAGGATTTAAAATCGAGAAAGTTTATAGGGACTCATCATATGAGAACTGACAATATTAGATTGAGTCGTACAGAAAAATTAATTTAATTGAAATCCCCTACTATTTTGAAACACTAATAAACCTTAGCTATAGATGAATATATTTCAAAGGGGGATTGTAAATTGATCTTTCTGTAATAACAAGGTGAAGATGTGGGATTCAAAACATTCACAGAAATGATGAAAACTAATTCAAGTTGGATTAATAAAGTAGATCAATTAAACCCAAATGAATCCACTCTCAAGAATAGATTGCAATTTAATTATGTTTAAGCAAATACTTTTAAAAGTTCTCTTAATAAAAAATGGAATAGTACTGTCAATGAAGTTACTGAATTATTTCAGAAATAAGAAGAGTTGGTTTAGCTATAAAAAGTGAAGAAAGTGAAATTGAAGGTAAAAACTATTAAGTAAGAGGATGAAGAAGAGGAACAAGTTGAAAATAATGAAAGACCATTTGAAAGTACAAATATCATAAAAGTGTTTTGGTTTAATATACAAATTAGTGAATGGAAACCACCTATAAGAGAAGGATGTACAGTTACTTATATTCCATCTCTTAATAAGGCATATATGTATGGGGGTATAGGAAATGATTTGTTCAAAAATATGATATAATTAAATACTTAAACTTGGACTTGGAAGGATATTGGAATAGGTTTAGGTGAAGCTCCTTTAGAAGGAAGATTTGGACACACAGCTACATTTTACAAATAATAAATAATTATATATGGAGGTGAAAAGAAATATAATAATGCAATGAAAATGAGAGAATGTTATGGAGATGTTAGAATGTTTAATCCTTTAGATAAAATGTGGAATCTTATCAAAACATCAGGAGATTTGATAGAAGGTCGAAGAAATCATATAGCTTAAAGCATAGGAAAATATTTTGTTGTTTATGGAGGGATCAATTCATATGGGAAAATATTGAATGATGTATGTGCATTGAATATGGAGACAAATAAATGGTTTATAATGAATTTATTTCTAGGGCAGTACTTTAAGTAGAAAATCAATTTTAAGATGGAGTTTCAGATGCATCCTCTGTGGCATTATTTGGTGGGGAAGTTAAAATGGAAAATCCATATTTTAGTTATGAATGTAATAAGAAGAAAGGAAGATATCCACAAGTAAATTGTGAAGGAATTTATATTTATGGAGGTAGAATTTAAAATGGAGAAGCATCGAGTGATTTAAGAGTCATTTAATTTGGGTTTAAACCCATAAGAATTATTAAGATAAAAACTAAAGTACTTTAATCTCCTAATGTAAGGGCTGTGCTCCAATAGCAAGATATTCTCATAGTATGAATTATTATCACCAATTTAATTCTTTGATTGTCTATGGAGGTAGAAATGATTCTAAGGAAGGTAATATTCTAAATGATTTATTTGTTTTATAATTGTAATAATTGAATTGGATAATGGTATAATAGATTGGATCATTGAAACATGGTAAGTGTAGTCATTGTAGTATATCAATTGATTCTAAAATCCTCATTTTTGGAGGGTATACCTAAAATGTATATGCAAATGCTGATATACAATTAATAGAATTAGATTAGAATAGAGTGACAAAAATGGCCAAAGAGAATAAAATTAATAATTAGTTAACTATTACAAGTACAGAATTATTAACAAATGCAAATCTCAGATTATTTAAGACTGAATATTTTCATGAAACATAAGAACGTGATCCTATGGATTCTAAGAGAACTTTTGATAATACTGCAAGATTGAGCACTCTACATCTCAAAACTTATATGCCTCTTCCAATAGGGAATAATTCATAATTGATATAAGATTACAAATTATTAAAGGAAAAAACAAGAAACTCTAAAAATAATAATCTATTTTTAAGTCAATGATAATATTAATAAATAATTTTAATACATATATTTATATCTAGAATTGGATCTATATAAATTTTGTATTGTTTTGAAAAATAATGAATTAATTAATATAATGTAAGAGAAACTTATATAATAATATTGTTATAAATACAAAACAAATGAATAAAATTAAAATTTTTTTCATTTTTATCTAATTATAATTTATATTTATTTTTTTTATGTCTCTAAAATATTCAGATCTCTATGAAGAATTAGAGACCATAGGAAGTGGAAGTTATGGTATATTGATATCCCATTATATATAGGATCTGCATATTTGGTCAAGAATAAAAAAACTGGTCAATTGTCTGTGGCTAAAAAGGTTCATTTGGGCAAACTATCAGAAAAAGAGAAAATAAGTGCCTTGAGAGAAGCAGAACTATTAAAAAGTTTAGATCATCCCAACATAGTCTAATATATGGGGAGTTTTGCAGATAGTAGTTAATTAATTATATTAATGGAATATTGCGAAGGTAAATTATATAATCTTATATACAACTTTAGAAGGAGACTTACAATATCATATAAAAAAAAGAAAGTAAGGTAAATAAATACAATACTTTCCTGAAAAAATGATTTTGAATTGGTTTATCTAATAATTATTTGCTCTATAATTTATCCATTCAAAAAAGATATTACATAGAGATATTAAAACAAGCAATATATTTCTTACTTCAAATGGAACAGGTATTAAATTATATTATTATTCTTAGTTAAACTTGGAGATTTTGGTGTTTCTAAAGTATTAGAAAGTACTATAGATTAAGCATCAACTGTTGCTGGTACTCCTTATTATATGAGGTATTTAAGTTTTTCTGATAATAGTCCAGAAGTCTGTGAAAATAAACCCTATACTTTTAAATCAGATGTTTGGGCTCTTGGATGTGTTTTACATGAATTATGCACTTTCAAACATGCATTTGATGCTAAGAATATATTAAGTTTAGTAACTAAAATTTTAAATGGTCAAACTGAAACTTTGCCTTCTCATTATTCAAAAGACTTACAATAATTAATTCATAGACTTCTTACAAAATAAGTTTAATCACGACCTCTTGTTGCTGAAATTATTAATATGCCTTTTATTCAATCTGTCATGCAAGATTTTATTAGAAGTGGAGGAAAATAAAACTTTTGTTCAGTTGTTGGAGTTAAAAAAATTAAATAACATGAAATTTAAGCACATAATTAACATTAAATTTAATAAAATTAGATAAGTCAATCTAAATAGGATTAAGAATCTTATGAACATTCTATTAAAGATGAAATAAATAAAGAAAAGGATGATGAAATTATTAATTAGACTGTAATATCTTAATAATTAACTAAAAGTAAGACTTTTAAAAATAAATAGAGTAGATTGATAATGCGAGTAGATATACTATAGGTGAAACAATTATGAGTTAAGCATCATAATTTTTAGAGCCAGAACCAAAATAAATATCTCCAAAATCTATTTTAAGATTAAAGAAAGAATAAGAAACCTAATAAAAAATAGAAATGTTATTAAAAGCAGCTTAAAATATTAGTCAATAAAATTAAAAGTAAGCTGAATTAAGAAAGATTTAAAATCTTTATGGAACCTAATCATAATTTTATCAATAGAAATAGTAAGAAATATAATAAACTACAACATAATAATAATTTTATTAAAAATAGTAACAAATAGAATCACCATTACAGAAAAGTTCAGTTTAATAACAACAATAATAATAATAGATTAAATAATAATAATAATAATAATAATAATAATAATAATAATAATAATAATAATAATAATAATAATAATAATAATAATAATAATAAATTTAAAATCCTAATTTTGATCAGAGTCTATAATCCTCTTCTAAATTTAAACCTATTGATGAATAAGTTATGAAGAAAAGTTTATTAAGTTTAAAGTAAAAATAAGCTTAGAAAAGAGAATAATCTTCAAAAAATTAAACAATGGATCATTAGTATGATGAATATCCAGAAGATTTTGAATATTATGATGATTTTGAAGATTATGATTCGGATAATGAATTTTAAAATGAAACAGTTATTAATGAAGAAATTTTAGGTGATGAAATGGATGGTACTAGATTGACTCAAAGATAATCTGATTAAGATTTATAAAATGTAGTTGAAGTATACAAAAATGAATTAGCAAAAGCTAAAAGTGGTAATGATACTTTAGCAGGTAAATAATTAATTTAATTATTATATAGAAATATAAGAAGAACCTGAATCTTCGTATTCTTCTAGTTTTTATAAGACTGATGAGAAATTTAAACCAAAAATTTCAATGATAGAAAACCTAAAAAAGAGTATTTTGCAATAGATCCCTTAAGATTTATTTAATTTTGCTTACAATAGAATTTTAAAAGCAATTGAGAATAAACAAAGTTCTTAAGAAGTACTATTTATTATTAAAATTATTCGGTAGATGTACAAAGACTTAAAATAGATTTTGGGGAAAAAGTATTCGGGAGCTGGATTTTAAATAGAATAATTGATATATCAGGAACAATTATATAAACACTTTCAAAACTGAGTTTTTCATTTATAACATTTATAAATATTCGTAAAATATAGTATAATTTTGATAATTATCATAATAAAGTAGTTATTAGTTTAAGTAGACTCTAAATATATTGAGTACAAGATAATTAGAGAAAGCAAAGCTAAGATGTTTAGAAGATAAAAAGTGTATAGTTTTGTTTTGATAGAAATGTTATTCACTTAATTAAAAAGTCTCCTAATGAATACATTAGGAAAAACTAAAGAAGTCATTAAAACAAAAAATAATCTCTATAATATAGAGAATAAGAAGATTAAGAATTATTATCATAAGAAGAAGAAGACACTCAAGATTTCTCTGAATTGGAAGAGAATCAATAATATATTAGTATAATAGAATGGAAAAAAATACAAGAGGACATTTCTAAAAAAAGGAATGGAAATAATTTGATTGTTTCTTAAAAGTCATAACATTAAAATGATTTTTTAAAATTAGAAAAAGTTCCACTTAAATCATGTTTAAAGAAATTAAAGAAAGATATCTATGTATAATATGAAGAATTGTTTGGAAAGTTATATGAAGACTAATTATAAACATAAATTTCATCAGAAAAATTAAAACTTAATTAACAATAAATCAAATAATGCATAATTGTTACTGAATTCAATAATATTATGAATGATGATGATGATGAAGTAATTATAATGATTAAATCTTTAGATATCCATAACTTTAGATGAATTGGATGATTAAATTTATGAACATAAAAGTTAATAGAAAAATGAAAAGTTTGATATATCAAAATTTGATAACATAAAGAAAAGAATTGAAATTAATTAGAGAATCTAATCATTATGAATTTCACAATAATTAATGAAATATATATATTATCATTCATTGATTATATTTTTAATAATTAAAATAATAATAATAATGAATTAAGTAAATTAAGTCCTTCAAAAACCTTAAATGTACTATTATATTATTTTCTTAGTGATAAAAAGATCTTTGATACTACAAGTTATGCACTTCCAAAAAGTGATTAAATTATGACTAGATTATAAGAAAATTTCTCAAAATTTGGTGCTACTTATTCTTAATTCACAATTGCTATTGTTGTTTTAGGAGGATTAACAAATTTTTCATTCTTAATTAGTGTAGGATTGAGCATTGCATTGTACAAAATTCTATATTATTATTAGTTGGTATGCTGCTTTGAAAAATGATGAAGTATTAGATTATATTCCCAATTTTGGTTATCTAACAACTGATAAAAAAAAGGTTCTATTGTTTTTATGTAATATTCTTACATAATTTAGTGAATGTTCTTGTTTTGTATATTTTTTGTGGAGATTCCATATTCACTTATATAGGGGTTGGGTAAGAATATAATATTGAACTAGTTTCCTTATATCATTTCTACACTCATTTTTGTTTGTATCACCATCTACAGGAGCATTAATTGATGGCTAATCTCATCAACAAACAAATTAGGATCTATCCTAATATGCTAATTTCAGTAATAATAACAATATTGAATTATAATATAAATGATGAATATTAAATGATGTTAATCTATATAATTTTTCTAAATTTTTAAAACTATTTAAGTAAGGAACATATAATAAAATACAATCATAATATATTTATTTAAAACTTTTATCTATATAAGAATATAAAAAAATGAATTACTTTATCATTTTTTAAATAATACAATTACAATTAAAATTTCCTTTATTTTCTAAATTTCATTTGATCTTCTAATTATTCTCTATATGATAAATTGATTTATATACACATAATGAAATATTATAAAAAGGAAACAAGAAAGATAATATTAGATATAAATAAATATATTTTTAATAAATGGGAAAAGGAAGTTCAGGGATTAAAAAATAAAAAAAAAGTAAAATGGGAGGAGAAGATTAGAACTACGGAAAAGTTGTAATTTGTCTTCATTTTATTTTAGGGAAGACCAAAAAAGAAGAAAGAAAATAATGAGGCAACTTAAGAGGTTGATAAAAGATAATGGTTTAATGTATATCGAGCTTTACAAATGCTTACACTTATATGTGAAAAAGGAAGCTTAGCTTTAAGGTACAAGACTGGATAAAAGAGTAATACAATGGAGGAGTCAACAAAAACAAAGAAAAGTGAGGAAACAAGAAAGTTGAAGGTAGTGGATAATATTCTATTAGTAATAAGCAAAAACTTAAGGATTTGAAGAAACATTGCAATTATGAAGAAAGAAAATTGTATCTCCTTATAGATAATAACACTGAAAATGTTTAAATTGAATTACCAAATGCTGATAATGATGGAATCATTGAAGACATGGATAAAATATATAAATATCTTGATAAAGAGTTTTAAGTGTCATTTCTTTTGATTTTATAATAATACCTAGAGTAATAAGAATAAGATTCTTTGATATTGGCAAGAGAAATAGTTTAAAAAATGATGGAATAGAAAGAATAGCATAAGATGCTTTTGAATTTAGCATTAATTAAGACAAATATAGAAGAAGATTTAGAATATGTGTTATAATTGGTATGAGATTAATAAAATATGAAGGCTAATACTACTACTGGAGTATAATCATAATATGAAGTGAATGAGAAGTGGATTAGTGAAGAAAATAAAATAGTGGAATGGTTGGTTGCATTTATAGATAAGATTATTGCTATATTCAAGACAGATAGATAATGAAATTAACAATCCCTAATTATAATTATTTTGAATTTATATGACAACAAATATTTAAGTGATTTGTCGGTTTAGACCATCCATTGCTGGTTAAGTTGAAAGCTAGATTTATTTTGCTGATGATAAGAGTGTTCTAATAGAAAATCAATAATTTAACTTTGATCATATCTTTCATCCTGGAAGATAAATAGAAGTATTTTAGGTAGCTGCAGAACCTGTAATTAAAGGTGTGTTAGAGGGATTTAACGGAACTGTTGTAGCTTATGGATAAACAGGATCTGGAAAAACACATACAATGGAAGGCTCAATTGGAGAAGAATAAGGAATCATAAAAAGAATGGTTAATACAGTTTTTGATTATATTGAAGCAAGTCCAGATTATATTGAATACAGAATTAAAATATCTGTAGCTGAATTATATATGGAAAAAGTGAGAGATTTATAGAACATCAAGAAGAGTGATTTAAAAATAAGAGAGGACAAGAATCATTCTACATATATAGATGGAGTAACTGAAACATCTATTGCTGATTAATCTGAAATTTATGATATTCTAAAGATGTGTAATTCTAATAGGATGATTGCCAGTACAAATATGAATGAATAATCATCTCGTTCCCATATGATATTTTTAATGACAGTTTAATCAATTGATTTAAGAGATTAATCTGCTAAAACTGGTAAACTCTTTTTAGTTGATTTGGCGGGAAGTGAGAAAGTATCTAAAACAGGAGCTGAAGGAAAAATCTTAGATGAAGCTAAAGGTATTAATAAATCATTATCTGCTTTGGGTTAAGTTATTAATGCATTAACAGATGGTAGTTAACATGTACCATATAGAGATTCTAAATTAACAAGAATATTATAATGTTCTTTTGGTGGTAATAGTAGAACAACATTAATTATTACTTGTTCTCCTGCTTAATTTAATTTATAAGAAACTCTATCTACTTTAAGATTTGGTGTTCGTGCTAAAGCTATTAAGAATAAACCAAAAATTAATAAGGAACATACAGTTGAAGAGCTTAAAATTATAGTTTAAGAGAAAGAGAAAGAAATCTTATTATTATAAGAATAATTATCTTAATATAAAATGGGAATGGTAATTAGTGAAGAAGATAAGGAGATGATTAAGGAAATTTAAGAAGATATTCTACTTGAATAACCAAATAGTAATGAATAATTATTCAATATGTAATAAATAATTACAAAATATGAATAAGAAATAGAAATTTATAAATAGTAGGAGTTTACATTTTAATAAAGAGAATTAGAATTTATAAATAAGATAAGATAAAAAGAAGATGAAATGCAAGAAAGTTTAAATATTATCCTAATATATTATTTTAGAAATGTAAGATTTTGAAACTCAGTATGCTAAACAGGAAAGTGAATTTAAAATAAAATAAACTCATTTGTATAGACTTTTATCTTAAAAATTGGGTTAGATAGGAGATGATTCTTATATTGATGATGAATAAATATCAATTTTAATAGAGAATTATGCTAAAGAAAAGGTTACTTCTAAATTAAAATAAATTACATATTTATATAAGAAACATCATAAGGATAATTTAAATGATTAAATGTTAATGTATTTAACAGAAGATAAGAAAGAATTTAATATTCATAGTAATAAAATTAATAATAAAAATATTAGATGATTAATTAGCTGAATTACATAGATAAGTTGCATTATTAAAAAAATAGAATCTTGAATTACAAACAGATTCTAGTACTTAATCTTAATTGTTAGAAACATTAGAAAAAACATAATAATTATTAGATTCTGAAAAAGTAAGATGTTAAAGATTAGAATATACATTAAATAAAAGTATTTAATATATTTAATTAAAGATAATAAAATATATAATGAAAAATGTAAAGAGTTAAATAATAATATAGAAAAAATGTTATCTGGAGTTCATTAAGTAATTAATGAAAAATAAAAATATTATAGAGATTGTCAAAAATTAAAAAAGATATGTGATGAAAAGAATTTAAAAATACAAGTATTAATATTATATAAATATTTTATATAGAAATTATTAGATGAAATTAATAGACTTAGTGTAGAAAATTAGAAATTATTCGTTAAATATGATTAATTAAAAGAATTATAAAAGTTAGAAAAAAGTTCATATCTTGATACTTCAGAAGTGAACTCTTCATTTCGATAAAATAAGAAAATTCATAAATGTATAAAAGGAGGCACTAAAAATTAAATTACAGAATAAGTAATAAATAAGGAAAATATTTCTGATGAAGAATAATGAATTATCAAAATTTATCACTCATTATATATTCAATAGCACTTAATACATTAGAAAATTAAGCTGATTCTCTACCTTAATTATATGTCATTTCAGCACCTAAAAACATTTCTATAAAATTTAATTAACACACCCATTTTTCAGATTAAATCTTGAAAATACAAAATGTCAATATTCCTATTTAACTATTTTAAAATATAATAATACTTATCTAATTCAAGTAAAATTTATGAATTACCTTCTTTTTTTATGTCTTTTATCATTGATTATTCTAATTTAGAAAATAAATCAAATTTATCACAAGGATTCTCAATTTATAAAATTGCTTATAATTGATTTATTGTATTTTAATAATCTGAATAATATTATTCAGGTACTTTTAATTCAGCCAATGAAATATTTTTATAATTATGTAGTTTCTTTTTGAATATTAAGGTTTTATCAAAACTATAAATTTCAAAAGTATCTACTATAATTTTCTTTATATTTTAATTCTAAAAGATCATTTTTATTAATAATTATTTAAACTTTTCTCTATTTTAAACCTCATATATTAATCTTAACATCTATTCCAAATATTCAATGAAGTATTTAATATCATCACAAAGTGAAGAATAAACAAAATCTTTTGATTATATTAATCTAACTAAATATTCCTTTTCTTTTTAATTTTAAAATATTGAATATTTCTCACTAAATATTTCACTCCATATATTCATCAAATCTTTAATAAGATGGTGATCTGCAATCTACTTATAAATTAACTCTTCTTTTAGATTGTTAACTTAAGGAATCAAAAATTATGCTGCTTAAGCTTTTTATAGAAAGAGGATTCCTTACTATGATTTAGATAAACAGAAATTGCTAACTATTAGGCATATTTCTATGGATCCATATTGAGTAAGAATTTCTTAAGATCTTCCTTATATGATTATAGATGATCTTAATGAACTGCTTAATCTAAAACTTCAATTGCATTTTTCCGTATTATTTCTGGTTTATATTCTTTAAAACTTTGATTCTTTAATTGTTTGCTCTTATTCAAACAATGTTCATTCCAAAGTTCTAGAATAGATTTTTGCTTTTATTAATTACCCATATATATATATAAAAATAAAATCATTTCTTTTTTGATCGAATATCTATCAGACTCTAAATCAATTTTCAAAAATATACTTTATAATTTTGAATATCTTTCTCTATTTCAATCAATTCATTTTTCAAATCCTAATTTTGTCTAATAAGATCAATCATTGTATGATAAGTTTAAATTGGAGTTTAATTGTTAACAATTGCCTTTTGTGAGCCTTACTAATCCAATTTTTAAGGTATTTTATTTTTGACTTACGTAGGAGGTTTTGGAATAGAAAGTTATTTCTTGATCTTTTAGATTGCTTATTGTGGCTAACTATCAACAGGAACTCGATTTTGTAATAGAAACAGCTGCTAATAAGGACTCTGCATCTAGTATAAGGTATTGAAAGAGATCTACTTATGCAGGAGATTAAAACAGTGTAAACATTTTTTGAGCATGAGGGGTCTCGTAATTCATATTTTAATAATATATCAACTCTTTATTTCTGGTCTAACAACTGTTTCTGGCTTAAAATACTAGGTAGATAAATTGCATCCCAAAGATGCCAATTATCCAATGATCATTCTACAGATAGCAGGAAGTGAGACATGTTTTAAGTGGGGATCCATTTCTTGTTTCACTTTGGCTAATTGAATACATAATTATATATATATATTACCTATTTCATAAACTTATTACAAAGAGATGGTATCATACCATATATAACCAGGGAAATTTGTGAATTTATCAGTACCTACGAGTAAGATTATTAGATTCAATCATACCAGTGGCCTTTCTAAGAAACCAAGTAGTTTCAGGTGGTTTGATAAGGAATTTGAATGTTCTATCTGGAAAGGCAATAACCTAAACTCTTAGTGGAACATCTGGTCTAAAGGCTTAACTTGCAGCATTGAATTCCTTGCAAAATTGCATCATATTGATTCCCAAAGGACCCAATGATTGACCCATTTTAGGACTTGGTTTAGCAACACCAGCATAGAGTCTAAGCATTATTTTGGCTCTGTAATCTTTTGGAAGTGTCTGTAATTTTTTCTTGATCAAATTCATTTTATTTATTAAAATGTTTGGGACTCAATTTGATTACTTAAAACTAAAACCAAGAACAGTAGAAGAAATACATCATGAAGATGGTTATGTAAAAGAAGGAATTGAAAGAACAGCAACAAGAAGAATCTTTTTATCAGTTGAATATGATCATTTTGAAAAGAAATAAATTTAATAATTCAAAGATATCATTAGAGGTGCTAATATAAGTGTTAGTTCTGATGATGTATTATTAAGATTTCTTTATGCAGGATATTTCAATATGACTAATTGTTTAGAAGTATTTTAAATTCCATCTCAAATAGCTATATAAACGACATATATATTGGTTGAATACTAGTCGTCTCTCTACTATACCAGATAAAGTACTCTTATGTTTAAGAGAAGGATTAGTGTATATAGGAGGCAAAGATTATTAATATCGTCCAATTATAGTTATTAATTTACATATGATGGATCTATATCTATTCGATTCAGATGCATTTATACATGCTCTATCTATTTTATTTGTTATTTGTGAAGATTATATGTTCTATCCAGGAAAAGTTGAAAATATTGTTGTAATTGTTGAAACTGATTAAATGAGTCTTTACAATTTTCCTTAAAAAACATTTCAAGTAATTTTATGGATGATGAGTTAAAACTTTCCATAAATATTAGATCGTCTTTATCTATTTAATCCATCTAAAGAATTACTAATGAATTGGGATAATTATCATTAAATGTTAGATAGTAGAACATTCAAAAAAATTGAAATTTGGGAATCTAAATCATTCGCTCCTCTTGCTCATGGTTTTCATCCTGACATGTTGGAACGTAGATTTGGAGGAGGGATGCCTAATCTTCAATAATATTGGTTACCTACTCAAATTATCTAATAACCTAGTAGCATTTCATATAAAGTTCAAAAACCCATATATAATCAAGGAACTATTTAATATTCTCTTTATAATGATCCTAAGGAACTATTAGATCGATTACAACAAAGAGATGCAGAAGATAGATCATAAGAAGCTACACTCAAAAGTGAACCTTAATCTAGTGTTGCTTCTGGAAAATTAAAAGTCATTGATTTTCATTAAACTATGGGTAATGCTTTTAAAATTTAAAATAATGGCCAAGATTAATAAGATCTAAGTTAAACTAATTTCTCTGGAGAATTCTATTAATAATAAAATAATTAAATTCAATAATCTTCATAATAATAATAATTCATGAATCCTGGATTTTAGGGATCAGCAATTCCAGATTAATAATTTAAATAAAATAGTAAAGCCAATTCTGTAACCTCATCTCAAAGAATTAAAGATCAATATATAGCATAATAATTAATGGGTTCCTCTTAAAAACCCATTAGTGGTATCTAACAAACTATTAGACCAAATACTATGCCTGTACCTTAATTGGGAGCTCCTGCTCAATCCGAAAGAATTTATGAATCTATGGATGAAAAATTAAATGATTCATAGAGACCATCTAGTAATAATGTTTAAGCATGTTTAATAATGTGATGATTATAAATTCATAATATTTATATTTCTTATATCAAGGTATTTTTATGGTACTTGATTGAGATTCATATAAATATGTATAGTTCTCTTTTAGATCATTAAAAGCAAAATATGATTATTTGTTAAGTAAATTAGATTAAATATATTTAAGAGAAAGATTGCAAATATGATGGACATATATTTATTATTGAATTCATTTTATATCCCCAAAATTTTAATCTTTCTCATCGCCACTAGAATCAAATTCCTCCATAACTTCTAAGTCTGATGGATTCTCTTCTTCTGACCAATCTTCGGAATCACTGAATTCTTATAACCCTTACATTCCAGGAATTTAACTTAGAGGATGAATTCTCAAAAATGTACATCTCCAAACTACATTATATCGAAGGTTTCTAATAATATTCACAAATTTCATTAATAAATTTAATGAATTAAAAGTATCAAAACATATTATGAATATTGATCAAAAAAATACCATATTACATTAAATATCATGTTTATGACCATCAAATATTTATAGTTTATTATGTTTAATCTATATGAATAGAATATATAACTATTTATTCTTTAATATAAAATTGAAAATAAATAAGAGCTTTGAATATTCACTCAATTTCTATTATATTAATATCAATATTTGAAAATTTCAAATAATAGTTATCATTAAATTAACTCATCTGTAAATATGCATAGAAATAAGGTATTATATTATATTATATTATATTTAAAGAACCTCAATTTCTATAGAGATACAAATAATTTACTTTATTTGATTAAATAATATGATAAATTCGAAAGTATTGGATAAGGTAATTATGATCAAATTAAATAAAATAATAATTATCACATCAAAAAGTTGATATAATTTTATTATTCGTATTTTTATCTCATAAAGATAAATAGAGAACAAATTAATAAATATTAATATTCTCAATCATAATTTTAATTCATTTAATTTGAACATATTCATAAATAATTAAGTGATTTATCTATAAATTAGTATAAAAATCAACATTATGTAAATTAAATCATTTATATTTCTTTTCTCTCAATTTTTAGTTTTATGACTATATTCTTAAGAAACCAACAAATCAAGCATTTTACAGAAAAAATAAATTGTCATTTTCACATTTTCAACATCTGTTGATGTAATTTGGAAAAGCTAATTTTCAATTTTAAATATATTCTTATAATAGTAATAAAGTAATAAATAAATAGATGTAAATAGCAGACACAATTACTGATTACTTAATTTGGAAGTACATAATTCTAATGAAATGTGTATTTGATATTATTTAGTTAATATAATGATATTCAAGTTTAAAAAATTCATTTATCAGGTCTTATCATTTTTTTAATAGTTTTTTTAATGTAATGGAACATTTTTAGCAATGTCATTCATTTCTTTTTAGAATTTGGAAAAAACATTATTTTTGATTCCTTATTAAGAAGGTATTGCTTAAAAAGTAACAAAATTGGAGAATTATTATTCAGAAGGAAGAGTTTGAAAAGAAAATTATTATCCTGTTGATAACTGAGAACTTTTTTAATGTTCTTTAAACACTCCAAACTAAGGTTATTTTTATGGTTAATAGTCTTCATCAGAATCAGATAGAGAAATCATTTATTGTGGTGCATCAAATAGTGAGCCTAATTTAGATTATTAAGGAGGGGTATTATCAATTTCTAATGTTTCTATTCTCTCTACATGTTTGCAACATTATCCATTTCCCATTTATTTAATATAAATTAATAAATAGCCAAAATATCATTATTATTCTTAAGAAATATTAAAAAATTAACACTATATACATTAATAAATTATTAAAGTAGTCGTAAAAATAATATTTGAATTAGGGAGAAAGTTAAAATCAAAAATTTGAATTAAAATTTTTGAAGGATTTGCTTAATTAGAATTAATGAATAATATTAAGTATATTTTTAAAAAGTAAAGTATATTGATTATGATTTTGATTTAGTTTAGAATAAATTAAATTAAGAAATTAAACAATAATTCAAAAAATTTATAGGATCTATTTAAGAATATAATATATGAAATGAAATAGAAATTTAAGAACTTAAAGGTTCATTCTAAATATTTTTCTAAATCTGAAAGGTCCCTTGATTATTATTGATATGACTTTAAAATACTTTTTCTTTCCAATTATTTAACATATTCTTTTAGATTCTCTTCTTATTCTTATTATTACATTCTATAGCTATTTAAACATTACTGGGCTTCCTTGAAATACTTTGAACATTTATTAGCATATTCAACATTTAATGGTAAGTCTAATTATAATAGATTAATAAATTTGGAGATTTTATCTAATGTTTCTACTTGTCTAGTAGTATTATGATTTCCATCACATAATTCAAGTCTTTTATAAGATTTACAATTTTCATAGAGCATTTATGAATGTCTTGGATGAACTAATTAATCAGTTTTTCCAGCAAGAAAATAAAATCGTTTAGTATTACTTTAAATACCAATACAATTAAGAGGAGATACTTAATCAATATCAAATTATGCTTCATTTATTATTTTGCTTCTAAGAAATGGCATAAAACCGTTGATCATAAATGAAAAGCATCCAAATTTTTGTTAACCTAATTCCTCTATAACAGTTCTTAATTAAGTAAATGCACTATCAGCAATATAAGTAGTAATTCTAGGATCTTGAGATAACATGAGTGCAGTCACAGCTCCCATACTTCTTCCCCATAAAATAAATTCATCAACCTTACCAAAGCGACATTCTATATAGTTCATTAATTCTTTAACATCTTCACTTTCATAAGTTCCCATAGTTATATATTTTCCTTCTGATAAACCACATCCAGCAAAATCAAAAATGCATAAATTAACTCCAGTAGCTAATAATCTATCTACATACTATAATCCTTCTAATCTACAACTAGCATTGCAATGTAAATATATTAAACAACGATGATGAACAGATTCTTATACAAAATAACTAGCTTGAAGTTTTAGTTATCTTGATGTAAATTCAAAATCTTCTCTAATTATTGGAACACTTTATATAAAACGTGTTTTAGGACCTTTCATAGTAAATCCATACCTAAAAGTTATATTGAATAAGTTCTTCTTGGTGGTCTAATTATCTATTTACAATAATCACTTATGAATGACATTAATATTAATGCATTAAATTGTTGTTAAAGCACTTATTAGAGAATTCCTCTTAAAATCAGGACTTACTGAAACATTAAATACCTTTGACAAAGAATACAAAGATAAGACAACTATAACAAAGATGGATGTAATTTTGTAACTTGGTCTTTCAAAAGTTGTAAAACGAAACAATTTATCATTGAAACCTTTAAAGAGTTTATTAGAAATCTTGGTTTCTCATCTTCTTAATAAAAAAGCATAATTGGAAGCATTAACAATAGCCTCAAAAGCTGAAAGGATTGAAGACATACCTTAAGATATTCCATATGATCCTAGTGTAGGTGCATCTCGTATGAATAAAATGAAGAAAAGACCTTAATCAGAATACAAACCTAAAAACTTAGATTTATCAAAAGAAGAAGAAGTAGTAATAGAATAAAAGGAGGATAAGAAAGATGAAACATTTTCATCAAATAAAGGAACATTTGAAATATCAAGAAAATCTTCTACTAAATAAGTCCGATTATAAGACTATTAAGAAGATAAAATTGATGATCAATCAAATTAAGATAAGAAAGAATTACCTAATTTATTATTAAGTCAACCACCTAAATTAATTAATATGAAAAAATAATCAGAAAAAAAGGAAGCTGATTAAGTAATACTCAAAGATTAATAGGATAATAATTAAGATAATTAAACTATGAATATTAAAGTAGAATATTAAAAGTGCAATATTAAATAACATAATGTACAACTTCCAATTTCAAATTTGAATTATGATAAATCAATAGGATTTAATTAAGGGAAAAGAAGACCTTAATAAAAAACTATAACATAACCTATTAAAAAACTATTATTTTAAGGCACTATGACAGGATTACCTAAAAGTTGGTCATAACCATTTATTTTTAAAGATGAACCAACCTTTTTTGGATTACATTAATTAGAAGGTGGTCCATGTGGTGTTTTGGCCTCTGTTTAAGCTTACTATCTTAAACATTTTCTATTTTCTTAATCTAGCTATTCTAAAGTTTCTATAAAATAAAATTGTTTAATTGCTGCTTTATCTGATATATTTTATAAATCTAATAAAGAAAGACTTATTATAGCTATTCCAGCAAGGGATTCATCAATGAGTTAAGCTATAGGAATTGAAAGTTGTGATCAATTAGAATATTAAATCAAATCTTTTAGTTATTTATATGAAATACTATTGGAACATGTATCTCTATTTTTTGGACAAAATGGAGTAACTTTATTCTTTTATTCCCTTATATTAACAAAAGGTGTTGAATAAATTATTTAAGAAATGGATTCTGCCACAAATCCTTTGATTGGTAATCATGGTCATTGTACACAAGAAGCAGTTAATCTTATGTTAACTGGTAAGGCTATTAGTAATTGTTTTGATGGGTAATACTTAATTTAATAATTTATAGATGTAAATAAATAGATGAATTGAAAATTAAAGGAATTGAAGAAAGAAGTGAAATTGGATTTTTGACTATATTTGAACACTTTTAATATCTTGAAGTAGGAAAGAATTTGAAGGAACCTCTACTACCCATATGGGTGATTTGTAAAGAATATCATTATTCAGTCATTTTTGGTTGTAATAATGATGTAATTTAAGATAAACCATATTTAAGTAGGAAATAATATATATTTTAGAAAATAATTTGAAAGAATTTGATTTAGTTTTTTATGATGGATTAAATAATCCTGATGATCTAATAATAATTACAATAAGAAGATTAGGTGCATAGTTAGGCAAATAGAAAAAGAAGATTTAAATAGAAGGAGTATAATTTGATTCGAGTGATAAAGTTACACCTTTGATAGAATGTTTATTAAAAACAAAATATGGAGAATTAGAATTAGATTGGAATGATAGTATGCCAATATTATGAAAAACTTCAATTTTTTTTTAATGTTAGTTATCTACAATTTATTACATCTTGGATATGACATGAATTATTATTAATTTCCAAAATATAAAGTACATCTCCAAATTCTGAATATTTTGGTACTATCTAATCTGGACAATTATGAAGTGAATAAATTGAATTATTTATTGTAATAGGTTATCCTTATAATTATCCAATAGGTAAATTTAATTAATTTAAATTATCTATTGTTGCTGTTTAAGTATTGAATGTAATCATTTTATTTGCATTTTTTAGATGTTTATAATAACCTCCATAAATTAGGATTTTCTATTCATCCAATTAAATACAACAACATCTTATAGTAGTAAATCCAGGTATCATGTTTTTAACTAATATGTTTTACCATCTTCTTTCTAAATTACTATATTTTTCTATTGAATCTAATAGAATTCCTCCTTATCCTTATCCAAAAAATGTGTATATAAATGTTTAATCTTCATTTTCAAATACACATGAAGAATGATGAGATCTAGGTTCATTCAAATTAGCAAACTCTTCCCATAATTAAGTATTTACTATAAATCTCCAACATTTAGCAGTTACACCATCTTAAGTCTTACCACCAATTACATAGATAAATCCTTTTACATATATTAAACTATGATGATTAACAGGTTCTAATAGATTAGGCAATTATAATAATCCATGAACATTATCAAATTAATAGAATTTTTAACTTAAATTTGAATTATGAATACCACCACAAATATATAATATTAAATCACTTGTAATAAGTGTTTATGCATTTTCTGGTATTTTAGCACTTTCAGGAAGTGATATTAATTAATTCTCTTTTAATTAAATATCATGTATAAAAAGAGTTTAACAATCAATTAAAGAATGTAAATATCTAATTCTAGATTGTTCTAAAATTACAATCTTTTAAATTTCTTCATTTTAATCAAATTATTAAATCAATTAATCTTCCAAATTCTATTCTGTAATTGCTTAAAGATAAGTATGATTTAATATTTGAGATTGAGCTAAGTTTTATGGATTAATCAAAGTCATCTTTCTTTCTAATCTTTGACTATTGTTCCTTTCCATTGTGAAATGTAATGTTTATCTAGGCTTTGGAGCTCTAATTTCAGTCTTATCCATATGATTTTTCTCAAAAGTTATGCTAATATAATTTGAAAGTAATTAAGGTATATCTTATGTGAATTTATCATTTATTTTTAGATTTGGTTTCTTATACTCAATTTTAGTTTTCTCAATAAATTAAGTAACATTTTCTCTCATTTTTTTTATTGATGCTTTAAAATCTCTTTCAAAGAACTCTGATATTTAAAAATCATTAGTTGATATATATTCATTTAATTCAAACATAATTTTTTCTAATTCTTCTTATAATATTTTCTTTTATGTTAAATTTGAATGATTAGATGTTAAAGAAATAAAAGTATGTTTTAGTTCATCAAAAAAATTAGTTACTGCCTATTATAAAATTGTTTAACTTCTTTATAATAACTATAATCCTATTCTTTATTATTCAACTAAATTATACTCTGGTTACAATGTTTACATTAATAAATCTAATTCTTAACTTAAATCATTAGCCTCTTTCTAAACTTCACTTCTCAATGTACTTAACTCAACTAATTGATGTATTTTTCTAAATTGCTTTATACTGTGTTCTACAACACATTTTTAACACATTGCTTTAGAACATCCTTTACACCAGAATTATAATATATTTTGATGAGTAGGATTCTTACAATAAGCTCTGAGCTCATGATGATCTCCGCTCAACTTATTTTCACTGCCTTTGTTAAATTAAATATGATTCTATGATAATATGTTATTCATTATTTTTTCGAATTCAATTTATAGTTATCCAATATTAATTATTGCATAGCCCGTTCTTCTGGACTCATAAATTAATCAAAATTCTCTTAGTCTCCAACTTCTGAATGGTCTATTGATGCTTTTGCCTTTGAATTTGAATTTTATCTTTTAACTAAGTGTTACTATTATTCTTTCATATTTAAATCTCTTTTTTAGTATTTTAATTATTCATAGATTAACTTTTATTGCATTAATTCATCTTCTGAAAATTTTAATCCTTCTATTTCAATTTATTCTTTTTTTACTGTTATATTTTAATTACTCCTTTTAGATTATTATCTTGACTAAAGACTTTATGTTCTTACATCTTAGTTGTTATTTTTATGTTCGAGAGTTCTTTTAGGATTCTAAATTTATTTTCCTAATGGAGGTAAATTTGAATTCTTTGTCTTAGATGTTAATTATTTTTTTTCAAATTAGATTTCAAGATTTTTCACTTCTCCTTTAGGATTTACTAATTTTTAATTATTATTATTATTACTCTATTACCTTATTCTATTTTAAGATGTAGATGGTTTAGTATTTTTATTGTTATGTCTTGAACTTAATAATGAATTTGATGATGGAGGTCTATTAGGTTTATTAATTAATTATTTATCAATTCCAATTTATTCTTTTTTTTTATTATCCTGAAATACTTAATGTTATTAAAGTGTTTATTTATGAAATTATCCAAAATTTATCTCTTTTTATGGTAATTTATTTATTAATAATTATTATTACTATTACTATTACTATTACTATTACTATTACTATTACTATTACTATTATTATTATTATTATTATTATTATTATTATTATTATTATTATTATTATTATTAAGGAACTTATTTTTATATCTTAATCTATTATGGCTATATATCTATATTAGATTATTTCTATTAAATCTTATGTTATTAATCTACTTCAATAATTTCATTATTTAAATTTTAAACTTTATCTTAAAAAGATGATTGTCTTTGAATTTGTTTCTCTTTTACTTCTATTTATTAACTGCAATTTTAATAGTGTTTAGTTAAATCCCGTTTCATTATGTAATTCTAACACATTTAACATTTTTCAGTTCTGCTTCCACATTGATTCTCATGTTGAAATATTTAATCCATAGGGTAACTTAGTTCACAATACAAACATAATTTAGGCGTTTTTTGACATTTATGTTTAGATAAATCTAGGAAATCAAAACAATATGATAACCATCAAATTCTTAGTAACAATACTAGCATTTTTCTTTTTTATGGTAATCTTCTTCATGAGATTCAGGATCATTTTTGTCATAATATTACCCACATCTTTCGCATTTAATATTGTAACGTATACAATAAGTTTCATGAAGAATTAGTTTAGTATCTGCAATTAATTAGTTACAATTTGAACAGGGGCTACAATTTTCATTCATTTAATTAATAATCGAATATATTAGAATAAGACATAATTATTTTTAATCATTAAAATAAACTTTATAATAGTATTCAATATTAAAATGGAATAAGGTTTTTATTAGATGTACTACTTTATTATTATTATAAATACAGTATAAAAGTCTAAAAAAATCATGAATTATTTTATATTAATTTTATTATTTATGGTTTTAGACTATTAAGAATTCTGTACTCCATTTCAGAGATTAGGATAGTCATGAGACCTAAATTAAATTACTGTGTTATTGGGATGATGGCAACTTCGATTATTAAGATAATGTTTCGAGGTTCCTAGATTCTCAAACAAAAATTTATTATATATATTTATTTTATTCATCTTTTCCTAATATTATATTTAATACTTATCTATATATTAAAGCTTTTTATATCATTATTCTAAAATATCCTTAATTTATTGTATATTGAATTCATTAATATAATGTTAATAAATAAATTCATCTATGTATACTTTATCACAGTGTCCATTATTTATGGATTGACAGCAATTGGATTCCTATTTAAATCGCTTAATCCAGTTTAAAAAGTAATTTATTATCTTTATAGAAGGCATTGTCAAAAGTGTTAAGATAATAACCATTATATAGTTATTTGAAATTTACTTATGGTATTATTAGCTTTGGAATATGTCTATTGTGGATTTATAATTTTGATCAAATATAAAAGCAACTTGAACATCTGGATTTGCATTTAGATAAGACTACCTTAGATTATATTGAAGATAAAGAAGATTTATATAGAGATGAAAGAAATCTATACCTTTATGGAGGAGCATTTTTTGTCACTTTAGCTAATTTAAGAATATTGAGTTTAATACATGATTATTATGAATCATATGACAGAACAGAGGCAGCATAGAAAAAAATAAAGGAATAATGAATTTGATAAAAATATAAATATTAAAAGTCTTCAACATATAAGTATTAATGGCAATGATCTCCATTAGATTTTATTACTAATTTAAGGAATACTAAAATCAGTCTGATTTTTAAAGTACTTTATTTTCTTAGAAGTAATACATGTTATTGGATGATTGACTGTATTAGTATTAATTTCAGAGGTTTAAGACATTGAAATAGATTCAAAATTAGGCAATTCTGACAAAGATTTGATAATGTTCTAAATCTATCCATATTATTCTGGAATAAAATATTCCTCACTTATCATAGATAAAGAATTAAAAATCTAATTAGGAATTGCATCAAAATATTCAATATCTTTTTTAGCTGTTTCAAATTGATTGTCAAAATCTAATTGTTCAATTTTTAGTAACCCTTATATTTTATCAATTGGAGTAAAATAAATTTAAGTTGTTTTTAAATTAACCATACAAGGTGTAAGATCAATAAAATCTTCTTTTTTTAAAGTTTCAATATGTGAAATTGTTAAAAATATACTTTAATTTTTTTGATTAGAGAATTCAAGTCTATCTTAATTTTCTGATTTTATTACTACTGGCTACTTGCTGATTTTCCATTAAATCTTATTAATCAATTTATTTAGATCATCCTACACATCTTCTCTCTTCAAAAGACAATTAAATCGATTTTTAACTTAATTCTCATTTCTATTCATACTCTTAGCTATTTCAGTCCACTTTTTACCTTTTTATTGAATTTGATAAATTAATTCAAGATCTTCTGTATCAGTCCAAGGTTCATTAATTTTTAATAAAATAGGATCTAAATAGTTTATCCATCTCTCTCTAAGTTATTTACAGGTTCGATATACTAAATTATTATTATTTATCTGATTTGCTATCAATTTCCATTTTTTATCTTTACTTTTATATTTTTCTTATAGAATTATAATTTATTGATCTTCTTCTTATGTAAATGGCTGAGCTATTAAAGATGTTTTTAACATAGACTACCATTTTTGTCTTACATTATCTACACTTCTTCTAATTAGATATTGGCTTATTTCAATAAAGTCTTCATTATCCAAAAATCTACAATTTTTCTAATTAATTTAACAATACTTTCCAACAACCCAAACTAATACTTTTTTCTCATCTAAACTCCAACTTTTTTTATAATTTATAGAGAAGCGTCGACTATATAATTTGTTTTGAAGTCTAGAAATCTCATAATCATTAGGACAATCAGAAAAAGGGATATTAAAATATTCCTTTAGATAAATGAAATCAATAGGAATATTTTAACAGCTGTCAAAAAACTTTTAGAATAATTAATATTGTTAATGTTGAGTTTCTAGTTTTTCTTAACTTTTTGCTATTTTTGAATTTATAAATACCTAAATGATCATGATAACTATGTTCTCTATGTGATTTTTGGAATTTAAACTCTGAACTTGAAAAACTAAAGTCTTCAAACATTCTTGTAAATATTAAAAAATAAAATCAATTGGAGAATCTTTGAATTCTTATTATAATTAAAATTTTATAGCATTTCAAATTTTGACAATCTTTCTTTTAATTAGAAGTATTGTTTTGATTACTTATGAAACATTTTATATTGAATGAAGTTATAATGAATCTTAGGAAAAGAATATCTATATTTTACAATATTTTTCATTTAAATTTAATAGGTAAATATTTATATATATGCCTTACCTATTAAAAAAATAAAAAATATTTTATTATCAAAATTATTTTATTAATTAACAATTAGATAATTTAGAATGTAAAATAGATATTCAAGTTTATAAGATTGAATTCTTTAAAAAGATTATATATATATTTTTTTAAGTTTATGTTTCAATTTTTATTAATTAATTATCTTAAACAATAATATTATTTTAATAAAAATAAATTGAAAAAGGTTTTATAAATAAACTTTAATATATATATATATATAAATTATTGTATTTGCATTAATGTACATATCTTAACTTTATTTTATATATACATTATCATAATATTAGAGTAAATAATTGTGATAAAAGTGTCAATATCAATAAAATTACTATTGCTTTAGTTGTAAGTCTTATTTAATGTTCACTTAATTCAGGTAATTTGAATTATGAATTTTTAGCTATCAAAATTTAACTCTTTCTTTATAGAAACACATTTTGATCATCTTATTTTATTTTTTATTCTGTATGATCATCATTTTTATTTTTTTATTTTACATTATAATCCTTTTTTTCTTATTCTTCTGTTTGAAATTATTCTTAAATGAAATCATTAAAATCATTAGAATTAAATGTTATATTTCTAATAGGTTAAACTCTGATTTCTTTAACAACAATTTATTTAGGTGATTGTTGTTTAGATTATTCAATTTTAAGATTGTCTAAATCATCATCATCTTTAGGCCAATCTGATGGATTGAATTCAGGAAAATCTTAGAATTCTAATGGTTCTTCCTTTCTAGGTAGGTATTTTTCTTTAATTTTTTCAATCACTTATTAATTTACTTAATGAAGACCAATTTTCTAATCTATTTAGGTGATGAGTCCATTTAATCTTTGATGTGTATTAATAATTTCTTCATTTTCTTCAATGATAGGAAGTTCTTTTGGGAGAGATTTAAGTTTAGTTTCAGGATTATAAAATTCAGGACTTTTATCTGTATGTCCATTATTTTTACCTTCAGGTGAATCAAAAACCTATTCTAGATTTTGTGCAAGTTCATGCAATGAATTATGAGAGGAATCATAATCACTGGATGTTTTGAGATGATGAAATTCTTCATCTTAATGAGGACTTTCTTAATTGTCAGATTTTCGATCAGAGAGTCTTTGAAATGTTGTAAAATATTTTTCACAATCCCTTTCAGTAAGCTTCTTGTATGGAGAAACTAGGAGCTGTTTTTCTTCAGGAAGAGTGTTATGAAACATTGTAGTAATGGAAGAAGTGAATGTGTCAGCAGTTCTATCCATACCAATATATTTGTGAATGATTTGATCAATATGGAATTCTTTATTAGGTGTGGAACAAGAGGACTTGCTTTTTTTAATGGGTTCTACGGTTATGGCACTGCCACATACTTATCGAAGCATTCAGTTAATTATTTTAATGGCGAATCGACTAAAAACATAAATCCAATTTAGTGATGATTAATCTAATTCGAATTCATTTGAAACTAATGAAACCAAAAGATTTGAAGATCATTATGAATGTCTATAGACAATAGGTATGAAAATATAGTAATAATGAGTGTAGGATAAGGAGCTCATGCAGTAGTAAAGACAGCAAAGAAAAAAGGAACAGATGAGATATATGCTGTAAAAATAATACGTTCAGGAGATTAAGAAATATAAAATAATGTTAAGAGAACATTCAATAATACTAGATGTCTAAAACATTCAAATATTGCTCAGGATATTGAATTATATATAAATGAGAAAAGTGAAACCTCTTATTTAGTTATGGAATATTGTAATTTTCCCAGTTTAGAGAGTGTAATAAAACAGCGTACATTGACAATAGAAGAATTGAAAGTGATTATAAAATAATTGTTGTTTGCCATCTAGCATTCTCATTCAAAAGGCATATGTCATAGAGATCTTAAACCTGATAATATACTTGTTAATTTGGATGAGAATAGTATTCCACCTCATGTAAAACTTGTGGATTTTGGTGTCTCTCGTAGATTTGTATCCAAAGGATAAGAAATTGATATGTTAACAAAAACAGGCAATATATTTTACTGCGCTCCTGAAATATATCATAAGAGCAGCTATTCAAAAGAAGTAGATATCTGGGCCATAGGAGTCATTATTTATTAATGTACTTTTCAAAAATTACCTTTACATTCTAATGAAATATCAGAATTTGTTGATTTATTAAACAATCCAGATAAATGGACATTCAAAGAATCTTTATGTAATATTGAATTACCATTATCAAATCTAATATTGTCAATGTTGAATCCAAAATAAGAAAATAGAATAACAGCGGAAGAAGCTATTAAACATCCATTTTTTGAAATTGGAACTATACGTGATGTTATGGCTATGTTAAATTAAGATAATAATGAACGTGATAATTGTGGGAGATGTAAATCATTATAAAATAGTTTAAAAACAAATGAATTATGGGGAAATATGATTAAGAAGTTATAAAATAGTGTTAATGAGAATGAAAATATTAATATTAATGATTTAGTACAAGATTTTGGGAATATTCATATTATCCAAAGACATACAGAAAAATGTGGTTAAATCCAATTATTGAATTCAGTTGGAAGTAGTAATGCTTTTATGAGTAAATTGGGATCCAGACAAGAAATACTTGATAAAAGTTGCGGTCTATAATTTTGTGGTTCATCAAGTATCACTAATTTGAAATAACTGTATAGATAAAACAATCCATTAAGATCCATTTGGAGATATTTGCAATATACAAAGTAGCTTAGAGATGAGAGAAGAACAAAATAATTTAAACAATAGATTATATTCATAATTTGAAACTAGTCCAAATGAATGGCAATTATAAACACAAAAGCAGAATATTTAATAAGAATAACAAGGTTCTAAAAAAAGAGGATCATAAGTTAATAGAATGTTTAATGAATTAGGTATTAAAGAAGTGGATGAAATTACTGAAGATTAATATTGATCAATATTCATTGATTTCTTCATGTTTTTTTTAATTTTTTGATTTTTTTTGTGTATTCTTTATGGAAATTAGAATTTTGATTAATTTAGGAACTAAATAGTTTAAATAATTCTTGAAATTGAAGTTCAAATTCATATAACAAAAAATTATATTATTGAATATCAATTATCAATTTTTCTATCTTTTATAATATTTAAGTAATTTGTCTAATTATTTAGTATTTGTTTGTGACATTTTATATACATTTTTAATTACATAATGACATTTAAAAATATGTTAAAGTTTCTTAAATAGTAATGATGAATATCTCTATCAATAGACAAATCTTAAATGTATAAAATAACTATTATTAACAGTTATGATAAACATTATATTTTGAAATTTCAAAATTATAAAAATTATTAGCCAAATATTAGAATACTTACACATAATCAAAAAAAAAAAGTTACTAGGTTCAATAAATAAATATTCATGGCAGATTAATCAATTAAAGGAACTAATTGGGGTAGAGTTATTATAGATGATAAGAATTTGAGTTTATCCCATCTATCTCAAAATGTCATTAAATTCCCTCTTAAGAGAATTACTAATTCTAATATTTAAAAGAATGATATTGTATTGTAATTAAGTACTGAGGAATGTGCAGAAAAGTATAAGGTTTCTAATTATTCTTTATTAGTGAAGATATGTTATGTGAAGTCAGATTTTATATTCCTCCAAAAGAACAAGTATGTTTATAATATTTAAATATTAGAAAACAGAAAAAAAGAAATAGGAATCAAATGAAGAAGAATAAGATGAAATATCATATCTATAATAAGTTTAAAATCAGATTGTCAAAAAAGCAAAAATTGGAGGTAGTAGTGATTCAATATTAACTATTCATGAAGTACCCTTAATTGTTCCTAGAGGGAAATATACTATGGATTTCTTTAAAAAAGACATTCGATTTCATGGCAATACTTATTAATTCAATACTGATTATAAGAGTATTACTAGATTCTTTTTACTTCCTATGCCAGATGAAGTCAATCTTTCATTGGTTATTGGTCTTGAAAATCCTATTAAATAGGGTCAAACTGCTTATAATTATATAGTAATGTAGTTTAGGAAAGACTTAGAAACATAAATTGAGATGAAATACACAAGAGAATAATTAGATAATATTGGATGGAAAGGAATTAGATTAGAATATTCTGGTTCTATGTTTGATGTAGTATGTGATGTTCTCTCAGAAATTACAGGAATTAAAGTAGTATCACCTAAGAATTTCAAATGCAAGAATGGTTTATTTTGTTTGAGATGTTCAGTTGTACCTCATTCAGGATTTTTATTTCCATTAGAGAAATCATTACTTTATATTTAAAAACCAGTAATCTATATTAAACATGATGATATAAAAGAAATTGTATTTCAAAGAGTAATTATATATATATAATTGTATATTAGATTACACAGACAACCTAGAATAAATTCTTTGATATTAAAATTGTAACTCAGAATACATCTCATTTATTCTCTACAGTTGATAGAGAAGAATTGGATAATTTATCATAATATTTTAATTCCAAAAAATTACAAGTGAAAAAAATTCAAGAAGAAAATGAAGGAATAAAAAATGGTAAAGATGATAGTGAGGATGGCAGTTAAAATGGAAATGATCATAAAATAACTTTATCTTAAATGGATTCTGATGAAGATGATGAAGATTTTTAAGCATAAGAAGATTCTTATAATAGTGTTTAATTTTAATAAAAAGTTTAAAAAACAAGAAATGTTAAAAAATGAAAATAATAATATTTAATAAATAAAAATTAATCTATTTTTATTAATATTTATATATATTATTATCTTATATATCTATTCAAATCAAATTTGACTATATTATAAGACATATTTAATAATTCTAATATAAATTATGAAATATATATAAATTATAAAACTAATAAATCATATAAAATAAAAGCAAAAAAATATTTAATCTCAAGAATTCAATTTTGCTTGAAGAGATTAGTTGTATAAATTTCTTATTTTCAAATTACTATCATAATTAGATGATTTTGTTTTAAATGATAAATAATCTGCAGTAGAAGGTATTTCGATTGAGTATTTTTATTAAGGACTTAAACTTTGTAATCTCATATTAATATATTATTATATAGGTCTAATTTTTTATGTTTATTTGCTTGTATTACTTTCTGTTGTTTTAATTTAACTTATCTTTTTCTATTATTCTTTTTATTCTGATCTTAAGTATGCTTTTAATTATTTTGCATTAGTAAATCCTCCTGATTACTTACGAATTCGAATATTTTAACTTATTTTATTAATTACACAATTCTTTTATACTTTCTCTTAATGAGCAACTTATTTATAATAAAAATGATTATATACCTAATACTATATAGCAATCTAAACAAACTTACATTGTTTTATGTAAGAAACCATCAGAATTTTTAAATTAATCAAAGTTTGTGTAATTTAACTTTTCATGAATCTTTTAAAATACTAAAGGAACCTATGTTATAGTATTTAATAATGCTTATGTTCCAGCATTAGCTCCTGCAACTTTAACTGTTTTAGCTTCTTTTTTAATTTCATTTGGCCATTAATCAGCTGGCAGACTTTCTTCATTTTAATCTAAAAGATAATGATATGGAATATCAATAAAATTATTCTCTTTATCTATGTTACCACATTTAATGCATTTAGATTCTTTATTTAATTACAATGGTCTTTGACTATAAACTGACATAATCCCATCTACTGATTTTGGTATTTAAATTTATGATTGTGTATATAAATCTTTTGGATAATTCTTATAATGTTTATCATCATCAAATTTTAGACTTCCACAAAAAAGAAACCAACATTTTGCTTATTTATCAACTTTAAAATAAAAAGTTCCTTAACTTATATTTAATTTTCCAAATGATATTGCATCTAAATGATTAATCATCTTTTCTATCTATTCAGATATTCTTTAAGATTAGAAATCTTTTACTTAAGCTAAGTTTTAAATAGAATGATTAAATCTTACTTGCTTCACTTAAATATTCAGGTCCTTCAAATGTACAAAGTCTCTCATAAATATTCATTGATTTATTCAAATAACTTTTCTTTGTCACTCTCTTTGTGAAGAGTGTAACTGATTTACTCCAAAATGCCTAAATTTATGCTGATTTTAATTTGATGAATACAATTTTTGTCATCTGCTGCCTCAACGAATCGTTAGAGTATACCAAATGGAAGCTCCAAATTAGAATTCATAAAGTTTTCGAAACCTTTTTCATCAAAGTATACAATCTAGATTTAACCACTTATTTTTAGTTTCTCAGGAGGATAATTCAAGTCTAAATTCTCTCTTGAAAATGTAATTTATCTTATTTATACATAAAATGCAATAGATATCCTACTACTCCTGATCTTCCAACCTAATTCAACCAAGTTTCTTTTATATTTTCTTTTGTAACGTTTTTCCTCATCTTTTTCTTAACTTCTCCTGTCTCTTTATCTGTAAAATACCAATATATTGGCATTGATCTAATCAAAATTACAGTGTCTGGTATTAATACAGAAGGTGGACTTGATGTCTCAGATTTAACCCAAAGATATTGATATATTTTATCATAAAGTATATGTTCTTGCACACTTTCACTAGTAAACATAATAATTATTAAAATTAATATTTGTTAATCAAATGGATTCACATAATGAAACTAAGTACAAAGAATTAAAAAAGAAATATGCCATTCTTATGAAAGTACATATCATTATTTATTGGAATAGCAATATTAAATGATTTAATAAGAATATGAAAAAGTAAATGGTGAATTAGCAGAATCTATCTAAGAGAAAAGGATTCTCCAAAATAGAATTAATGAAATATTAGGAAAGCAAAGTGAAGACAATTGAGTATTATAATATCACTAATATTATATGAATTGAAATTCTTACTTAAACTATTGAAAATCCTATTAAAATTTTAATTCAATTTTTTAATGCTATTATAATAACAAAGAAAAAAAATTCAACCTTCTTTTGTTGCTTTTTATGAATTTAAAATTTAGGAAATTTAAAGTTATCCTTCCTAAAGAGTAGTCATTACAGAATAGAACATAAAGAATTATGCAAATTTGAGAATTGGAACATACAGTCCTATTAGTTGTAAAAGTAGTAGAATCAAAACTCAACCACAAGTAAAAAAAGAAAAAATAATTCCATTTGAACATGATTATAATACTTTTTATAGAACAGTGTCTAGCTAAAGAAATCTTTTCAATATAATAAGTGGAAAAAAAAAGTGATTTTATTATTAATTTCCACTTTTAAAAAATATCTTTAAACTTATATTCACATCCTTTTTTAAGTTCATAAAATTTGTGTTATTCACATTTTCATATCACAAATTTAAATTACTTAATAAAGTCAAATTATATTAGAATATTAAATATATTAAGACAAAAGTGTGTTACTAGTATGAGAACATTGTTAATACTAAATGAAGGATAAAATGATTATATATATAATAATTAGAACTAAGGGTTCAGTAATATTTTAATTATATTGTGGTAATAAATGTCTATTTCTATAAAATATATTAATGGCAATTCAAATTATTAAAAAAAAGACCAATACTATTTTTATCTCATAAAATTAACAACTTTAGATGGAATATACTTACTATATATTATTTAAATATAGTATTTATTTTAATTTTAGGGAATAATGTTTTACTGATGTTTTCACCCATATAATTAATCAATATAAAAATAAAAATTATTTGTAATTCCTTTTATAATATTAATTTAGATAGTTATAAAAATTAAATGGAGCCTCAGCCTTCCATATTTTAGGAATTTTAATCAGATGATAAACAATAATTCTTAGATGTATAAATAATCTTAGTATTTTAACTCATCCATTACTTATATTTCAGCTACCGAACTTATAAAAAATAATCATCTTTTTTTAATCAAATAGGTATTCTTAATAATTATTCATATAGGACCTACAATGATATTAAAGTCTTGTCTTTTATTATCATTTTATATAGTATTTAAGAAAATTAAATATTCTTCTAATGAATTCATATTAGGCCATTTGATTATTGGAGTAATTTTTCAAATTGCATCATTGCTTTATGAAAAATAATTTGCTTAGGTTGTTTATTAATTCACTATAATGGTACAATATTCATATTTTGTATAATAAATGACTGAAGAATCAATAGGATTTTTATGTTAAGCAACATAATATGCATAAAGCTTAGCTTTTATTTATCATTTATTTTAGATGTTTAAAAATAAGAATGTAACTACATTGAGTCCATTCTAATTAAAAATTCATATTTTAGAATCTATGCTCTAAATTACATTAAGTTTAACAAGCAAAAATAATATAATTTCATTGGGACCTGGAATTGTGTATTTATTATCATCAATGTTTTGCTTAAGAGTATAGAATGAATTAATGAATATTAAATAAGAAAAGAAAACAAGTGGAAAATAGAAGTCTTAATGATTTGTATAAATTAACACATTTTTTTATGAAATAATTTTCAAGGTTCTTAATTTTATTTAATTGTTTCTGATACTTTGAACCAAAACTATTATTGGATTTCCAAATATTAGCATTCACATTAAGCTAAATCACCTAAAATAGATTTATAAGTTTAATGTTTATCTTTTTTAAATTTATCAATTGTATATGATGTCAAAACATCTGTAACCAATTAAAATAATAATTTATATTAATCCACTTCTTTTTGAGTCTAAATTTATATTAATATTAATTACCTCATTTAATTAAAGTTCTAATTTTTATTTTTATTCATCTAAACTTAATTTACTAAATGAACCTTTCATAGTAGAATTTCCTTTCATTATTTTATATAAATCTGATTATTCTTCACTTAATTTTTATTCAGCCTTTTATTTTGATTACATTAAAGAATCTCTAGTTTAAAATGCTTAAATAAATGCATCAATATCTCTTTATTCTGTTGAAATTAAATCCTATATCTTATCAAGAGAATTGTTATTTGGATCTCTCTATATTAGATTATTAATAATACAATCTTTTTGGCTAGTTCTAAAATTTCTGCATTTGCAGGATTAGCAAATATCAATTTATTTTAAGGTACCCATTCTTAAAGAACTTATTTTTCATATTCAGAAATATTAAGTCCAAAAATTGTAAAAAATGTTTCCTTTAATTATTTTCTACTTGAACTTAAAGATTTTGCTTATTCTAATAATTTTGTTAAAGATGCTTAAGATAATTTCAAAAAGGATTGAACTCCACTCATTTTCTTAATCATTTCAGGTGTGATTTCTTTAATCTCAGTGATTTAAAATGCTTATTTATATCTCTCAGTATAAGCAAACACATTTTATTTTGGTATCTAAGCTATTTACTATTTAATATTTTATGTATCAAAATACTTTGTTGATATCAGGATTTGTTGACCTTAAAAATATATCATAAAATTCTTCTGAATAATAGAGATGCTTAATCTACATCATCTTCATACAAAATATATTAAGTAATCTTGTCCTCTCAATTATTATCTCTGTTCCTGTACTTACAGATTTCTCAGGAATTGGTGGTATATATTATCCAGGCCATTTAGCTAAGAGTAATTCTCTGATTGTGTAGAATTCATTAAATCTTCTACATGTTTCAAATTCTCCAAAACAATCTTTTCCTTTGATTGTGTAAACTATATATGTAGATATACCTCCACCTTTTTAAACAGGATCACATACTTTTATTTCAATCTATAATATAGAATACTAAAATACTGGAAAAGTATAATCTGCTTTTAAAAATAAATTCTCTAAATTTGATGATATTGTTTCTGGACTTTTTTCAATTACTTATGATTTATCTTCCTATCCTTTTGATTAATCACTTTCAATTTTATTTTCATCTTTAACAATTTCTGATTCAGGTTCCTTTTACACGATTTTTTCAGGTGTTTCAGAAGCTTCTCGTTACTATTCTATATCACTCTTTACTCCTATATCTTATTTCATTTATTCAACAGCTTCTTCTTTCTTTTCCAACTTTTCTTAATTGTCTTCTTTTTATTAAATATCTTCTTTAGGTTATTGAGTATGTTCATCAATTTATTATTATTGTGATTATTACTATTATCCATCCTAAAGAAATTATTTTTATTCTGCATTTTATTCGTCTGACATTTGTAAAAATAAAAGAAAATGAATGAATTAAAATTTTAATTTTCTTTAAGAATATTAATTTGTTATAATTTAGAATAAACTATTTCTGCAAAAATGAGATTAAACATAAAAGAATATGATTAATTCATTCAAAAGTATTATGATTACACATTCTACTAAAGAATTTCAATCAATTTTTTAATATATACATAAGTATATGATAACACAATATTAGATTTATGTTAATCTAAAATTGATTTTATAGGAATAATAAAATTAAAACTAATTAAATAATTTGATATTGAAATGAAGGAAAATGTAAATGCTAATAAATTATTGTTTATACTATTTTTTTAAGTATTTTATTTTAATTATGAAATAAATATTAGATCATATATTCATTTTATAATTCTAATCTGGATTGAATAATAGATGAAGAATTTGAATAAAAATATATTACTATTCTTTCTTTATTTTTTAATTTAATCTGAAATCAAATAAAATTAAAGATGTTATCTATTAATCAAATTAATATACTTATTCAATATTACTTTTCTATATGGATTATGTAAATCCACTCAATTATATACAAATATAATTGTTTTTTTTATTTTAAATTGATATTATGCAGATAAAATTTTTATATGTGTAATTTAATTATTTAATAAGTTTTTAATTAAAATATGATCAAGAATCAAATACATTTTAAATCTAATGAGGAGCATTATAAACTTCTGTTGCATCAGCTGATTATTTCTCTTATTATTCTTAAAACATATAAGCTTTTGTTTAAATTGGCTGTTATTGAACATCAGAATTAGCAGGGTTATTCCAATCAATTTCAAATCGAGTTATACGGGGTTTATTATTGAAGATTTATCTAGCAATATCTTCTATTATGACTTCTTAGGGGTCGTTTTCAATGTTTTCAGGGGATGTATAGGTATTATAGACATAATATCCAACTCTAAAAAATTCTCTTTGTCTGTATGAACAAGTCAAGATAAAAGCAGTAATACCCAATAATTCATCTTATGGAATTTTTTTCCAATCTGGAGGATTTGATTCAAGAGTAAATTACTTAGTTCCCTTAGTCAAAGGTCCCATAGAAAATTAGTCTAATATTTAATCATGAGCTTCATCTTTTGGAGAACCTATATAGAGAAGACTAAGATTAATAAATAATTTATTACGTCCATTCTATTTCATCTTCAATGTCTGCTATTACATCAAAGTATATATCCATTGTTATTGGACTAGTAAATGGTTAGGATTTGTCATCAACAACAATATTAGTAATACTAACAAAAGCCATGAACTTTTTTATTAATTAAATATTTTATTTTGGAGGTTAATAAATAAATATTATCTAATTCAAAGAGTATGAGATTAAATTAGATAAATATATATGATGAACATTCTCTATCAACAATAATTATCATATATATATATATTATAAGATAATTAGAGTGAGCATTTCTAAAGAAAAAAAATTGATAATAATTGTTTAGGTTAAATATTTAAGAAATATCACAAAATTAAAATTAAGTAAATCAAAAGGAATGTGTTTGTATTTGTTTCTTATTTAATAATGTTATCATTTTTTTTCCAACTAAGGATCAACGTGGAGATCTTGAGGTACAAAAGCATATGGTATAACTTCAGAGCCTTTAGAATACTTTGGTTTCGAATGATCTTTCCCTATAGCAATAATTTTAATATCATTGCCAGAATAGCAAAACTATGGATTAAAGGTGTTTTTACTTCAATTATTGTTTATCTACACATACCACAAGGAAATGTAGGCTCTTATGTATCACTATTTATAATATTAGAAATATACCATGAAACTACAATAGTTGAAATTTGACGATCCCCTTCACTAACAGCTTTGCATATCGCTACACGTTCAGCACAAACACAGAGCCCATAACTAGCATTTTCGACATTACATCCTGTATATAATTTGTTATTTTTTGTCAATAAAGAACATCCTACTCTAAAATTTGAATATGGGCAATATGCTCTTTCTTTGGCTTTAATTGCTTCTTGAATTAGTTATTCTTCTGTGATTTCCATTTTTAATAATATTTTATATCTTAATTTGTCATTCCAATTCTTTCCCTAAGGTCTCAAATGATCAGAAACCTTTCGAAAAATGACGTAATAAAATAGAAAACAGAAAATAATATAAATAGATTTCTTAGAATCTGGCTATTCATATACATTCAGATCTAGGGTATGATTACTCTTCGCAATCTTTCTATTCCATTGGTAATTCTATACCCAGTTATCCTAATTTTCTTTGGAAATACTTTAGTTTTAGATTAATAAAAATCTAAAATAAAATTTAGTTATGATACAAGAAGATGAAAGTCTTAATTAGAAAAACTTAGATGTAGTAGTTTAATATTTAAAATGATGTTCAATATTATAAAATTCAATTAATTCTATAATGTCTAATATTAAAAAAAATACAAGTAATTAGTTTTTTCTTCCAAATCCTTTGAATTAAATAATCAAAGCAGCTGCTACTGAGCTTAAAATATCTCTGATGCAGAATACTACTACTTATGTCATCTTATCTTTTACAGTTTAAGTTTATACAATACATAATAAAATGTCTTGTAAAAAAAGTACAATTCTAAAATTAAGTATATAATAAATTAAACTAAATAAAAAGTGTAACTTTCAATAGAGTATTTTCAAATAGTGATATTATTGATGCTTCAATATAGTTAAACTTAATACATTATTTTGATTTTTGGCATTTTATTCATATCATGAGTATAATTTAAAAATGTGATTTTCATATCATCAGTAAAATGAATTCAAGATGTCCTTTATTTAATCATTTCTTCATTAATATTCTAAGCTAAAACCTTTTATCCACTTAACAAAGCATATCTAAGGCTTTCTGTTAACCAAAATAGACTAAAAAAATTCAAACCAAGAATTCTGATAGAATACAATAAAAGGATTAATAATCTTCTAATAACCTTCATTGAATTATCTTAATTTATATTCAGAATCAAATAATCCAAATAGTTAACCTATTGAGAAAGGTAAAAGTAATTAAATACTATATATCTACCTGTTAATTAATTTCAAATGTTATAGTGCCTCTAAAAGAAAGGAATAAATTATCTATTAATTAATAATCAAAATCCCTAATAATACTGTGGATTAAAAAATAAGTTATGGATAAATAATGATATGTATAAATAATGAACTAATTAGAAATGATTTTATAAAATTTATTAATAAAATGTTTATATATATTATTCACTTAAATTTTTTAAGTGCTATTGAATTATAAACAGCTCCTCTTACATCTTTATCAACTTTCAATTCTTGATCACTTATTTTGTAATACTTGATCATTTGAGGAATATTACAATATTGGTATAAGTTTGTCAATTCATCTAATTCAAAGCTTTTTAATTGTTCTTCACTTACTGGTGTGAGAAATATACACAACATCCTTTAAGTCAAAATGTTTGTAATTCCAAATCTAACATCATTTCTTTAACTTTCAGGTGTTAATAAATAATGCAAATCTCTTTAGAATTATGATGAAAGTTTATATTCTTTTTTCTTAAGCATTCTGTAAATAGCAATAAGACATGCTTATAATGAAACCAACTATTTTATTTATCATATTATACATATTCTGGATTTACTAAAGCGTAAATACAATTTTCATTTAAACCTATTTCTTTATTAAATAATTATTGATCCTTAATATGCTAAGCAAGTAAAATCCAAATTGATTTGTCTTTATCTATAAAATATTATTACATAAATTTATAAATTAATATATTTTATAATTCTAAGTATTCAAAATAATGTTTAAGGGATAAAGGTTCTCTAAGATCATATTTAATTCATTTGAGAATATATTAAGAGAAAAACTAAATTATTCATTATTATTGTCTTAGCCATTTGTAATCTATCATCAAAATAATAAAAGATTAAAACTCATTAGTTTGGGATAACATAAAATATTTATCATAAACAAAATTTGTAAAAGTCTACATTTATTTTGGTTATGAATTTAATTACTCATTAAATAAAAATTGAATTCATTATAATAAATTAGCTAATGAATAATAAATTAACAATATTTAAAAGAAATACTAGATAAAAATATATTAATTCACATAAGCAATCAAATTAAAATATTATATAAGTATTAATAATCTAAAATTAATACTTTAAATAAATCTAAATTATATAAAGTTAAATATAATAGATAATATTAAAGGTAATTACTATTTAATATATATCTATATAATAGATATTAAAGAATAATATAATTAAATTTGAAATTAATTTCTTATTATTTATATAAAAAAATCAATCATTTTGATCATCATTTTCTTCAGCAATTTCTTCTGGATAATCGTTTTCTCCTTCCTCTCCTTCTTCATTTAATTATTCTGGATCTATTCCAAAAAGATGTAAATTTTGCTATTAGCCAATAATTAGTAATTCATACACTGAATATATCTCTAAATTAATTATTTTCATTTGCCAATTTTTCTACTTCTTCTTATAATTGTTATTTTTCATCACTCATATGTTAATATAATTATTTGAAATTTTCGATTAAATCTTAATTATATATTAAAATTACCTTCTAATTTATGTATTTCTTCATCTTTAGCTTCTAATTATTATCCTAATTCTTATATAATTTCATCTTTTTGATTATCATTACTCTTCACAGATTTTTTATTTGAGGATTATAAATTCTTTTTAGAATTATTATTAATAAATTCTTCCTTCAATTATTGTAATTCTTCTTAATTATCATTTAAATTTTATTATAATTATTCAATAATTTAATCTTTCATTTAAGATTCTTATTGTAATTCATTAAGAGTTTATTATAATTCTTCCTAATGAATTTATACAAATTTATACCAAATTATATTCTTAAGCAATACTTTCTAATTACTAATTTTTTTCATTAAGAATTTATTCTAATTCATTTATTTAATCTTCATATTGATTTCTTACTTTATTTACTTCTTCTTATATATGTTTATTTGTTTAATTTAATTTATTATTCAAATTTCTATTTTCTTCTGTTAATTATTAAATTTTTTATTTATCCTCTCTACTTTTTTATTCAAATTCTTATTCTTATTTTTATCTAAAGATGTATAAATTATTTATTACAATCTTCGTTATGTATCTCTCTCTCTTTAATTAACTTATTATAATTCAGCCTTAAGTTTTTCTGTTTGTTATTATTCTTCTCTTAATTAACTAATTAATTGCTGACTATTTCTATCATTATCAGATGTAATTTTTTAATTAGAAGAATAAGGTCTTTTATCATTAGATAGATATTATTGATCAGCTCTTTTATCATGACTATCGATTTTCTTATCCAAATAATCATGTTTATTGCTGACTCTATTAATATCAATTGTTTTGGAATATTCAGGTTTCTTATACTCATTATTTATAAACTCCTTTGTTGGAACTTAAGGTTATGGTTTATAATCATTTTTTTTGAATGAATTTCTTTATTCATTTTTTTAAGGAACAGGGACACTACCTTAATTTTTCTAATACATTTCTAGAATTGTGTTAATATTAACCAATACCTTAATATGGAATAATTTCAGTTTTATGTTGCTAATCTACAGGACCTGTTCGATTATGAATTTAAGAATCACATGAATAACATAATCTGTATGTTTGACCATATCTACATTAGTTACATTTAATAGTAGCAGGTCTTTGTTAACATTTTTAACACTTGACAAAGAGAGATTACATTTTCAAAAGATGTTTGAAAATATATGTTAAAAAATCTTAAAATAAATAAATTTGAATTTATTTTAAAATAAAAGTACTCATTAAGATTATATTTACCAATCGTAAATCTCTTTTTGGCAAGAGATTTGGAGAAACAATCTAATATTCTTGATTACACCTATATCAAATGGATATCTTTAATTCTAATCGATATACGAAATCCTTTTCCAACTTAAGTATTCCCCTGATATTATTGATCACTTTACATGTTGTAATATTTTTAGCTACATAAAATGCATGAAATCCAAATAGAGTAATCAATAAAATTACTATAATTCCCATAATTATAAGCATTCCAATATTTTAAACAGAAATTCGAATGCTTACTATTAACTATGCAATTTGGACAAACAAATATATTAGAAATAAAAGTTTATTCTTTTCTCCTATACATATACCAATCCAAGGACAATGATGATCAAACATTGGAATACATTTTTTACAATATTAACAATGTTTGGATCTCATTGGCTACTCATTTAAACATTACATACAGAATCTCTTTTCTGTTGGTAAAATTGTAGGCATTACTGCATTTGAAGTGCTAATACAAGTTTATTTATTTAGTGTATTAATTTTAGCTTATTCAGAAGAAGGTGATGAAAGCATTCCTCTACCTGATAAAATATGCTAATTGTCTGTCTATTGTTATTACTATTATTCTGGATAATATCTATAAAAATGATATTACATTATACTTTTAAATTGTATTTTCATTATCTGGACCATCTTTGAATTGATCCAATGAAATCTAACCATTAGATTCATCATTTGCTAAAGCATTAAGTACTTCTCTTTTTACATTATTTTCAATCTATACTTCTACTTGATTATTCTCAACTGGAAGTTCTATCTTAACTATTGGAATAATTCCAGGATCTTTGAATCGTATTATAAAATATAATCCACTTGTAATAAACATTAAAGGTCTAAGTTGATAGTTCAATAATAAAACAACCCAAAAATGTAATAATACAAGAGGAATTCTTTGTAAGCCCATAAATGTAAACCAATCTACAATAATACAAATATAGTTGGTCCAAGAAAAGCTATAATTGCTAAAGAAATTCATTACTTTTCTAATTGTAAAATACACAAGCAGCTTTCATCTCTTCTAATATTTGTTTATTAATATTTGAATAATTATAATACTATAACTAAATTATTGTCTTTCTTACCTTTTTACATAAAATACTTATCTTATCTATTAGTTCTTTATCAATTTATGTTATTATTAAGAATTCCAATTAAGAATTCTAATTAAATTGGATTTCAAATTGAAAATATCTAATATTATGATTACTAATTTCAAAGAATTTGTCAACAATTCTTAACCTATCATAGATGCTCTTAGAGATCTCAACATATTTGATACTGACAATGAATTCTAATCCTAATAATAAATTTCTATTCGTCTTAAGTCCTTCTTTGAAAACTCATAAACTAAAGTACATTAATGCATTCATTATTTCTAGAAATAATTCTTAAAGTCTTTATTTAAAATCTTTGAAAAAGAATCTTAAAAAGATGGGAACTTATAAGTAAAATTAAAACTTCTACTTTTACTTCATCTAATTTTAAGTTCACAAGTAGCTCGAGCTGAATTATCTAAAATTTTAATATCAAAACAAATTAATATTCAAATCAACAATACTACTTTAGGAAAAGTCTGTCAACAATACTATTTTTATCTTTATAAGCTAGCTTCTCAAACAACATTTATTAATGAAGACGTAATCAATGGCGATTTATTAATTTATTTCACATTATCCAATTAATGCAATTTAGGAATAAGCATTTAATCCAAAATTGAAAATGTAGAGTCATTCTAATCTAATATATTATTAGCCAATACTGTTAAATTCATATATTATGATTTACAAGATATTGCTATTTTTATAATGAAAGATGTCAAGTAATTGGTTGAAAATTAATATGACTCTAAATAGAACAAATTATAGATCCTAGAATTATATAAAGAAGTAAAAATGATATTTTATTATTATAGTGTTAAGTACTATAAGAAAAAATGCTTTGTTTTTATAGATTTAATCGTCACTTTTCACACTTTTCTCAAATCATGCCACCTTTTTCATTAGTTATTGAACAACATTACCTTAAAGACTTACAAAACAATACACCAAAAATACACTCTTTAAAAAATTTGAATAAATTGAATTAAGAACGTGTTAAATTTTAACCCTAGACTTCCAAATAGAAATAAATGATAAAATTTGAATTTGTAGATAAGAGACAACAATAGGAATCTCCACACTTTTCATTTTCAAATTGATATTTATTCATTTTATCATTATTTTTATGTAATGTACTTTATAATATCATTTTCATTTCTTGGCTTTGGTTGGAGCTTTTTGAGTTGGTTATGGTACAGTCTTGGCTGGTGCAGTTGTCTTAACTGGAGCTGCTGCTTTAACAGGAACAGCTGCTTTGGCTGGAACAGCACCCTTAGCTTATGTTGCTGGTTTAGCTGCTTAAGTTGATTTAGCTTATTTTGTATCTTTGGCCTAATAATTAAGCTTAATTTTAATACTTTTGGTTGTTCTTTAGCTTTCTCCTTGATTTCAGATGAAGCTTTTCTGTGCTTCTTGTGAGCTTCATGGACATCATGAGCCAATTTTTTATATGCTTCTAAAGCTTATTTGGCTTTGGTTCTTCTAGCTTATTCTGTCTTCTTTTAGATGGTCTTTCTTCTCAATCTTGATTCAGTGACGAGTCTTTAGATTTTTGGTGCCTTTTATCTCTTCTTTCCATCTTTTGTAGTCCATGTTCTTCTAATGAGATTCTTTTAAACTATAGCAACACCATCAGTCTTCTTGAATCCAAATAATCTTCTCAATTTAGTTAATCTCTTTGGACCTAATCTTCTTGGAACATTTTAATCTGTAAGTCCAGCAATTTCATTGGCACCCTTTTTTACTACTTATAAGGCTAGGACTCTGATGTCTTGACCTACAATGCATCCTCTAATTGATTTGCGTTTCATCTCTCCATCCTTTCTTGGTCTATAACCCTTATGTCCTTTTCTCATAAGGATTCTCACTCTTCCCTTGAATAGGACACCTTGTCTCATTGGGAAACCTTGTTTATCGTTACCACCAGTAATCTTGAATACATAACCTTTGTATTCATCACCTAGGTTATCAGCTTCGACAACTTGTCCCATTCTCTTATCGAAGAATATGGAGCTACATAATCACCAATATTTTATTACCATTTCTTGTCATCATCGATTTCGACTGTTTTTTAAGCGCCTGTCAAAGGGTAGGAAATGTTGAACTAAGCAAAGCATATTTAGTTACCTTCATTAAAATCTTGGATTTTTTAAATTAGATTTAAAATTATGTGTTTCACATTTTAATATTATCTAACTGTGTGAGACAACGATAATATTAAATAAATAGAAATAACAATGCCTTCATTATAATTGAAATTAATTCAAATAAGGATTCAAAAGAGTATCATATCTCAAAAAACAAAGAAAAATATATGATCAAAATTTATAAATAGGATTTATCATATATTTTTTTTTATTTATTTTTTGATGTTATTATTTAAGTAATATGCTTTTTAATTAATATTCTGAATTATTTTTATGTTTATGATTATGTTTCAAGAAAAATATTTAAAATCAAAGTAATTTTATGACTACAATATAATTCAAATCTATTTTAAAAGAGAAATAAGATGTAAAATATTATTAATTATATTTAAATTTGAAAACTATTATAAGTAAAATTATCTATCTTAAACTTATTAACTATTTACATAATAATTATTTTTATTATAGATATTGTCATCTTTAACATTAGAATACGCAACTTGAAACTTCAAATATATATTTTATTTAATATATTTTAATATACTTCAAACTTAAATTCATTTCATAATAGTAAAAATACTGTTATTTATTCTTTACTCTATATGTATTTAATCACCCTTAGATATAGTATTTAGTATTCAAAAAGTTAAAATAAAATATAATTAGTTAGAAATCCTAAGAATAAATTATGAATATAAATAGGCTGAAATAATTTTTATTAGCTTTTTAATTTTTATAGATATAGAATATCTTGCATCATTTTTTATTAATAATAAAGTTTAGAGTACAAACAATATTTATTCTGAGAGCATAATTTTCTTTTAATTTCAAATCCAATTTAATGAATCACTTAATTTAATGCAATTTAGATTTTATAAACTCTATCATTCACATCATTACAGTTATATTATCTATAATTTATATTTAGGATAAACTAATGATATATAAATTTAAAGTTATATTTTTAATTCATCAATTTTTAAGTAAATATTCAATTTTAATTTGATCAATTTTTTAACGATTGGTAATTAATATAATTATAGATTATTATTATTGTCCAAATTTGGAAATAATGATACAAAATTATATTCAAACCATACTATTTAGAATAGGATCGGCTCTAGATAGAATGCTTTATTAAGCTTTAATGTTTATAAGTTCTTTTTTTAATTTTCTAATTCTATTTTAATTTTTTAGGGATTTTAATTTTATTTTATTTTCATCTAAGTAATCAATTCATCCATTGTAATGGATAGATGAATTTATATGAAGATATATATCATTTCTTATTAGCGTAATTTACATATAGTTCATGTGATCTTGAATAGTAGATGAAAATTGTCAAGCATCTAAGCGAGTTCTGATTCATTTATGATTGTGTGATTAGTTAATGGAATATCTATTGATTATATTGTATATATCTTCAATTTATTTTGTTGATTATAATAGATTGATTATAGTATAAATGTATTTTTGTAAATATTACTAAATGAATGATATTTTTGATACTAACTACTATAATATATTAAATAAATAGTATAATAATTGTAGAAGATAGAACCAAGATAATATTTATGAAATATAAATGAATTCTATAATAAATATTTAATTATTTAATGGGGTGTCTACAGTCTAGAAATTAATAACTTATAGAAGAACAAAAGGAATAAGCAGGTATGAATGAATAAGATAAGAGTAAAGATAGTTTTTCTATTAATAGATAACAATTTAGATTTGGTGAGTTGTCCATGTTCAGATAGTAATAATAGTGTGAACAAATCTACAAATAGAGTATCTATAGAAGAATGTAGAAATTCTTTTAATCGAAGTATTGATCTAATGCAAGATATCAATAAAAAATTGGAAGCATTTTCTGGAAATGATTCTGATCTATCAGATAGTGAATTATAATGATATTAGTATTTTATAAGTCTTTATAGAATCATATTCATGATTATTAATGTTAGTCAACGATTTCTTAATATTTTTTTATACTTAGATTGATATTTGCTAATTATAATGACATCGCACCATCAGAGAACTGATTCAAAGATTCATAAATTGGTTTCACAATTACCTTCAAGAATCCAATCTCATTTTTGGCATATTAAACTTCATTATCTAAATTTCTGAGATATGGAGTCTAAGCGATACCAACTATATCTTCTAATTAAGACTTTAAAATTTATATTATCAGTAATTTACTTATGCTTAAAATTCTCTCCTTAATCTTTCGCTCCATGTCTTAGCTACTTGGTAAGACTTTGCTGCTCCAAAAAAGTCAGCCGCATGAGTCAAGAAACCACTTAATAAAAGCTTATTATCATCAGATTCTAATTATTATATAACTTCATAAGATACAAAAGATTTTTGGATCCCCTTAAGATTGACCAAATTTTATTTCAATATCATTAAGTAATTTAAAATGATATTAATTATCAGTAGCTAGTACATTATTCACAATATATTTTCTAATCATTATTTTGTCTACTCTAGGAATAGATCCCAAAAAATCACATTATTTTAAAGCCAATAATTTATAAGTGACTGCTATATGATGATTTTCTAATACAGATTTATCATTATATAATAAAGCCAATTTAGTCTAAGCATTAATTTAAAATAAATTATTTGTCCCAGGATGCCCTACATCATGACATAAACCTGCTAAGGTCATAGCAAATCTCTATTAATCATTAAAACAAAATCCAAATTTTTGATGATGAGCAAAAAGAAAACATCCATGCATTACATTAACTCCATGTGTAAAATTATGAAATGGATTTGCTGTTTTATTATATTTGTATTTTAAAGCAGTCAAAAAATTAATGAGTTCATTATTTTTTAATGTAAATTATTTAGTGTATTCAAGCATATCAAAGATATTATACACTATAATAAATTTATTCTTATATAATTTCTTATTCAATAGATTGAATTCATAATCTAATAATCTTTCTTATAAATTAGGATCTATTGCTATTTTTCTTCCATCTGGATTATTCTTATCATCTTCCTCATATTTAGCTAAGAATTATTCTAATTTTTTTGATTTTTTCTTCATAGTATTATCTAGATATTTTTCTAATGCTTAATCATGAGCTTAATTGTAGACCAAATTTAATCTCCTCATATCTTGATCTGGTAAATACATCATCAATGCTGATTATCTATAGAATTAATTGCCCATCATAAGTTTCTTAGATTTAAATGCCAATGTTGCTCTTTATATTGTTAATAAAACTTTAACTTTGTTTCGAAAAATTTGTAATAATTCACAGAGAGGTCTTATTATAATTCAAAAATATAATAAATACCTTTTCAATTACATATAAAATAAATAAAGAGATATTTATTTAATATCTTTCTTCATTCCTCTTTCAACTTTCAAAGAAAATTTATAAAATCCATCATTAAATTCTAAATGATCATTTTTAGATTCAATTAATTCTTTAACCATTTATATTACAATAGGGTTTTTCTCAAATATTTTATAAATAGGATCTCCAAAATAAATTTCTTTAGATAATTTGAATCGAGACCTATATATATATATGTATTTTTTATACACAAATTAATCATGATTCCATTATACAGTCATATAATATAATTATAAATAACTGTTAAAGAATAAACACATAATCATTTCATTATGTTAAGTGACTTATTAGAAAGATTCTAATAAATTCTTTTTTTACTTCAATTTTTTATTATATTTTTTTATACTCTTCTTAAAAGTACTTTTTATTTTTTCTTTCAATTATATGGAAAGGTTGCCTTCCATATCTATATAAACACAATCCCATTCCCTTTTAAAATTTAATAATAAATAATTCTTAACTTTTTATTACAACTATTAACCTTAATAATCTATCTAACTAATCAAAATTTACAAATTAAATTATTTCATTATCTAAATTAAAATGTTAAAGAGCAGTTTGTAAATTAAAATGTTTATAGTCTTTGAAACTAATTATAAAATTTCCATTCTAATAGTCTATTATTTTTTTAATCCTACAATTTAATTTCCTTGTATGATAATTGAAATAATATGATTGTACAGAAAAGTAATTAGGAAATACTATTTAAATGAACTATTGATTTTTTCAGTAAAAGTAAAAAAAATTACATCATTATTTGATATTACATAAAATTGTGGTAATTTTTCTATTTTTAATAAAGTAACATATTCTGCTGAAGTCTCGAATAATTAATTAGATAATTGTGATTTTGTAAATTATCGTATATTTTAAGCTTCTTTAATTGTAATTGATTCAAAATTATTTGTAAGTATTTGACATTGATCATCTTATGTAAATTATAGTAATGTAAATTCATTAATATAATATTGCTTAAGAATTAATCTAATTAGATCCTTTACTTCCTGTTTATGATGTTGTGCAATATAACATTCCTTATAGATTTGATTGATATCTTACTAAGATGAAATTAAGATTCATTTTTACCTTAATATCACGATAAAACTCCTTAATTTTATTCTTGAATGATTTACATATATAGTCAATAGAATCACTAATTATAATGATTAGATAACTTACAAATAAGATTTAATGATGTTTTCATTTACATTTTGAGTATCTAACATTTTCGATATTTAATCTATAAAGTCTCTTTATGATAAACCATTCTCATAGGATATAAGTAATTGCTTTAATTTTGGATCATCCTTAGCAGCATGATCACAAAGTCGAGAATATTAGTCTGATGTTATTAGGGCTTAGTTTTTCAGCTAAATTAACAAGAAAGTTAATCGGCTGGATTGAGACAAATAACTCATTTTTAATAATATTTGAATTTGGAAAAGATTTTAATTTTATACTTTTTATGAAATGCTTATACTTCTAATTTATATTCATGATCATATAACAAGAGATTATTAATTTAAAGAAGGATTGTCTTATACATCATCATTTTCTATAATGGATGTTTTATTTAAATCCTTAGCCCATTGTATATCTTCTTTTAACTCAATCATTTACTTTTAATACTTATATCCTCTCTGAATATATTCTTTGTATTCTGGATTGAGTTCTTCGAAAATATTCAAAACTTAATATAACAAATTTCTTGTGAATTGGTAACTCTTAATTAATATAAAGATAAAATAACATACTTTCTACCAATTTTCAGGAGCCAATATTTTAAATATCCTGTTTGTATCAATGTACTTTGATAAGGAACTAACCTTCTCACCAACCATCAGGATTAATCTACTTACTTGTAATATGAGAGTTACAAAAAGTGATGCTATCTATTTTTATTAGAATTGCTAATCATACTAGAACTAAGGGGAATATCCAATCTGAAAACTTAGAAAAGATCACCACTGTTATTGATTAAACAAGAAATGTCACTACAAAGCAAAATTTAAATACAGAATACAATATAGGTATATAGATGAAACTGTCTAAGCATATAGTATTTATTACCTAAATAAAATACATTCACACCCAATACTGCTGATATAATACGAGCACTCAAAACAACTGCAAATGATGCTCCAAAAGCAACCAATTCAAGTAGTGCATATAATAAATAACTGAATAGCAATAGAGAATCAAATTTGAAGACTGTATCATAATAATTTAAGACAAGATATAGAGATAAAGCTTTTGTTGTAAAGTTAAGGAAAGTCATAAATATTTCTATCTTTTCAATATTATCCAATTTATCAAGTGTATCATTTAATACAGCTTAAATGTCGATATGTTCAGCTTTATGATGATCCATATCATGGATAAGAATTTGTTTTCCTTCCCAATCCTTTCCTATTAAAAGTTCTTAGTTATCCTATTCTTTATTCATTAAAATATAAATAATTATTTTTTTAATTCATTATTAGGTAATTTCAATTCTAAAAATTAAAAATATCAGTAATGTATTACATTTGTTAAACGAATATATATGTGAAATTTTTTATAGCCCTTGTTATACTTTAAAATTATAATATCAGACCAAAATAACTTTTTATAGGTCAAAATAAATACATTTCTAAACAATTGATATAAATTTAATATTTCACATAATATGTATGGCTCATAAGGAGAAATAGGAACTAATGTAAACTTTAATAAATGGACAATCACTTTTAGTAGGGTATTAGAAACTTCAAGCATCTAAAGGCATCAATTATTTGAACTATTTAAAAGTATATTCCAATTGTAATCAATTATAGAACTCGTAAATCATCATATTTGTATTTTTATATTTAGTATCTTTGATCAATATATCAATTATTTATTATTATTAAATTCAATCATAAATAGATTTTGATTTAATTACTTTAATATCAAAATTTTTGAAACTAAATAAATTTAATAATAACTTTTTGTGTGTTTTTTCAATTAGAAAATTTGAAGGAACTATTTTAAACAAAAAAATTATAAATTATAAAGATTAAATATAATATTTTTATTGTTTAAATTGTAAAATAAACATAATTGATTTTCCTAAATGATTAACTAATCTAATATTAATGTTAAATAATAAGAGATTGTTTAAAATGGTTAATTCAATTGATTTATCAAAAATTCAGTTATTTTTTATTAGAAATGATATTAAATCTCTCGAATTTCTCTTAAATTTGATTTATTAAATTTCACATTCAAAGCTCTTTCTTAATTTATAAAAAGTCTTTTAAAATTCTTTCTAATTGATATAACAAAATGAATGTATAATTAAGGTTTTATTTTAATTAATTAGAATTGAGGATAGAAGTCCATTATAGAGTTTAATACTTTATTGGAATGATGAATAACAAATTCTCCATTAAAAAAAATATAAATACATCCTAATAAGATTACTTATGAATAATTTAATAAGTGGGGATTAATTAAGAAAATGAATACTATGATGAATGCTTGAAAAGATAATAACTACATTAGATTTTAGTTTCTGTATTCTTAAAATAAAACATTGATATAGCAAATATATAGATCAAACATCTTATCCACTTGAAGCTACATTGAGTATTTGAAACAAGGCTTTTTTTAAATAAATAATAATTATTACCTGATCCAACTACTACAAACAAGAATACTCCTAATAATATTGGACCCACTGGTAGATTTTCTTCTTTTTTCTATTACAATATTAACATTCAATTATATTACAATCAATGATTTTGGAACCTTTCCTTATTTATGAATGTTTCCTTAATAGTTTTGGCTTCTCAATTTCATTGTTTAAGCAGATGGCTATGATATATAAGAATGAGTACCATCTTGATATTTTTCTAGTTTTAATATTTTTATTAATCAAATCACGCGTGTAATTGTTATTAGTTTAATATATAAAATATATATATCTATATATATGAAAATTAATAAAATGAACCTTATTATTTAATTTCTGAAGAATATTTTCATAATATATTTGATTACTTATAGATATTAAAGAAAATAACTTGAATGATCTATTAGTTTATTTTTAATAAATGGTTTCATTTCTTTGTATGATTCTTATTTTATTGATCTGCTATATATTTTGAAATTTAATTTTGAAGAAGAAGAAGTAAAAGAATATATTGATTTTACTAGGTATGTAAATGATTTTTAATTGCTTATATCAATCTGTTTCTTATAGAAATCCTGCATCTCTTTTAGGGAATGAATTACATGAATCAACATGAATTTCGCTAAAGTTTATTATAATATAAAATATATTACAATCCAGTTCTGCAGCTCCAAACATCATGTAGTTTTTCATCCTATAAACACCAATGTCTTTAACAACATTATGATTTATGTAATCCTGCACAAACATGACCATCTGCTCTTTTACAATCTTTATGGCAATCATTATTTTCAATTGATGATCTCACCCATTTTTTGTCATTACTTGTAATGGGAGGAGCCATTGAGGCAGAAACAATTGTGACTATCAAAAGAACTAATAATAATCTCATTTCCGTTTTTATGTTATTTATTATATATATTATAAATCTAGAAGACTCTACAAAACTCTATGCCATTAAATACAAATTTCTATAAAATTTTAAGAGAAACAACTTATTTTAATATTTTACTATTATTGGTATACTCATTTAAATTATAATATGATACCATGCACACTTATGAATTTCACTTAAAATAAATGAAATAGAAAATAACTGTCTATTATTTATACAAATAATAGATCTATCTCACTATATAAATATAATTTTTTTATGAATTTGGATTAATACTTAGCAGTAGAAACTCATTTGAATTAAAATTATAAAATAAGTAATCTTATTCATCTAAAAAGCCATAATCTATTTATTTCTTCTTTTTAATAAATAATTAAACATAAAATATCAATTATGAATAGGCAGACTCCAGAAACAATCAAAACGACAAAATCAAATAGTTCTAATAACACATTTTTTTATTTTACGGTTGAGAAAATCGATTTTAGCAATCCCAGACGAATGCTATATTTTAAGGCATAATTAGCTCATAGAATAGCTAAAAAGTGAAGTATGTTAATATTTATCTATACTAGACTTTTGCCAAATCCATATCCAATTTTGATCTGATGATATTATGATTATCAGATAACATAATATATAAAATACAATCAAGCATTTGATCAACATTTTGCTGTTTTTCTATTTGTTCTTTTAAAATATTGTTGTTTAGTCTTATAGAAACAAATTGCTACAAAATAGCAATTAGAGAATTTCCAATTAGCTTGAATAAGTAATTTAAATATACCTCAAATGTATAGGTTGAGATAATAAGTATCTTATTAATTGAGAAGAATCTATAGGCTATTAAAGAGTTAATGTATAAATATTAAAATGAAGAATGGATTAAAAACAGGTTGTGACTCGAACGAAAATTTTTAAAAATTCACATATACATTTAAATAAATTTATGATTAATGTTACATAGTTATTTATTTTAACTTGTTATTATATTATCTCTGAAAATAATCCAATTTAACACATTCACTTCAAATTAATAATTATTCAAAAACTCAATGAGTGTCTAGAAGGATATAAAGATATTAGAAACTGGAGAAGCGTTATTGAATATTTTGCAGAAATTTTTTGCGATTAACATTATATTCAAAAGGATGTAAAATAATTTCACTTTAAGTAGAGATAAACTGAAAAATCGAAGAAATACAAATAAAATAAATATTTGTGTTTAATTTATATTAATCAAGGCATTTCTTAATCTTATCAATATTTTAAACACTACAGAAGAATTAATTTATTTTTCAAACATAAATTAAAAATGTTTCCATAAAACAATTAGGAAATTAAATTAAACAATCTATCAATCTAACTGATAATTATCTTGATAAATTCTCTCCATTTTATTTAAAACATAAAAAAATCTTTCTAAAATTTAATATAAAAAGGAAATGCATTAAATAATATACTATGATTGATATTAGTCGAATCAAATAAATATTTGAAACAAAGACTTAAAAGATAGTAGATTTATTAAATTAATTAATATCAAAGATAAATTAAATAAAATTGAATAGGAAATCAATTGATCATAATCTTAGATCAAAAAAGTTAAAAAGATTAAATAATTAAAAATTTAATTTTATTAACTTCCACTCCAAATCACATTATTTCACTAAGTTTTATTAAAGTTTAGTTATCATAAAAATTTATAATGAATTAGTTTAATTGATAAGCATCTCATTAATGATTTTAAATATTATCAAATTTTGATCCATTGAATCTATTATTTTTATTATGAATGCTATGGCTTTTTATTCGTTAATAATAATTCAAATCAAAAATTTTAACAATTATATTTATGAAATCTAAATTTTGTTAATCTAAATTAATAATTAATAGAATAATCGCTTTTTTAATTTTAGATATTTTATAATTAATAAAAATTCTGATTGATTTATCTATTCTATTCTAATGACATATAGAATTTAATCACAAAATATAGATTTTTTCAAATTCAAATAAAATAAAATTTTCAAATTAATACAATTTAAGAAAAATTACATTAAACATGATTTTACTGACTTTATCGTAATTTATAAAATTTATCAGAACTTACAAGAGGCAGTAGTAAAGATATAATTTACAAAAAAAGCAACAATATAACTGCATAATCTTGTGAATTATATTTGATTTTATTTTTAAGTTAGTTTAATTTTAGCTTTAAATGTGTGTAATAAAATACTGTTATAAGAATGTTAAAATGAGTTATTTAATTTATCAGTATTAATTATTTTTAGCCTATAACAATAGGTATCATTTAAACATAAACTAAGATTGGAATTCTTTGAAATTTTCAATTTTTTCATATATCAAATTAATTAATTTTAGTAAATATTTATAAATGGGGGCTTGTAGTGGAATATGTGGATAAAGCAATACAGATCACACAATAGTTAATGCAAATCATGCAAATCAATCAGATGTGGAGTAATAAATTGATTAAGGCCTCAAAGGATCAGGCCATTCAATCAGATAGTCTCAACAATCTTCAGATGTGAATGTTCCTTAAGTTCATTAGGAGAATGATTATTATGAATAACTAAAGCGATCAAATTAGAGGTTTGAAGAAATAAAAACTTAATTACAACATGATTCTTTTCTTGAAAAATGCGAACCGGTCACTCTAGAAACAGGAGCAATTTATACTGGATAGTGGAAAGATGAATAAAGAAATGGGTGGGGAAGATAAGTTTGGCCAGATTAATCAGTATATGAGGGAGAATGGGTTAATGATAAGGCTTGTGGTAGAGGTAAGTTAATACATGCAGATGGAGATATTTATGATGGTGAATGGGCTAATGATAAAGCTAATGGTTTTGGAAGGTATTATCATAGTAATGGAGCAACATATCAAGGATAATGGAAAGATGACAAATAAGAAGGATTTGGTGAAGAAACTTGGCCAGATGGATCTAAATACAAAGGATAGTATATAGATGGTAAAAAGCATGGTAAAGGAAGATTAGAATTTATTGATGGTTCCTTTTATGATGGAGAATTTTAAGCAAATGATATCCATGGGAAAGGTATGGAATTATATTTATTTATTTAGGTTTGTATGTTTGGGCTGACAAGAGGTAATATAATGGAGATTGGTATAAGAATAAAATGCATGGATATGGATTAACTAAATGGCCTGATGGTAGATCTTATGAGGGAGAGTAAATTATTAAATTTAATATATTATTAGATATAAAGAAGATAAAAAACATGGGCATGGTACCTTTATTTGGAGTGATGGTAGAAAATATATTGGTTAATGGGTTGATGGAAAATAATAAGGTTAAGGAGTCTTTATTAAATCAGATGGGACAACAAAACGAGGTGAATGGGCAGATGGTAAGAGAATTAAATGGATAGATGTTTAAAAAGACAGTTAATGATCTGACATTTAATATTTATGATTTATTATTAAACTACTCTTTATTTACATTTCATAGTTTTTAATATCATTATACTAAATTCACTACTTTTTAATTAAGCAAATAATACAAATTTTATAGTAAATAATTCAAATGGTTCTTTTCTAAATATATGATATTTAAATCAATTATTAACTAATATGTTCTTATTCTATTTATTTTGTTCTTTCTGATTTAAATTTATTCCTTTTTATTTAATTAAATAGAGAAGACTTTAACATATATAATTAAAATTGTAAATTTGGCTTTAATTTATTTATTCTATATAAAATGAGGAGTTCAAATACATCAAAATTCAAGCTTTGATTTTTTTGTTCTGTTTAAATATCTCTTATTTTTTAATTTTTGGACATAAAACTATTACTTTTAAGTAATGTTTCAAATAATAAAATCTCTCATTAAATCTTATATGTAATTAATATATTGATTAAGATAAGTAAATATAATAGTTAACCATTAAGAAATAGAAAAAAAGAGTGTATATTTAATTTATTTAATTATTTTGTCCTCTTAATAGGTTGCTAACATATATGTATTTAAGGCTAATAATAACTAAGTTGAAAATAATAATTTTAAATTTAAAAAACTTTAAAATGAATATAAAACTTATTTATATAAACTATTATTTAAATAATAATTTTTCACTGAAGATTCATAAAATTTCATAATATGTTTCATTTAATATATTTAATAATATTTTACTTGAAATACATATTAGTTAATGATGTAAATAATTTCTTAATAATTTGAGTTTAATTAATAACTCATAAAAATAAATGTTATCAAATACATCAAGAGGGCACTAATAAAATCAATTTTCAAAGACTTAAACTCAAACTCTGATTCCCCTTTCTGAATTAAATAATATTAGAGGAAAGCTTAAGGGTGGCAATTTAGCTTAAGAAGAAAGATAATTGGATAAAATGAGAATGTATAACTTGTTTTAATTTAAAGGAAGGCAAATTCTGAGGAGAGGATGAAACGATGGCCTACTACAATAGCAGCTTATAAATAAAAAAGAGATTAACATAGATTTGAAAAATTTGCTGCAGCAGAGGAAGAGAGAAGGTAAATTGATATTGAAGAGGAAATCTTTTAGAAAGGACAAAAAAAGATTACTTTAGAATAAGCAAATAAATAAATTTATGAGGATAGCGATAAGGTTAAAGCTTTTCATGGAAAAATGTTATTTTCTGATGTTTTGTAGGAGAGGGATGAATAAATTTTAATGGAGAAATATAAGAAAGAACTTCTTAAATAATAAGAGGAGATATATTAATAAATTTTAGAAGAATAATTAGATGAATATGATTAAAAATAGAGTTTAAAATAGAAAATGTAATAATAAAGAAAAAAGGAATAAATGAATATGTTACACAAGTAAGATAATAGATATTTAGATAACATGAAGAAATGAAAGAGAAATATCTCACAAAATTGAAAGAAGAGAGGATTGAAGGAGAATTAATTAAATAAAAGGTTAAAGATGCTTTAGAAGAGGAATAAAAGATATAAAGATTAAAATAGGGAAAGATTTTGGAAAATTAGAGATTAGTATAATAGGCAAATGATTAATTAAAAGAGTTTAAGATTTAATAAAGAATTAAGGAGAAAGAGGAGGATGAATAAATAAGATTGCATGCAGAGAAGAAATAAAGAATAGCTGAGATGAGAAAGGTTAGAGAGGATTTAAAATTTCATGAGAAATAGTAATAGAGATAAAAAATGATAGATCGATAGATTTAATAGTTAGAAATAGTTAAAAAGGCATAAGAAGAACATTTAAATAAATAAATTATAGAAGCACAAGTTAAAGCTGAAGAAGTTGAAAAAATAAAAAAGTAGAAGAGAGAATAAATGTTTAAAGCAATTGATTATAGCAGAAAGATAAAGGATGAAGTTAAATAGAAAGAATCAAAATGTATTTTGTATTGTAATCAGTTAAGCTGTTGATTATCATAAAAAAGAATTTTAAATATATTGGGAAAAAAGAGGGAAAGAACTAGAAGAAATAGAAAATGTAGAAAATACAGCATAAAGAGATAGGAGAATTCAAAATGCAAAATATTAATAAGATTAAATTAATGAAAAGACAGTAATTATTATTTTATTAAATTATTATTAAGATTTTAAGAGAAAAAGAATATCTTGAATAATTAGATTAATAAGAAGAGAAATAAAGAAAATTAGAAAAAGAGGATGAAATTTTTATGATATGGGCAAGTTAAAAGATTTAAGAATAATCAAAAGAAGGAAAGAATATATTGCCATTAATAAAAGAATTAAAAAATTTAAGTAAAGTTTAATGATTATATATATTATTTAATTATGTTTGGTATTTAATATATTTACATAAATGTAGAATTTCAATTTTTTTTATTTTTCTTATTATTTTTATTATTTTATATTATTTCCTTTTTAATTTTTTTTGATTTATTATCTTATTTTTTTTACATGTTTTATTCTTCTTATTATTATTAATACTAAATAATTTCTATGGATACACAATTTTCTATTTTCTCTGGTTATTTTTGTTATTCCTCCTTATTTAGACAATTTTCACATTTACACAAATCAGTGCATTTTTAATTGATGCTATAACATTCACAGTATTTTTTCTTACATTCTGATTTTTTACAATTGCAACCCTTTTTTGTTTCTTTCTGTATGTCTTTCTAAGACTTTTATTCTTTCAATATTTAAACAAATTTTATACCTTAAATGATTTGTGGCTATTAGCCATTATTTGTTAAAATGGGAGCAAATGCTTCTGGATTTCTAAGGAGTGCTTCTTCTATAGCTTTAGATCTTTCATTTGGATTATCAATTCTATTTTTGCATTCAGTACAATTACAACTTTAGGAACATACCTAAAATATTGATTAATAAAACCCAATTATTTGTAAAACATTCACAATATAGTTTTAGACATTTACTTTTTTTGCAATTGCATTAAAAAGGAGAGACTTTTTAATATTAAACTAATTGACTAACTTTAGATTAGAGTTCTTTAGATAAAGTATTTTAGTATTAGGACATATCATAAGGAGGATAGTAAAATGGTGGATATGGAGGTCTATACCAAGGAGGAGGATATGGTTATGGAAATTTATGCATATACTAGTTATTTTGAGGATATTTCATTTGTTAAGGTATTTACAAATAATATGGTGGATAATTGTTAAAATGGCGATTATGATCGTCTTCCTATTATTCTAAACCATCTCCAGCAGATAGTTTTCTAAATGGATATTTTGGCTTATTTTTATCTATGAGTTCTTGTTCAGGTAAGAGATTGAATGCAGAGATATTTTAAGGAGGTTAGAGATAAAACTACTATGGAGTGAATCTTGGTGATATGGTTTGTTATTGTTATGGCCAATCTTGATCATAATAGTGAAGTTTTTTATCAGGTTTTTGTTCATTAGAATTGTGATCATCTTAATTCATAATAAATTAATTAAAAATTAATAATGGCAGCAATCAACAAAGAATAGGTTGACATGGATAACCCAGCATTTGCCTAATAAGATCCACATCTTAAAATAAATGATGAAGAAGAAATGAGTTTACCACCTTAATTTAGAAATCGTTACCCAAGAAGACCACCACTTTTTGATGGTTTATTGAATAATGTTAGAGCTGTTACAAAAAAAGTAGAACATATCAAAGGATTTAAATTTGAAGTAGCAGGAGGATTATCAAATAATTTTCATTTAGCTCATTCTTGGATGATTCCTCCATCAGTATTTTGATCATATCTATAAATTTAGAACAAAGGCAAGGCTCCTAATCCTAATCCTATGAAATAACCACCTGTCCCAAGCTATACTCTAGCTGCTCAATATTTAGGAGGAGAATTGAGAACTCCATTTGATCAACCTTCTTACATTATGACAGGAAGATGGGACTCTACAGGTAAATTAGAAGCTGCTATCATAAAGAAATTGAATGAAACATTTAATTTTAGGTATTTCTATACAATTCTATCATTAAAATAGATTAAGTGCTTTCTATTTAGATTCTAGTCCAAATAATGCATAAGTTCATTTAGATTGTGATATTTCTGGAGAAGATTATGTTCATTCAATTAAATTGGGTACAGGATTGTACAGTTTTAATATGATGTAAACAATTGGAAAGAGGGTAGTTCTAGGATATGAAATGATGACATTAGTATTATATTAAATTATACTAGACTGAAAGAAATATGTCATTGATGAGTTATGCATTTAAATTTGGAATAAGTCAAAAATAGAATTTCTATGCCTAATATGTAGGAGCTGCTGATTAATTGATTTTAGCTTATAATCAGAGAGTATAGATAATTATTTAAATTTAGCTTTTGGATAAAGCCTATTTTATGTCTGAACTTGAATATTCAAATTAATCTGGAGAATCTAGAACTATTCTTGTAATAGAATTTATTCATTAATTTTTAAGGGTTATAGATAAAAGTTTGCCACATCAGAAGTCATTATAACTGTCAATTCAAAAATGAAGTTTAGTTCTGCTTTAACTTTGTAAGGATTTGCCTATCAATTAAAATTATGTGCAATTGCAGATTACACCAAGGATTCATATAAGTTTGGTTATGGTATTGCAATGGGTTAAGTTTGATAACTAGTATATAAAAAAAATATATTTTCAAGTTTTAGTTATACTTTTTATATATTACTTTTTTTGAATATCTACTTATCGATTAATTGATATAATTGTCGATAAACTTATGAAATTCAATGATTTAATTAATAATAAATAAGAAGAAACTTCTTATAATTTATTTAATTAAATTAGATATGAAATTTAATTAATTAAGAGTTTATACTAAACCGTATTTGAATATATACAGAAATGATTTAAAAGCTCTAATTATTAAAAGAATCTAATAATGAGAAGATTTATTTAATCTAATCATATCTTAATTGAGTTGATATTGTTGTCCATACTAATCCCTTCCTGTTATTCAAGCAATAATTTGAGAAGACATATAGAATGTATTTTAATATATTACATATTAGGGCATCAGATTGAGCATCAATCTACATCATTTTCTCAAGTAGAGAATACAATATGTTACATATTTGGATTCATAAGTATGATTTTGGCTCTTTCTATTTTGTGGCACAATGAAAGAAGGTTTTTATTTATAAAATAATATAATAGAAATGCAATTACAGAATATAGATTAGAAGAAGCAAAGAAATTATGTACTTCAGTCAATTCACTAGAAGTAAATCCTAATACTAATAATTAATTAATTCACACAAATGGTAAAACATCATCTATATCATTTTATTAGGCTTGAGTTAAACCTCTGATCTAATTGTTGATGCTGCTTTTGGTTTGACTTTAAAAGATTGCGTTAAGCTAGTTAGAACAGTCGAAATGTATTTATGGGTAGTGATAGAATCTCAAAATGATGATGGATCAACTAGTGTTTCTGTTTTTTAGGAATGGAGCACAGATTTCTGTGAAAATTGTGGAACTTGCAAAAATGATAAAACTAAATGGATTGTAGAAAAAGAGACATAAATTAATTAGAATGTTCGCATAGGTGCTTATTTAATGAGCAAATCTTTAGCATTACAAACAAATGCAAATTAAAGTATTATAATGACTAATAATAATGCTTAAGCAGCTGCCTATTTCTATGGATATTCAAAAGGATTTGAGAATTTGTAACACTTATTAATATATTAGTGAACCAAATGGAAAATATTTATATTTCTAATAAAATAAAGGAACTTTAACAATGAATGATTTAAGAGTCTCATTTGATTATTCAAAAACTGGTCCTACAACAGTGGTTTCTCAATAATATAATGATTCATTTACTTCTTTTGTAGTTCACGATAAATTTGATGAAACTGTGGCAAGAGATATAAATTTTGATTAAATGTAATTCTCTTTTGTTAATTGCTGTTGTTGTTGTTGCAAGTTCTTTAGAGCAATCGATCAACCCCTAACTGAAATAGATTGGATATTTGATTCAATTATGACATAAAATCAGGTTTTTAAAAAAAAAATAAATTATGATGCATGTGTCGCATTGATAAAAAGAATTCTAGCATACTTAATAATGGTAATATATTTTATTAATTTTATATAGGGAATTGCATTTAGCTTGTTATTCTATCCTAATTCATGGGTAGTTTCATTGTCCCCTTTGGTTGGATACTTTTTAGCTTCACTCACTGGATATGTCTATATTTTAGCCAGTTTTATAATAACTATTCCAATAAACGTATTAATTATAGGCTGTGTTTGGTTAAGGTATCAACCAAAATAAGGAATTGCCTTTATTGTATTTTCTGCTTTAATTGGAGTAGCAATATCTTATTACATTCTAAGTTATAGTTGAAATAATAAAAATATAGTTCCATTAAAAATAAATACAAAATATTTAATAAAATTGAATCTCTTCCTTCTATTTCATTCAATGTATAATATAATACAACTAATAATCAAATTATGGCTATATTTCAGATTCCAGATATTACTTTTTCATATTATTATTATAATAATTTAAATTAAATTATCATATAAATTTAATACTGATTTTAAGTTACTAATAATAATCTTTTATTTATATTATTTTAATCCTTCTAGTTATAAAATTCTATATTTTTTTAAAATATATATATTAATATTAAAATATAAGTCACAATATAATCATATAAATAATGGTTAATTCACTTATAAAGGCAAATCAAAGTAGTCTTAAATTTTATTAGATTTAGACAAGTGTTCATAAAGTTGTTTAAATTCTTCTTAGATCTCTAAAAATCGATGAACTTTTTGAGAAATAACTTAATAATTAATAGGGGAATAAATTGTGAGAGGATTATAAGGAGGACATTCTTCCAAAGCTATAAATGGATGTTATTATCTAATTTAGATTTATTATTTACCCATAACTGTCAATATATATACCCTCTTTTAATGGGTCGAATTGAGTACCATACTTCTTTAAAAAGTCAAGAAGAATTTATTTTTTATCATTTTAAGTGTAATGCTTACACATATAGATTGCAGCTAACATTATTGATAAACAAAATGAACTTATTCCCCCTATTTAGAATAGATATATATTAAATACCTGTGTGGGCATCATTTAAATTTTTTGATTTAACTAAATGTTTTAGAATTAACATGATATCTCGATACCACACAAATCTACTTATCCAATCTTTAATAATTGTAGTTGAAGCAAATCCCAAATGAGGATTATTATAAACATTACTCCATTAATATATCCAACTAATATCCACCTAAATGATTTTTCCTAATAAATTTTAATATTTAATAATACCTTAATCATTTTAATCTAAATGAAAATAAGACCAGTTTTATTTTATATGTTAATCATCATCATAAAAACTTGATTTTGGATTCAATTCTAATTTAAGAATTGGCATATGACTTTAAATTAATCTAAAGATATTTATAATGATAATTACTTAGATTTAATTAAAAAAGGTGTTTACTTTAAAGTAGTATTTAATAGTTATAGAAAACTTACTATTTAAATATAGGTCAAGTTTTAGGATCCCCATATTCCGACATCTACATCACTTATCTCTAAATCTAGTCCGGTTTCAAAAGATCCATATGGATACATATTTAGATGGTAATTAGTATAAATAAGATAATTAAGTCTATTCAAACAAATTTATTTTCTAATTCTATTTTGATAACTTTTTTATTGAATATAATTGGATAATTCATCAATATCATAAGTTTTAGATTTCACTATATTCAATTGTTTTCTTTTAATGGGTGTGGTTTATGTGGAATGAGGATATTATTTATCACCAACTTTTTCTCCATTATTGTTATAGTTTTTCTTTTTTGTTTTTTCTCTGCTTGATAATTTTTATGCACTTAATTCAATTTATTTATTTTCATATGATTATTATAAACAATCATCTGATTCTGATTATGAATTTCCTGCAGTTGTACTTCTTGCTCCAATCTAAATTATAAATACATATAAAATACATGACTAAATTAAGTATCAAAGTCAGCAGAATCTTTTTTGTTTTCTTATTCACAATTTTCTATCTAAGTGCTGCTTAGTTATTTTTTTTATTTTTACTAAGTTAATTATTGTTTTATTTTATGAGACCCTTATGGAGTCAGTTAATTATGTTATTTTTCTTTAGATTGTTATTATATTTATGGTTATTGTGGGTACTATTTTTGAGTTAGAGTTTAATTTTTAGGTAATTTCAATGAGGAATCTGTTTTATTCTTCCTGTTCTTTGCTTTTTTATGTGATTTTTATTTTTAAGTAGGAAATTGTTATGCTGTTGGAGGTAATTAAAATGAATCAATATCGTTTTAATCACAATTTTATATAACTTTACATTGTTCAGAAATTTATTCTTTCTAATTCTGTTACTAACAATTAAATTAAAGTTCTTCATTAATTATGCTCAAAGATAAACTCATTATATTTTTTATACAAGTATTTTCATCAAATTCTTCATTCTTTTTTTTCAATATAGCCTTACTCTATTAATTTATACTAAACTTGATACATTCCCTTAATTAGTTCCTTCTGAATCTTTTCTACATTCAAGCTATGATTTTTCTTTTTAATTATCAATCTAATTGTTTTTAGAGCGAAATTATTTTGTTCCTTTTATCGTCTCATTATTCTTACATTCATTCATTTGGCAAGATGTGCTTTAATTTTGCATTAAAGAAATGATTTATTTATTTTTATTATTTCTCAATATGATTAATTTTAATACATTATGTATTCAATAATACTTAGCATTTTTAAATAGTGTAATACCATACATGAACTAATTAATAGCTTCAAGGATGAATTATACCATCTCTAAATGAAAAATCGATCAAATTCATTAAGAATTATATTTACTTCGAAATTTAATTATAATATCATCATAAGAGATATTAATTAATGATTTTTAATATCTAACATATAAATAGTAATATAATAATTTAAAAGTTATTTTAAATCAGAATCCTTCATACTTTTATAGATTTTTATCTAATATATATAAAATTATATGAAATTTAGCTTTGATTGGATATCTATCAATCTTAAAAAAATGTTGAAATTGTGAAGAAATGAATTCTTAAAATTACAACTAAATTAGATCTAATATCTTAAAAACTAAAAGATTAAGTAAACTAGAAATTATGTTCTAGAACTAGAATGATAAAAAAATGAAAATAGAAATTATAAAATTTAATATATCTCTATCGATTATAAAAATATATATAAAAAAGAATATAACTATAATTAAAATGCATTATCTTTAATTCTTTCCAATTCTGTCTAAATATCTGGAGCTTTAATAATATGAAATTTATTCTTTATTATTTTTAAATCTAATTAATTTTCTTTGTAATAAATTATTTATAATAAATGATTGTTTTTATTATCATATAAATATGGAAAATAATTGTATAATTTTATTTTTTTATCAACTTTTGAATAAAATCATCATAAATAGTTTGATTAAAGATAATTTTTTAAGAATTCTAATATTTTTATATATCACTTTCGATTACATAATTGTAATAAATGTTATTAATTAAAATAGTAAAATAAATAATCAAAAATGTTTAGATTGTTTGATTCGAATTATCAATAAATGAATCAAATTATTGAAGAAAGTGGAAATGTTCTTTGGCTTGGTGATTTTACAGCAGCATTAGACAGGACTCTTCTAGATTCAAAAGGTATTAAAACAGTATTAACTGTTGCAACAGGCTTAGATGTTTCTTATAGAGAACCTGGAATAACTCATAAGGTAGAGAATTTAATATAAGATAGGTATATCATATCCTAGATTCAGAAACTGCAAATATTGGTAGATTATTTTCAGACACCAACACTTAAATAATTGAAGGTTTAAAAAGAGGATCAGTTTTAGTACATTGTGCTGCTGGAGTCTCTAGATCAGCTTCAGTAGTGATAGCATATTTGATGAAAACAAAAGGATTAGGTTTTTAAGAGGCATTTAACTTTGTAAAAAAGAGAAGAAGTGTCATTTAGCCTAATTATGGATTTATCAAATAATTAAGAAATTATGAAAAAGAAGTAAAAGTAGTAAAAAAGGAACCACTATAACTTAAAATAAGTGAAAATCCATAGGATGGAAAGGGTTGGTAAATGATGAAGACTTAAGAAAGGAAGCCAGCAGATCTTAACATAGTTGGCTAATAAGCTGTTCAATAAAGATAACCTAGTGTATTAGCTTAACCAAAAATCACTACTTCAAATTCTACAAGAGCTAATTCAACTGTTAATTCGAAAAAGTTGTTTGAACCATAAAAGACTTACTAAGGACCATAGATTGTAACCTATGCAAAAAATAATAAATTAGTTCTCAAAAATCATTTTGCAATGCCTGAGATAAAATAAAAAAATTACAAGTGAAAAGTATACTTATTTATTTCATTTAATAAAATTTAATTAATTTCATACATAATTATTATAAAATGTATCTATGAATTAATCATAATATATGTAATCTATAGTTGTTTATATTAGTATTAATTAATTGATTTATTTTTTTAAGTTATCATTAATTATTATTATACTCCTAGATTATTATTAAAAAGTATACAAATAAATTTAAGAAATTAAATAACATAAATATTAATATTATATTCAAATCATATACTTTAATTATCTTTCTAATAATTATTTCATAAGTTCAAAAATATTGATTTATAATTATTATGAGTACTTCTATTGATATTTTAAATTATGAGATTGTAAATGCAATTCTATTTAAATTCAGTTGATTTAAAATATATTAATAAAATCAAATGGACAGAAAGAAGTTATTATTTGAAAGCAATTTGAAAAATAATTGTTAAGATCTTATGGCTGGTATAAGAGAAACAAAAGCTAAAGTAAATGAAATCCGTTCTAGGTGTGATTCTATAAAAAGAGGAAGTTCAAAGTAATTTATTCATTTATCAATAGATAACCTTATGAAGTAAATAATAAGTCTTATGAAATATCAACTAAAACAAGTGGAAGTTTTATAAATATCAAAGATAATGATGTTTCTTATTTAAAAAAGAAAATTGAAGAATTATAATTTAGAATAGATTCATAAGACTCAAAATTAAAGGCAAGAGAGAAGGAGATTGTTTATTAATAATCTCAAATCAAATAATTTGTACTTGAGATTAATGAAATTTAAATAATTGAAGACAATTATAAAGAAGAGATATCAGTTTTGAATAAGGAATTATCATAATGGAAAGAAAAATATTTTGCAAATCTCAAAGAATACTAATTTCGTTAAGCTCAATAATCTCGATAGTAATAATAAGAGCAAGGTCTAATGAGAAAGAAATATGAAGAAATAATTGAATAATAATAAAGAGAAATAGAATCTATTGAAATAAGGTTTGAAAATGAGAGGGAAAATCTATATAGAGAACTTGAGATATAAAATAAAACTTAGTATAAAAACAATGAATTGAATGTAAAGAATAACTAATATTATTAGGAAATTATAATTCAATTAGAATAAAAAGAAAATGAAATTCATAAATTAAAAGAAAAGATTTAAGGATTGGAGACAAATAAGGAAGAATTAAAATTACATCTATAATAATAGACATCTAAATTGAATGAATAAATCAATAAAAATAATTATGTATCATCTCTATTCATTAAAATAGATTGAATAATAAAGGAATCAAGAAATTTAAAATATTTAATTACAAATACAAGCAAAAGATAAGCAAATTAAAAATTTATTTAGTCAAATTGGAGAACAGAGAAATAAGACTAATATATAAGATTAAGAGAAATTACTATAATTAGAAAATTTAAATAATTAACTAGTTTAAGAGATAAGTTTATTAGAAGGAGAAGTTGCAAAATTGAAATAATAAGCAAAAGATTTTTAGAAAGTACCATCATTAGAAAAAGAGAATGAAAATCTTTAAATGATTATTTAAGATTAAAAATAATAGAATCATGATATAAAATAATAACTAAAATAATTTTAAGAAGAAATTAATTAATTAAAAGGATAAGATTAGAATAAATCTAATACAATATAATTAGAATAAGAAATTAAATATTATGCAAGATTATTAAGTGAATTATAAGAAGAAAATGGTAAACTATAAAATTAATTGATGGATTATGAAGAAATAAATGAAGAATTGATAATATTGAAAAAGAATAATGAAGAATTATTATAATAATAAAATGAGGAATTTAAAATTATAGAAGGCAAATCTTTAAAAATTAAATAATTAGAATCAGAATTAACTTAATTAAGATAATAGAATTAAATGAATTAAAATTAAAATTAATAAGAATCAATAATATAAGAATTGAATAAAAAAATAGAATAATTAAATTTGATAAATAAAGAAAAAGAAGCTGAAATATAATATTAATAAGATTTGCTATTAAAATAAAATATAAATTCAAAGGATTTTGATAAATTAATAACATAATAAAAGGCTGAAAATAAAGAGTATCAAATATAAAATAATTAATTGACAAATCAAATAGTATTATTATAAAAATAAAATTAAGAAAATTTGGAGGAATTACAAAAATGTTAAATGGAGATTGAATTATTAAATAAGATAAATGAAGATAATTAAAAAAAAATAAATAATTTAGAGAAAGAGAAATAATAAATATAAAATAGTTTTGATCATCATTTAAAAGAAATATAAAAAAAGGATGCTGAAAAATTATCAAACTTTACTTAATTAGAAAATGAAAATGCAAAATTATATTAACAAAGAAATAAATTATAAGAAAAAATTGGAGAATTAGAAGAAGCTGCAAATTAATAATCCATTGAATTAATTAATCTTAAATAACAAAATTAAGAACTTTTAAATGAATTTAAAGTTACTTAATCACAATTAGAAATATAAAATTCTCATTTAATTAATAATAATGAAGAAGTATAAAAATTAAATTTCTTATGTCAGGAATAATAAAATATTATAAATGAAAAAGAATAGTTCATTATATAATTATAATCATAGAATCAAGAATTAGAATTATAAATACAAAAATTAATTATTGAAAATCAAGAACAATAAGAATCTAAAATTTAATAATAGTTAGAGAGAATTTCAGAGTTATAGTAAAATTTAGAGACTCAATAAGAAGGATAAGATTAAGAAACATTATTATATGAAATTGAATTATTAAAATAAAAAAATTAAGAATTAGAAAATTAACTTAATTTATAAATTGATGATGATGCAGAAGAAATAGATAAATTGGAAAAAGAACTTTATCAATAGAAATAGAATAATAATGAATAAAAATTAAATTTAGAAGAATTATAAACTTAAAAAGATGATTTATAGAAAAGAATTGAAGAGAAGGATGAAGAAATAGAAAGATTAAAATAAATTGTATTTGAATATTAAGAATAATAAGATGAATCAAAAAAATAAATAGAAGATTTATATAACAATCAAAAAGAATTAGCAATAGAATTGAGTGAAAATTAAAAAATTATTTAAGATTTAGAAATAACAATAGTTGAAAAAGAAGAATAAATTAAGAATCTTTAATAATAAGTACCTTAAAATGATTATGTTAATGAGGATACAGAATTACTAATATCTTAAATAAAGTAATTTAAAGAATAAATTGAAGATTAAAAATAAACAATTATATAATTAGAATAATAAATAAAAAATAATGATGCTTAATTAAAATAGAGAATATATGAAAACAGATAAATCAATTTATAAGCAGAATTAATTGAAATTAAATTAACAAGAGAAATTGAAGACTTAAAAAATAAAGCATTTGAAGCTATATAATAAAAAGTGAAATATGAGAATGAATTATTAAAATTTTAATAAATATCTTAAAAATAAATAGAATTATCTAGAATAGAACCAAATAATTAATAAGGTACATATGAAAATGAAGATTTAAGTAATATTGCTTTGGGAAAAGCACCAGAACCTGAAGATAATGAAGAAGAATATTCATAGAGTTTTGAAGAATATTAAGAGGATCTTGATAATAAAGACTAAGACAAATAAGAAGAATTATAAGAACCATAGATTAATATAGTATAAATTGAAGAGGTTTAATAAATAGAATTAGATAATCAATAAGAAAATGAGGAGGTCTTTGAATTGAAGAATGCACAATAATAAGATTAAAATTCAGATAATGAATTGTAAGAGCAAATAGATGAAATCATTTCAAATAATTAATAATAATAAATTGAATTAGATGAAAAACCAAAAGATTAATCTGAAATTCATTAAAAGTATGAAACAGAGGACTTATTAGAACTTGAAGAACCTGAAGTTAAAATTGTATAAATGGTTTAATAACCGTAAATTGAATTAGATTAACAAAATAACAATCAAGATATTTTATAATTTGGGAATGCAACAGCAGATGATATCGATTTAGGAGATAATAATATTCCATTTTAATAGGAGCATAATAATAATTCTAAAGTAGAAATTCAAAAGGACAAGCCTTAAGTTGCATAAGATCTTTTAAATTTATTAGATATTTAAGAACCTGTAATAGAGATAGTTTAAAATTAATAATATGTTTAATTAGAACTAGATTAAGAAAATTTTGATTTGAAAGAATCTGAAGTTCAAATATAGCAAATTGAAGAAGAATTTGAAATATAATTAAATAAGAAACCTTAAGAATTTATTGGTTAATATTTAGAAGAAGAAGAAGAAGTATAAGAAGAAGAATAGGAATTAAAGAATGATTCATAATTAGAATGACTTATAAAATTATGGTAACATAAACTACAGTAAGTTAGTTATAAATATATTATCTTTCAATCTTATTCAAAATCTAATTTTAAAGGAGAGAGTGAATTACAATTTTTTTCTGACCCACTTAGGGAAGTTGTTTACTTAAATGAGAAACGTAATGAAACTTTCCTACTTTTTCTTTTGTTCAATTTTTCTTTAAGCTTTTAATTGGCTTTTAAAAAACGTCTTTATTATAAATGTTCTTCAAATGTTTTGGGTACTTTAATTTTTTCTTATAAGGCATCCAAATTTTTTAATTAGATTTCAGTCATTAATTCATCAAGTTCTTATTATATAGCTTAAATAGTTTAATCTTTTAATAAGATTTATTTTTCAAGTTGAGTAATTTTTTTTCTAAATTATTATCTATCCATTAATGACATAAAGGCTTCAGTTTCTCTTTCTTGATCATCATCTTCATTCTCTTCTTAAATGATTTTTTCTAATTAGAATTTTTAATTTGAAACTGACACTTAAAATATATATATATAAATAATTACTTTCTTATGGACTTTTAGAGCTTGAAACTGAATTCATATGTTTAAGTTAAATTGTTTAAGATGAATGTTATTAATTTCTTTTAAAATGTTTTTCACCATGAACTTCAATAAATTATATAGCTTCTTCATATGCTAATTTAATCATTTATTTTCTTTTTTAAGCATCCTTAATCATTTTAGCTCCTTCATCTCTAAATTAATTTAAATATATGAGTTTAAAATGTTTTTTTGATAATACATAAAATTCACATTTTTTTGTTGTCATAATTGTATATTTTCTTTTTTCTCCATAAAACAATATATCTATTTCACCAAAATAAGATCCAGGTTTTATCATTAAAAATTTAAAATTATCATTATCTGGAATCACTAAAGCAAGCTTTCCACTTTTAACAAAATATATTTCTTCTGCATTATCACCAGTCATAAATAAATATTCATGAGCTCCTACTTTTAATGGTGTCAAAACAGGTCCTATAGCTGCTATAAATGTAGGTGCTTTATCTTGAAAATATTTAATTTCCTCTTATAATTACTTATTCATTATAAATGATAATTCAACTCTTAATTAAGGAGGTAAATCCTCTAAAAGTGTATTATAATTCAATAATAAATTTTTCTTACCTGATTTTAATTCTTTTTTTACTTTTTAAAAGATAGCATTTGAAATATGAAATTCTTTCTTAATATTTTTCAAAGTTGAAACTCTATGAACATAAATAGAATTTGCATGATCCATCCTATCTAAAAATGATGCTAAAGAACCAACAGCAAAAGAAAATATATATACTGATACTAACATCCAAAATATTGCAAATAGAAATGATGGCCACTTATATACTTTTACATCACCATATCCAACTGTTAATATAGTTTATACTGCCCAATATAAGGATACTATATATTAATCATATCCTGATATAAAATTATATTCCCAATCAGGATCTTCTGATAAAGAGGCTATGAAAAACCAAATACATCCAGTAACATGACAACTAAATATCAATAAAATAAATGCATAAAGAAATCTTTCACTTCCTATATTAATATTAATCACCTTTATATATTAAACATCCTTCAATTAAATCATTCTAAATATTTTAACCATTTTTATAACTCTATATATTTTAGGTAATTTTGATAATCTGGCTATATTACTTGATTTATTATAATCTTAGAATATGAATTAAAATGGAAAACAAGACTAATTATTATTTATCATAAATATACTATTAAATCTACTGCAAACCAACCTTTTAAATAGTTGATAGCAATTAATTTAGGATCTTTTATTATATTATTCTCTTCATCATAATAAGAACATAAAAATGTACAGATTATATCAGCCATAAATAAATAATCAATAGAATTATCGAAATAATCCCATCCAAGAAATTCTCCATCATCTATAAATGCCATCTTATATGGTGTAAATATACAAACATATCTAATAAATCGTATTATGATACATTAATACTATAAAAATTATTGCATCCCAACTTTATTTTAATCTGCTTTATTGACTTATGATCAGTGAACATTTAAGAGATTATGGTGATTCAGTATCCTTTAAACGAGATTATCTTCTAATCTTAGAGGGTTTTATATCACTTGCAACATTTCTATCATCTTCTTCTCCACTTCCCTCTTTCGATCCTTGTTTAGATCCAAGAACTTTTTAAAAACATTCATTAGAATCCTGTTGAATTAAAGGAAAACTAGCCTATGATACCCGCTTTGTTTCTATAGGTTAGGAATAATGAATAGATGGCTCATCTTATTATTATAGATTAATGGATTGACTTCTTTTTCTAAACGATTATTTATCTTCTTTACTTACTGAGTTATTGTTTGGCAAATATTGATTTTTCTGCCAAATTCCTTAAAGACATATTGTTTCTTTGCATCATTGATTTTTTATCAATGGGAGAACCAAGAGGTTTTTGCATAAAAATTAATATACAAAATATTATTAAAAATGGGAAATTAATAAGATAAACCACCATAATCAATAAGCAAATCATAATAATAACAATAATAATAATAATCAAAGAAAACTAATCAAGTACAAAATCAATATCACATTGCTTATACTTAGACATTTAATACTTATTAATAAGAAAATAAAATCAATATTTCGCATATTCCTATAGAGAATCAACAATTAGGACTTTAATTTAAATAATTCGTACTATCAATATTCAAAACTGATACCTTAAATTTATAACAATACTTAGATTTATGTGATATCTTAACAAAAGCTCCTGACTATAATATTAAATATTTAAATAAGATGCGTCCAGTTGAATTGATGTTTAAATTCATGGGATATTCAGAAAATGACTCTATAGCAAATGAAGTTTGTTTAAGTGTACTGAATATTTTATTTACTATGATTAAAAATGGAGATGCAGCAAAATATTTAATGAATAGAATATACGGTAATTAAAATCATTCTATAAATAGATGATAGTTTAGATTCAAATTAAAGAGTAGGTTATGTGTGCAATAAAATTAATTCCATAATGCCTTTAGTTGGTGATTATATTGAGGCCTATTGGGTCAAAATATTATCATCTAATCAAATTCAATCGAAATTAGAAAAACCTATAATAAAGTAAAGTTCTAAAATTATTGATGATGAAATATTCACTGTACTTTCAACATAAAATCATTTTTGTACAGAAATGACATAATTGTATAATAATTAAAGTAGTGGAACAAGTTTTAATCGATTAGCATGGAACATTTTAGGATATGGAGGACCAACTCTAATACTTATTTATTTGGATAAGAAATGTAAATATCTATTATTCTATGAAGTAAACAATCTTCCAATCATATTTGGTGCTTATAATCCTAATCCTTGGACTGATGGATTAAAATTCTAAGGAGATTCTGGATGTTATTTATTTTCTATAAGTCCAAGTTTTAGAACATATTGTACTACTGGTAATGGATAAAATTATGCTTATTTAAACACAAAAAATATTGATAGATCTAAATATAAAGTGGGATTAGGATTTGGAGGTAATTCAGAACATACTTCATTTCGTTTATGGATAGATGATGAAATTGAGAATAGATCAAAAGTTGCATCTGAAGATGACACTTATCATCCTGGATATATTGCTGGAGAAATTGAAGGTTAGATAGGGATTGTATTTATTGAAGTTTGGGGATTAGGAGGCAAATAAGCCTTAATTTAATAAGAAAAATATAGATAGGATAGAATGGAAGAGTATATAATAATTGATTATAATATAATAGATTAGAGAGAATGAGGAAAGTAGATAAGAAATAATTCTTTAGTGGATTTGATTAGGCTATGTTTTTAGAAAAAACTTTTGCTCATAGAGATCAAGTTAGGGAAGAAATTGATAGGGATTGATAATATTGAAAGTGTATTTAATTTGTTTGAAATCAACGATTTTTGAAATATTCAATTTTGTCATATTTCTATTTTTAAAGCATCCAATTATGATCTGCTTATTATTTCTAGATTATTGATTTTATAATACATAATAATTATTTGGTTTATCATAAGTTTTAAGTCCTACTTTTTCAAGTTCTTAATGTAGATTTGATAATTTATCTTCATCTCCTCTTACTGTAATATTTCCAACATTTTTAGTTCTTCCTGAGTTTATGGGATTTTTCATTTAAATATCTGAAATCTAAATGCCTTATTTTAATAAAGATCTTTTTAAATCTAAAGTATCAAAATTATTATTATCTGTTTAAAATTCAATAGTAATTTATTTTGATTTATTTAGTATTGGTTATGATTTACCTAAAGTACAATTATAATTTTTATTTATTTGAGCTCCATTTAATATTGAAGGAGATTTATTATCACGTTATTTCTCTTTTAATGGCTATTCAGGTGGTTTATAGTCTTTTGTTTATTAAATTCCATCAAAAACATTTGATTGATGGAAATATTTATTTTGCATAGTAAAATTCATTCTTGAAGGTGATCCAGCAGGTCTAGGAGAATTATTAAGATTTGTATTATTGACATAATTTCTAGCTTATTTAGTCATACAATTTGGATCAGTTTATTATGTATCAGCACTTCTCTTATACATGTAATTATCATTAGTAACATGATAAAAGAAATTGGGAGAATGATCTCTTCTTGGAGATTAACCCTTATTCATAATTGCTGTTATTTATATAATTTTTTAATTTAAATATCATCCATAAAATTACTTCAATTTTTCATTATTTTATTACAATCTATTTTCATAATTCTTTGAATTTGATCCCAATCTAGATTATTAAAGTGATGAATCTATTAAATTAATAATATATTTTACGTATATTCAATTAATTATGAGGAATATCATATATTGATTGATAATTCTATTTATTTTATGGAACTGTTTAAGAAATAATAGGATTCAATTCTTATTTTTTAATATTTTATTTGAATTATTATTAATTCTAATATTATTATTACTATTATTATTATTATTATTGATTCTAATATTATTATATTCCCTAAATCTTTTTATTTTCTCTTATTTATTAAGTATAATTTTCTAATTCTTCTCCTAAATTAACTTAATGAATTTCAACATACTCTCTTAAAACATCATCTATAATATAAATTATATAATTTACTTATTTTATCAAATTTATCGTTATGGATACATATATCAAACATATTTTATAAATAATGCTTTAAAGCATTGTCAATATCAAGAGATAATCCTTCTAAATCATGATCTTTCTCTTCAGATAATACAATTAAACATGATTTTATGTATTTTTGTGATTACAATCCTTTTTCTTATTAATCTAATGAATTAATAACAGTATTGAGTTTATGATGCAATTCTTTTTTTTCTCCAGGATGAGCAGCCTAATTAATTATTTTAAATATTACTTTATGTTAATGAATTCTTTTTTATACTTCTTTTTCTAATTGATCACAGTAATCATTAATCAATTAATGAAGATTTTTCTTTACTTATTCTATTTTTCCATGAATTGATTTAATAAGTTGAGAATGTTCTCCATCTGAAAAATGATGTAATATTTCTCTTTCTCTAGAATATTTACATAAAATATACTCTTCAAATTTAATTTTTAGATTGTGAACATCATTAAATAGCATCTCTCTAACACTATCAACAGTATCAATATAAGCAGGTGTTCCTTATTGATTATGCCATTGAATATGTATTTTACAACATTCTTTACATAAAGGCTGAAATATTAAAAATGAACTATACCTCTCTACATTCATCATGTAAACAAAATAAAACAATATCATTGATTGAATGTGTTGGACATTTTTCATATGTTGGAGCTAATTATGGTTGTTATTGCATAACTGAAAATTTAAATAAAAATTATTAATTTATCTTAATATGATAAAAATAGTATAATTCTTCTTAAGTAATTCTCTGATATAATCATATTTGTATAATAAAATTAAGATAAAATGAGATTTCTAATATTTTATGATTGTTATCATATTATAATATCATTTATTTTATTTTAGAGAACCCTAATTTGCCACTTATTTTATTTTCTTCTTAATTTATTCTTGATTCCCTAAATAAAACTCATCTTGATATTACAATCTATCATTGAATTATATAACCAAAGGAGTTGCAGTAGGAATATTCAATTCAAGCAGTTCTGTTATAAGAAAGATCACTTACATTATTCAGACAGCTTCTTTATGATGCATAATAAAGCTCGTAATGAATTGCTATGACCAACCACAAGAACCTACTTATTTTAATTTATATCCTTTGCTATACAATCTTCCCAATAGGGTCTGACTCTTATTGTTACATCTTCAAGACTTTCACTATTTCCATCTAAAGATTAAGGAGGTTTTTAAGAAAATGATCTTCTCCATTGTTTAATTTGTTCTTCTCCATACTTTATGGAAGCTTCTTTTTTATTCATGCCTTATAATATTCCATAATGTCTTTCATTTAATCTCCAACTACTTTTTTGTGATACCCATAAAGAATTCATTGTTTCTAACATAATATTAGCTGATTTAATGGATCTCTTTAAAATTGATGTGTGGACTACATCGAAATTATGATTATTTTATTATAATAAAATAGCAGCATGTTAAGCCTCTTGAATTCCTTTTATTGATAAATCTACATCCAACCATCCACCAAATGAATTAGTCTTATTTAAGATACTTTCTCCATGTCGTATTAAAACTAATTTCTTCATGGTTTCAGATTTTTTGTTGATAAAAATATTATTTTAAGAAAGGAATGAAGTAATAAATTAAAAGTATGAATTAATAATTGTGATTTTGGGAATGATTTCTCTAATATTAGAGATCATTAATAATTAGAGTTGTTTATAATTTAATGAGCAATCAATAGCTTTAAAAATTGATAAACAACACTTTTATAACCAAAAAGAGAGTTTCTGCTGGGTCTTTTGGTGTAGTATACTGTGGTCAAGACATCAATACTAGAGCTTTGGTAGCCATTAAAATTGACAAAGCCAATAAGGAAGACTCCAGTCTAGAAAGAGAAGTAATTGAATTATCATGAATTAATAAGGCAGAAATATTAAGAAGATTGTAAAAAGTACCTTAGATTCCAAAGTTGTATTGGGCAGGAAAAGAAGGAGATTCAAACATGCTTGTTATATAATATTTGGGAAGAGACTTGACACATTATCTGAAAACATTTCGTAAGTTTTCATTACGATGTGTACTTAATATAGCTGAACAAATGATCAATATTTTAGAAAACATTCATAGAAAGTAAGTAATCATAAATTAAATATGTAGCAAAGTGTTGCATCGAGATATTAAACCTGAAAATGTTCTAGTGGGAAAAGAAGAAGAAGAAAATCTACTTTATATAGTTGATTTTGGAATCAGCAAATTTTATAAGGATGAAAATGATTCACATATGTAAAAATGAATCAGTAAAATTTAGTTCCTACAGAGAAAATCAACCATTTATTGGAACTACAAGATATGCTAGTATTAATGCTCATAAAGGTACATCTTTAAGCAGAAGAGATGATTTAGAATCCTTAGGTTATATGCTGATCTTTTTATTAAAGGGTAAAATGTACCAATTTAATATTATAAAGGTTAATTACCCTGGTAAAATTTGTAATACACAGATGAAGAAGATAAAATGCGTTAAGTTGGTTAAATGAAGATGAAAATGGAAATTAGTGAACTCTGTAAAGGAATTCCTATTGAATTTGGAAGATTTTTAGAATACATTAAAGCTTTACCATTTAAAGCAGAACCTAATTATAAATATTGTCAATCACTTTTTAAAAAAATATGTTAAGAACACAATTATTAATAAAAAGATATAATCTTTGATTGGGAAACTGGTCCTAAATCAGATAGGAATGATGATAAAAGAAAATAAACTATTGAACCTCATTTATCTAGTAGTTAAAATAGCAATTTAGTTAATAATAAACCATCATTGTAATTTAATAAATTTATTATTTCTTAGATTCAAAAAATCAAAAGAAGATGTCTCATCTAATAATATTGGAGGCTCTCTACTTAATTATTCTCTTGAATAATTAGAGATGAATTCATTACTCAAAACTCCTGAATAAAGAAAATCCAATTTAACACCTGATATTAATAGAAGAAAGAATAGAATGCAATCAGTAAGTAGTTATAATGATTCTCATTCTGAATTGGAAAACAATGGAAGTATAATGTTAGGAATTTAACCAAGTATGATAAGTAGATTAAGCAAATTATCATTTAATTCATTTTCTAGAGTACGCGATAGTAAATAAAACCTAACATTGACTCCAGAATAAAGAAAACCACATAAACAAGAAAAAAAGTTAACTATTACTCCAAATCCTTACATAGAATAAATTCCTGGTTAAAAAAAGAAATCATTTATTAAAAATTCTAACTCATAATAATAATTATCAATTAAAAAGGAAGAAGTTGAAGAAACTATTAGAGATTTCTCTAAAATGAATGAAACTGATGAAGGAATTGAACCTAAATATATGCTTCTGAAATAAGCATCAGTAAATGCGTATGTAAATTTTATTTATGATTATGTAGACGCTTCAAAAAATCAATAAATGGGTAAATCAATAAAATGTAAAAATAGTTTTGATATTTTAATGTTTATGTATTAATTTAAATAAGAATGTATTTAATTTATTACAATTTATTTCATTACTTTTGAATATGTAATGAATCTTAAATATTAATTAATTTTCAACTTTTGGATAAAAATTACTCTATTTTTAAATTCTTTGATTAGCGGTACTTTAGTTTTTATGCCTTTACATTTATTAAAGGTTATATTGCATAAATATGATAAATAATTGTCTGATAAATAATATACTATAGTCTATTAAAATGTGATTAAAAGAGTTATTGACTGTGGATTGCAGTTTTGAATTCCAAGTTATCCAAAGCTATTTACTAAATGAACTTCTCTACATTAATTTATTAAAATTACAGAATTTTCTTATAGAGGGTGCTTAATAAAGGAAAAAATTTAATTCTAAACATAAATTTTTTTTTAGCTCAATGAATAAATAAGTAAAATTTAGAAGCTTGGTTTGACATCGTTAACTTTTTTTTAGGAGATAAATGTTGATTTTTAGGTAATTAATTCATAAATAGAGCTAACTGATATTTACTATGATAGAGTATCCTTACAAAAAAAATTTAATATGTTTTGTACTCTCTTTCTATCAACTGTAATTTATTTTTATTAATTTTGTATCATTGGATTTAGGTTCTATAAAATGAAATTAAGCAGAAAATTTATTTCCAAGAATGCCCTAATTTATTTTTAAAATATCAATCAATTCTCATTCATTTTGTAAATATTTAATATTTCTCATCGAAATTTTTACTTTAAGAATCTAATTATTATATTATAATATTTCTAAACTCTTGAATACTTTTGAATTAATACTTATATTAATCGTAATCATTATTCTAGATCATAAATCATCTTAAATTCTTTTTCATCATCATTTTTGCTTTACTTCTTTCTTTAATTTTAATTTTAATTTTTTTATTCTTTAATTACTATATTGTATTATATTTTAGATAACTAACTAAATCATCTATTTTATTTTCTTTTATAAATTAAAATTTTAGTGATGCATATTTATTTCATAATTTCAATAATAAAACAATAATTTAAGGCGTTGAATTTAAAAATTTATTTTATATTTAATATTTATAAAAATCATCTTCATTTTTTCATTTAATATGTAATTTCATTATGAGCCAAAAATTTACATACGTCATTAACAATTAAATTTGAAAACGTAACTTCATCCTATTTATCAGAACTTAATATTTATAAATCTTTAAAGTCTTTTTTAAATTCAGCAATCATCATATCTATATATTAATTTAGTTTTAATATTTTAAACTTAACCTTTATATTTTATAATGTTCTAAAGATGCTCTCTTATTTTAATCCACATGGACAGCCTTCAGGAAAATTATCCCAATAATTACTATATTATGTTCCATGAGGAGGCGCATCAGCTATTAAATAGAGCAATTTTTCATAATTTGGATTCCATTTTAATTTTAATGAGGCATCTAATCCATCCAAGACAGCTTCTGGATAATCTATTCCATTTTCTAAAACTATTTTATCTAAGAACGAAATGATAACATTATCTGTAGTGAAATCTTATATATCAATAATATTTTAAGATCCATCATAAGGAGTCTTGTGATCCTTGTAAGAAACAGCAGCAAAATTAACTTCGAGTTGCTTACCATGAACATTTTTTTAAGCTATACTTTTTTGCATTATATCCTTAATTGTAAGTTTACACATATCTATATATTTTCCCATTGATAATGTAGAGTCTATAACAAAGGTTACATTTATCCCTTAAATTTAGTTCTATAAATGATTTTCTATACAAGAAAATGAATGAGCACTTATTTTATCATCATTTGTATGCCAAGCAGAACAATCACAAAATTAATAATTAATAGTTTATTAGATACATAAAGGACAAAAGTAATTACACTTAGTAATAATGTCTAATTCATTCAAGATTGGATGGACCCAATTATTTAATTTCCAAAAGTCTATACACAAGACTTCATCAAAATTCAGATGTTCAAATTAAACATATTTTTCTTTTGAATGCCTGGCTTTATATTAATTTTTCTTTTCCAAACAATTGTAACCTCCTAGACATTTAACTAGATGAAAATGAGATCTTCCTCTTCTTTTGCAGCTCTAATCGCATGATTCTGGGGCAGAACTTTCTCCAATCTAATATTTTCTTATTTATTTCTAATCTTAGATTTCTATGTTGCCCTTATTTCCTTCTTATATTGTAAATATTTAATTTTCTTTATTTCTATGTCTATCTGATGAATGAGGTCCTTGATGACCATATTTTTAATCACAATAAGTATTACACTCAGGACATTATTAATTACAAAGATGAAATTGCTTTTCTGTTTTTTCCTTACACAAATGTTTTCCATCATGCTAATGAATTTTTGCTGGTATTTGTTTTTGGCATATTTATTTCCCAATATCCTTAGGTATATATTTTGTATATTAGAATTCTGATAACTAAGTTTTCCATGTTGCTTAAATTACCTCATATTCTAATTTGCATATCCCATCTTCTTAACATTATTCTTGACAATAATGTACATTTTCGCAAAAATGGTTATCCTTTTATTTGGAGTGTTGATGTGATTGACAACATCTTCTTGGACATAATTTACAATTATGGGTGCAAGAATTATCTTAACAATCATGATTCTGATAATGAGGATCTGAACGATCTTTCTTACATTTTTTATCACAGTATTAACATTTTTCCATGCAAGGATGATCATTTTCACATTTATGTTATAAATCATGTTTGAAACTTTTCATACACTTTCTCTCGCAATTAATTACCTAACAAACTTCTTAGCATCTATGATCCTATTTTATACATAAATGTTCTTCTTTTTCATCATGTCCAGCTTTATGATCACATATTTAATTAGGGCATATTTTACAATTTTAATCACATTTGTGACTCTCCCTTTAACATGAGTGTACTTCAAATTATAATTCAACAAGTTTCTTTTTAAAATCTTATAAGTTTCTTAAATCTTATTCAAGTAATACAAATTAATTAAACGTACTGAGTTAGTTGCTTAATGAGTCTTTTTCTCCTTTAAGAATTTAGATTTTATTTTCAAATTGTTATATTTTGCTATACACATCTGATTATGGTAAATTTTTAACAGGTTAGAATTCATTAAATTTTTACAATTAAATTTCTTCTTCTTGTAGTGTATTTTTTAGGATTATATATTCGCTTAAATTCTCTGAAAAAATCTTTATTTAGTCTAATCTTAAATTTAACTTATTTATCTACTCATCTATTAAGGCATTCTTATTTTCCAGTTCCATATTATTTTATAAAAACTTATCTATTTTATTTTTTATTGTTTCTTAATTTTGCTTTATTTTACAAAGTTTTTCTGCTTCTAACAATAATTTTTAGTCCAAACTTTCTAATCTTTCATCAATTTAAGAAATATCTGACTTTTAACTTTCTAAAGTAGATAGAAGCTTATTCATCTTCAGTTTTTCTTAAATCTTTTAGTTAATATTATCAATTTTATTTTTCATTTATTCAATTTACTCTTTTAAATCATATATCTAAACCTTGCATTAAAGCACTTTTTCTTCTTTTTTTTTTAATAATAATTTTATTATTTAAAGCTTAGTTACATTTAAAATTTTTTCCTAATTTTGATTATTAGTTTCAAAATATTCATTCTACAAACATTAATTTTCCTAATTTTACAAAACCATTTCTAATTAGCTAGTTTAAATTTCAATATCATATTTTTCTATACATTTATTATCAATTTAATCTTATTCTTACTCTTTTTATATCTATTCTATACATTTATTATCAATTTAATCTTATTCTTACTCTTTTTATATCTATTCTATACATTTATTATCAATTTAATCTTATTCTTACTCTTTTTATATCTATTCTATACATTTATTATCAATTTAATCTTATTCTTACTCTTTTTATATCTATTCTATACATTTATTATCAATTTAATCTTATTCTTACTCTTTTTATATCTATTCTATACATTTATTATCAATTTAATCTTATTCTTACTCTTTTTATATCTATTCTATACATTTATTATCAATTTAATCTTATTCTTACTCTTTTTATATCTATTCTATACATTTATTATCAATTTAATCTTATTCTTACTCTTTTTATATCTATTCTATACATTTATTATCAATTTAATCTTATTCTTACTCTTTTTATATCTATTCTATACATTTATTATCAATTTAATCTTATTCTTACTCTTTTTATATCTATTCTATACATTTATTATCAATTTAATCTTATTCTTACTCTTTTTATATCTATTCTATACATTTATTATCAATTTAATCTTATTCTTACTCTTTTTATATCTATTCTATACATTTATTATCAATTTAATCTTATTCTTACTCTTTTTATATCTATTCTATACATTTATTATCAATTTAATCTTATTCTTACTCTTTTTATATCTATTCTATACATTTATTATCAATTTAATCTTATTCTTACTCTTTTTATATCTATTCTATACATTTATTATCAATTTAATCTTATTCTTACTCTTTTTATATCTATTCTATACATTTATTATCAATTTAATCTTATTCTTACTCTTTTTATATCTATTCTATACATTTATTATCCATTTAATCTTATTCTTACTCTTATTATATTTCTTCTATACATTGATTATATAACTCAGAATTTTCGAAATTTTTAAAATTTTGTTCTATTTCTTTCTGCTTTAATTCACATTATTATAGTTAATCATTTATTAATTTCTCATCTAATCCTTTTAATTCTTAATTTAATTCCATAATTTTTTTCTCATTTCTTCCCATTTTTTTTGATTTTTCTTTTTCTAATTTCGATCTAATTTCTTCTATATCTCTTTTTTTTTTCTTAAGTGTTTCGATTTCTTCATCCAATTAATTCTATTTTTCAAGATATTCATTTATATCTTACTCTAATTGATCTAAATACTAAATTTATTCTTCTTCCTACATTTTTAATAATCTTTCTAATTCTTCAGAATTTTTTTTAAAAATCAACTCTTAATCTTCGAGTTCATATTCAATTTCTATTAATTTACTATTTTCCTCTTAAACTTTTGATTACAAATTTGGAATATTAATATCTTAACCAACAATCTATATTGTTGAAATTTCATTTTGAACCCTTTACAAATCCTGAACCTTTTTTAGTTTTTACTCACTTATTTTTTTCATAGTAGATTAGATCTTATCTTAATTGGTTTCAATCTCCCTAACATTATCCTTTTCAATAATTAAATCTTTATTTAATTATTCAAGTTAAGCTTTTTATTATTAAATTCTTTAATTATTCTGCTCTTTAGTATTTAGAAGTAATGGAATTTCATTGAAAAATAGATTTTGTATGCTTTCCATATACTCTAATGTAGCAGTTTGCAAACTTTCATTTTGAAATTAGGTCATTTAAAAAACGCTTGTGTTTATATATTCTCCATTTGAATCATAGAAATCATAATTCTTTAATGCATCTTTTTCCTTTAATAGTTTTTCCTTAATATCAATTATTTTCTTTTAAATTATTAATCCTTCCAAAGTATATTCAGCTTCTTTTATTTCTTCTTTAATTTAATCAATTCTTTCTCTCTTCTCTTATTCTTGTGTTTTATTTTTTATTTTTGATTTTTTTTGTTTATCTTCTAAACTATTTATAGCTTCATCTAACTTTTACATCAGTGTTTAGGATATCTCAATATGATTTTTGAATGATTTACATTGTAAATGGCAATCATTACATTTATCTTCACAAAATTAGTACTATTTTATTTAGTCTGTTAAGAAAATTTTTAACATAGACATATTTTTTTCAATAATCACTTTGACTTCTTCATTATTAATACTCTTTGTTTCTGCTAATGCTCTTTATAAAATATAATCTTTTCTTTATTCCATCATTAAATTAAATTGAGTTCTTATTTAGAGCAAGTTTTTATTATGAGTTGAGATAGTATCTTCTGTGATTAGATTTTCATATAGTTATTTCAGTAAGTCTTAATTGAATAAAATATGTTAATATTCTTCAAATTTAATAAACTTATATTAGCTTTGAACTAATTTCAAATTACTGTCTTAAAGATCATTTGAAGAAAAATTATACCATAATTCTTTACTATCTTCAAAAATCTTTTCAATCAATATTTGCAAGTCTATCAAGCTGACATTAGTATTATCTGATAATTCCAATTGACATAGCAAAATTTTCATTATTTAAATTAATTCTCTTCCACAATTCCAGTGATTTGATTATGCAGATTTTTATAAAATATAATTTCTTACTGAAGAAATTTGTTCATCAAATAATTTTAGTTCATAATTTACTAATGGTTCAACTGCAATCTTATTATTAAATAATCTCTTTAAAAATACTATCTCTTCTGTTCCACCTTCTTTTAGTCTTTCAAGATTTGTTAATAATTCTTTTTCTGCTCCTGAATTATCATTTGAACTTACATCTCTTAAAACAAAATATAAAATTCCTTTAAATAATTTTTCATCATTTAATTACTTAGATGCTTCAACTAAATGATTGAACAAATCATTGAAATGCCTATTAAAAGTTAAATCAGAATTTAAGATTGTAATATCACATAAAGCTGTAAGAAATGCTAACATTTTTATTTCTTCTTTATCTGTCCTAGCTCCATTAAATAATCCTTCACAATCTAAGACTAAAAAAGTTTAATCTTCTATATATGCTATACTTCCCCAAACACCATCAGTACATCTAGCTGATGAAACTGAAAAACGAGTACCAAATACTCTATTTAATAAATAACTTTTGCCTGATGATTATTTTCCTATAATACCAACTACAAATATCTTATTATTATAATTAGACAAATGATCTTCCAAAAATCCTAAATGTAATTATTTAACTTTTTAATCTACACTTATTATAGTTTAAGTTTAAGATTGTTGTCTAAATCCATCATTTAGAGGTATTAAGTTACTATTTTCAATTGTACATAATTATAAAGGAACTCTAGAAAATATGATATCTTTTATTTATTCACTTTTGAATTCAGCAAATTAAAGCATTGAAGAACTCAGTATTATTTCATTTACCTTCATAATATTCAAATAAGATTCCATTATATCATAATATTCTTTATTAGCATATATATTAATATTTCTCTTCTTTTCTTTTAATAAAAATTGAGAGTTTGGACCAAATTTAATAAAAGATCCTTTAGCTATATCAAGTGCAGGATTTCCGATTGCTTTTTTTTCTTAATTTTCTTATTTATTAAATTTTTTTTGAGAAACTAAATTGCTAATGATTTTTGCAGTCTTTGCTTTCTGATCACTCCAATCAAGTTGACCTAAAATTATGACATCTGAAAAATTAGCAAATATTTTGATTGGTCCATCTATTTTAATATAATCTATTTTCAAGCAATTTAAGTCATATCTATCACAACAATAGAAGTTGGCAAGATAAAAGTATTTTCCACTAGGACAGGCGATTAGTTAATTATATTTGTAATCTGGGTAAAAAGTTGCTTTGAAGTCTTCTTGTTTTATATCATTTTTATTTTATATTTTGCATTTCACTTTTTCAAAATCTTATCCCTAATCTTGCTATTTATAAATAAAACTATCTGTTGACAATACTATGAATTTATTCACTATCTTAAGATATGCCGCATGAGAAACATTAAAATAGCTTGAGAGCTCATGTTAATAATAAACCTATGATTCATTTTATATTGAACCTCGAGGTGTTATTATCATTTGCAAAACTTAGTGTTTTTTAAAATTAAATATATACAAATACCCTCTACTGTAATCATGAAAGTAAACAGCTTATTATGTATCTTTAAAATCTAATTATTTTATTGGTTATATCTAAGTTGTTTTATATATATGGAAATATATGTGAGTTTTACATCCTTTATTAATATTTTCTACAGAAGTTATTATATAAATGTGAGCTTTTTCTTTTGTTTCAAAAATATCCTCAATTTTAAAAGTGGAAGATTAGAGCTGCAAAAAATTTCCATTTAAAATTGTATATTATTAATTATCTATTTGAGAGATATTCAAGACTTTTCCTGATTCATTTTCATTAACTCTTGATAATTTTAAACTGATTCTCTCCACTTCATAAGATGTTTATTTCTATAATTCATTAATTATTTCATTTTTTTCATTAGAATATTTTGATTTAATTCCACTAATTTTTTCAACAATTTTATTCAAAAAATAATCCATTTCTTTTGCGAAGGTTTCTTAAGCATTTTTATCGATTAATCCATAGTTATAAATTAACACTCTTTTATCTGTTAATTCCACTGTTTATAAAACATTATTTACTAATTATTCAATTTTCCTCTTTTTATCTTCGTTTGTGTTACTCTTATATTATGATTTCAATACTTTTATTAATTTTTCTATTAATTTACTTTTGTAAATGTTAGCCTCCTTTTCTAAATCATCTGATAATTTATCAAGCAAATTTTTCAAATTTTTGCTCTAGTGCTCTATTTTAAAAATTTTTATTAATTGGTTAATTTACTTTTAATTTGTATTTAAGATTTAAAGCAATAATGATAGTATAAAATTGTTGAAATTTTCAACAAAGATTTCTAATTCTTACTAACTAAACTGAAGTTTCCTTACTCTTGTAAGTTAAGGAGATAACGTCTATGAATTAATGATTTTGTAATTTGTAATATTTTTTGATGACAAAATCCATTTACAATCATATTCTTACATTTAATTATTTTCACTCTCGGCAAAATAATACTCAGTTCTTTGCTATATTTAATTAAAAGGAATTATATCTCCTTAATACCAATTTTTTTTTAATTTTGCATCATTAAAGCAAAGTTAAATATTGTCAGTTAAATCTTATAATACTCTAAAAAGTACTATTTCAATAGCTTTTTCATTGATGGGTTTAGTAACAAAAAATGTTTCAGAGAGAATCAAACAAAATATCATAACATTTTCGTACTTTATGGCTATTAAGCTACCCTTCTCAGAATGACTTAAATATGATTACAAGTTCACAATTTCATTTATTTGCAATTAAATTTCTCTTTAAACTTCTTGATAGGTTCCAAATAAACCTTTGACTTAAAGAATTTCATTTTATATTGTAGAATAGAATTATTTAGTAATATTATTCATAAAGTCAATTTTTTCAAGTTAAAAATCCTACGCATCATCTGTCTTTATAGAGTAGAGTAAAGCGATTTGAGCAATTGAGTTACTTTAATTCATATATAATATTAATGAAAATTAATCTTAAAATTTTATTTTAAGTATTATTTAATAGAATTAGATTAATTTCTGAATAATTGTTGAGTAAATTTAAAATTTATTATTATAATATTTTAGGATATAAGCAAAATATATTCAAACATTGTTTTAAAATAAGAAACATAATAATTTAATTTGAATTATAATAAAATCATTACAATACTTTCTAATTCTACATTTTCATTTAAAATTCTATTAGTCAATTTGAAAGTTTGATGGATTGTATTTGCTTGAATTCAATATTTTCACAGTTTAATTTCATCCAAATAAATATGAACAAGTTTATTTACAGTGAAATAAATCTATATAATTTTTCTCAATCAAAATTTTCGTAGAAATTTATTTTTTATTTCTACTTGAATTCAATAATCTAAAGGAAAACAACTAAAAAGATTCTTAAAAAATAGAATGATTGAGTAAACTTTTGAAATGTGTAATTATATCCATACTAATCGACTTTTAATCTTTATAAAACTGTTTCATTCTGTTTTCTTATAATTTTTATAATGATAATATTGTGATTTGATAAAATAACAGTTGAAAATTAATGTTTATACAAAGAATAAACGTTGGTTATGAAGGTTAAGATGAGAATATTGTGCTAATCTTGAGAAAATAGACTGGGATATACAGTTTATGATTTAAAAACATAAGTTAACTAATAGTAAGAGCAATAAATTTAAGATTAAACCAAATCATCCCAATTTTGATAATTTAAATTTATGATGATTAAAATAATAATTATTTTCTAACCAATATTAAAAACAGAAAAATAAAAATAGAATTAATGAAAATTTATCATTTAAACAAGATCCCTGTTACTTGAACAATTCTAAAAAGTCCATTTCGAATATTAGAAATAGCATTTTCATTCTTCTTTTTATATTCAATTATCTCACTAAATCATTTTTTTTTCTATTATCATGAAAAAGATAAATTTTATAAGTACAATATTTACAGTTTCTAAAATTGATCAAATTCTCCTTCATTAAAGGTTTTATAATTAAATAACTTAATTATATCAAACGAATTTATGGGTTTGGTCAGGACTGGCCTAATACTGCCTCTAGGACGCCAGTATGTCAGGACTGGCCTAATACTGCCTCTAGGACGCCAGTATTATGGTCGGGGCCATATAAAAAAGCTGAATTTGGCAATCCCCTGTTTGGAATAGGGGATTGGGATTTATCCCTGTTTTAAAATCCTTTTTTGCCATTTTATGGTAGGGAATTAAAATTAAATAATATTTTTCGCAAAAAAAATATTTTAAAATCTCAAGTTTTTGAATCGCAATTTATGATTTTTAAATTACTGAAAGAAAATGAATAACTTCAGCTTGCATGAAAATCAATCATTCATGGATGCGAGGTCAAAATCTGGTACTGTAAAAAACTATGATGATGAACTAATTATAAAAATTGTTATCGAATTTCGTTGAAACTACTAAACCTTAAATGGTGAAATTAGAAAATAAATACTGTTTATCATTTTATCTACTTATTTTATAAATAAAAGATATATATTTAGTAAAAATTGTTATCGAATTTTCGTTGAAATTAGAAAACTTGTAATACTGAAATTAAAAATATGTAATATTTATTAATTTTTATTATTATTTCTATATGATATTTTGAAAAGTTGAAAATTGGACTTAAGATTGTAAAAATTTCAACAATTAAGGAAACATCTCATTTTCATAATGTAAAGTACTCAAAACACATAATGCATTTTAATAAATTCAGGAAGGTAAGTATTTTATTACTTTGTAAAAAATTGTCTCCACAGCATCTTTGGTTATTGATGAAATTAATAAAATAAGCCACAGAATATTTATCAATTACTAAGATTATCCTATAATTAAAGTCTAATATGTATTATTTATGAATAGGATTCCTTTACCCATCTTTTAGAAACCATGGAAAACAGAATAAAACCATTTGCTGTTTATTTAAGTAGTTGATTAAAGAATGTTAAATTACATCATTTAATGCATTAAGAGTTAAGATATTCCTAATCTTTCTTAAGGAATTTTATTTTATACTTGTTAGCTGAACTTTATTAATTATTAGAATTCTGAGTGATTTAAACCAATTTTTCTTTTAGAGTTAAAGTAATTATTTTTGTAGCTTTTGCTTCTTATTTAATCTCTTATATTATCCATTTCTTGATTCTGGTTCCAACAACCGACTCCTCCCACCTTACTGGCTATATATTGTAGTTTTAAGCTTCATCTTTTCCAAGCTACTTTATTTCTCCAGTTAACTTGAGAAAGTGTAAGATTCACTAATGTCTGTTATCCAATGTCCATATAACTCTAACATATTTAATGCTTGTTAAGAAATAATCAACAAAAAGAGATGAGATGTAATCTGAGCTATATTGAAAAAAATTAATTGATAAAGTAACAACTATTGCCATTTGATTTTGCTCAATTATTTATATATAATTGATAATATAAGGAAGATTTGTATTAGTGAAAACTAATGAAGTGTATTTAATGTGAGCGTATTTAAATAATAAAAAATCATTATTTTGCTTCTATCTATCAATTAATATTTTCAAAAACATTGACCTTTCATAATAATATTTTTTTCTAAATTTCTTGGAATTATCCACTTAATAGTGTGAATTTACTTAAACAATTACTAGTGAACAATAGATCACTTTCATCTATATTGAATAATTTTTAAATAGATGGCTTAATATTGTATCATGATTATTATCACATTCCTAAATCTTTTATAATAACTATAGCATTAACCAGTAATTAAATCCACAAAAATTATATCCAAATGTAAGAATACAAACATGCGTACTGCTTTACTTAATAAAGTCTCAATCTCGTCAATAATTCATATATTTGTCTGTAATTAAGGGCATCTTGATGTTATCAAACTATCGTCTGTTAGATTAACTTACTATTAATCTAGGGTCTTGTTGATAATTAGAGAAAATTATATCTAAATAATAATTCATGATTAGATTACTTAAATTCAAAATAAATAAGCTTAATTCCTTATCAAATAAAAAAGTGTGACTAAATGTTGAGCCTTTTTTTGTCCTATTCCTAAATTCTAATGCTACAAGAAAATTTATTATGATGTTTTCTTTTAGAGGTTGTTCTAAATAAATAATTTTTTATAAAAAACCTCCAACAGAATATTTTTAAATACATCATGACCCAAAAAAATTTATACATATATTTTTATATTATTATTATTTTCTAATTATCCAATGAAATAAAAAAGAGATTGATTACATATTTAAGAATTCACCTGTGAATACTCACTTTTTTATTAGGTTTTTATCCTTCTAGTAATATTTTAGAATTTAAATTTATATATATTATATATTTAATATTGATTATAGAAATGTTTAACAGTCTTTATCATTCCAAATGTAAATTGTAAATTAGTAAAATCTGTATTAATACAAGATTAATTTATTATTATATTAAACTATTTGATTCTATTTTTCATGATAGATTAGTACTTAAATTACTTTATTTTTGATAATAGAGCAAATAGATGTTTCATTAAATTCAGACGTGATATCTATTTTTTTTAATAATTTATTCGTTACCAATAAGAATTTATTGTATTGAATATCAGTATTTAAACATTTTATTTCTAATTATTTATTGTATTCCACCAAGGTATCTAATATTTGACAGAGCTTTCGAAAAGTATAAGACTTTATTAATTTACGGCATACATCTAAGTTCCATTAAAGACAAAAAACATTTTCTTAAATTTTGTTTAATGAATAGATTTTTTTTCATCTATATTAATGGATAAGCCCCAAATATTTATTTTTTATTATTACTCTGAAATCCAATTTCTGTCCAATTATAATTATTGTGGTTTTAAAATTACAAAAATTCCTAACAAAATAAAGTTATAAAATAATTGCTATTTTGATTTTAACATACTCCTCATGTTTTGATATATATAAATAAAAATATTAAAATTATTTGAATAGATAAAATGTTGAAAACTGCTAGATACATTTAATATAAATTAAATTTTAGTCTCAAATTTTTAAACTTCATATTATAGAATCTGGGGCTGTTATTTAGGTTAAAATTGTATTCAATGGAATGGCAGTTCTCTATCAAATACTGCTAAATTAAAATTATAAAGATTTTATTGAAGTAGTTAAATTTAGATCAATTCTAACCTTCAACAATATATTCTATGTGAAGACTCAAACTTAATTTATTTTAGTTTAAAATTTTAGTTAGAAAAAAGATTTACTTATATCTCTTTGATTACGTATAATTTTATCAATAGAATTTCAATTTAAAAATTAAAATTAAAAAAATGGTCTTACATAACAAATTTTCAATTTTACTTAGGTGGAGGTATTCTGTATACGAAGGAATAGTTAAATCTTCAAAGATATTAACATGAAAATGACAGAGTAGAAATTTAATGTTCGATTTATCATTCAATCGATTTATGTTAAAATCATAGATTCTTTCAGATTTTCAATTAACAATTTTCAGTAAAGATTCACCTAAAAATATTTTCTATTTAGGATTCCTCATCTAAATTCAGAAGTTCTATTATTTACTAAAATTTGCTGAAGCCTGCTTAATCTGATAATCTAAGCGTAATTAAGAGGTTATATACTTATAAAATGAATTTAGTTTTTGGAAAAATATATGAAATTAAGCAAGGAGTTTTAAGAGTAGAATCTTCCTATTGGAATAATAGCTTTAGTATTTAAATTTGTAAATTTAGATATTTAGCCAAAATGAATTGTATCAAGTCCTATATTAAATTAAAACTTTATGGAATGTTAGATATGTAGGGATATTATTTAATTGCAATAATCAATATAATATTCTATATAGGCTGGAATAATGTCTACCTTAAATAATCAAATGGTAGATATTAAGCATTTTCTTGACTTATAATAGTTTATGAAGTTTAAAAATCCTGCAAATTACCAATTATGATCTAAAATTATTAAGAATGTTGTACTTTACATATCTGGAAGCTTAGGAAGATCAAATTTATAAAATTGCACAAAAAATTTTCATTTACATTTTTATATGTAATAAATTTTAATTATATCTGTATTTTAGCTGCTCATATTTATTATCATGAATGCAAGTTTAATAAAATTGCAAATAGGAATTATTTAGTTTAAATATATATATATAATTAAAATAAAGTTAAGATTTTTAAGAGACAATTTGTAAGAGTCATAATTTAGAATTGATTGCTGTTGATTTAGACATGTCAGATAAATCATAAAAAAATTTTTTTTTTGGTAAATGTTTAGTAGATAAATTAAATAATAATAAAGTGAAAACTATTGAATAATCAAAAGAAAGAATTTAATAAATTAAGAATTAATAATAAGAAATTAAAAGTTAAGAGAATCAAGCAAGACTTAATTATTATAAGAATATTTTAGATTAAATTATGGAATTTAAAAGATCTATAGGTGATTCTTTAGAAAAGATAAGTAAATAAATTTAATAATACATGTTTCCAATCTAAAAGGAAAAAAAAGAATTATAAGAAAATTTAAATTAATTGAATTATTTTGAAGATATCATATAATTATCAGAATTATATTCAATAGATTAATAAAAATCAATTAAATTTATAGAAGATAATATATTTATAGATGAATTAATAAGATAGTTTGAATTATTATTTAATAATGCTGAATATTATTAAACTTTAGACATATTCAAAAATACAAAATAAACAATTTAAGATATAATGGAAAATAATATTATTGAATTGCTACCATTATTATAAACAAAAAATGAATTTGTAAATAATTATATATATAAATTAAAATAGAAAACACCAAGTTTAAGTAGAATTTGTTTTAATCATAAAAAAGAAATAATAATGATTGATATGGATATTGAAAATAAGAAAATTGAAGATAGATTAGTTTTTGTTGATTGTATATCTGAGAATCCATTAATTAAATATTAAAAAATTGAAAATGTAAATAAATTATGGATTGATTATAATTCATAATCTGAAAATATATTATAAGAATATAAAAAGGAAATTAAGCATAAAATAATGAATTATTCAATTAAACATCTTAAATGAGAAAAAATTATAATTTAAAATTGAATGAAATTAGTGATAAATTAATTTAAAGGATTTAAAATAATTAATAGAAAAAGAAAAAGTCAATTCAAATTAAACTATAACAACTTTAAAAAATAAAGATTCAATTTTTTAAAAAGAAATTGAAAATTATTTAGAATCATTAAAATAATGTGATTAATTAGATATTTAATAATCAATAGATATACTAAAAGAATTACCAAGTATTAATTTATATATATATATTTTTATATTTCAAAGAAATGTAATTGTATAATTATAAGAAGTAATCTCTTAAATATCTAAGATTCCATCTACAAATGATAATAATTATTAAGATTAAGTAGAATTTATTATATAAGAATTCATTGATTAAGCTAAAAAATATTAATGTTAAATAAATTTATTTGATTAGACTTTAAATTATTTAAATAACATACTAATAATATAGATTAAATATAATCAAAATTTTAAAATAAGAATAAATACAAAATTAATATTAGAATCTATCAAAATTATTAAATGATTATATTAAAACATTTGATAATAAAACTAAATAAATTAAAAAATATTGTAATATTTCTAAATTGGAGATGGATTTAATAAATTTAAATGAATTAAATTCAAATTTAGAATTTTAAAGTAATTTAATTAAATTAATTAATAGAAACAAATATATAAAATCAAATGTCAAAATAATTAGATAAAAAACATCAATAATCTTAATAATTATTAAAAGAATAATAAGATAAATGTATTTTCATATTTATATTATTTTTTTTAGATTAAAAATAAATTGATGATATTAATCTAAAATTACAATCAAATGAAAAATTAAATTTAAATTTAAAGATTAATTTGATTTAAAAACTTAAGAAATAATCAATCTAAAAAATTAAAATGAACAAGATAAATTAAATATTATTAAGAATATTGAAGATTAAAGTATTCAATATAATTATTATAAATAGAAAACAAAGAAATTACAGAAATTATTAAAAGATTAAATTAAAAGGAATCAGAATTACAAACAATCTAAAAACAATTTGATTAAATTAATCAAGAAAAGTTATAAAAAGAAAAATAATTAAAATTAGACTTAGAGAAATTTTAATATAATTATAATACTTAATTAATAATAGATTTAATAATATCCAAAAACATTATAATTTTGTGTTACTTATAAGGGTGTAAATTGTTAAGTAACTGAAGGTGGAAAAGTTGTGAGTGTACTGGTGGTGGTAGTAACTATTATTGTCTTTGTGAATAAGCAATTCCAAAGGCTGGGAAAATATTGTTTGCATTCTAAATTCTCAGTTTAACACCAAATATGGGTTTGGGTTTGGGCTAAATATATAGGTAAGGGAGTACTATACTAGATTTGTAAGGGAGTACTATACTAGATTTATAATAAATAATAGTATAGTCCTACTTTAGGTTGGGGATGAGGCAAATGGTTCCAAAAAGTTGCGCTAAGCTTTTTTTGTAAAAATGGGGGTATGAGTAAATTTTTGAGAATTCAAAAATCGTGAAAATAGAGGTCAGGGCAAATTTTTCATATTTGAAAAATCGATAAAATTTCAAACATTTCTTTATAAATTTTTCCTTCACAAATTGATGAAAATTACGAATTTTTTTCCTATTATTTCTTTATTAAAAAAAATGAAAAATTATTACTTAAAAATTTATTTCTCTTATACTAATTAATGAAACTAATCGAAATTTATGTACTTGATAAAATTTTTCCATATACTTTTTTTAGTGTTTTCATTTTTAGAAATTAATGAAATTTCTGTTTTTATAAGATTATTCCTTTTTATACTTTTTTTATAAGATTATTCCTTTTTATAAATACTTTTTTATAAGATTATTCCTTTTTATAAATACTTTTTTATAAGATTATTCCTTTTTATAAATACTTTTTATAAGATTTTTTTATTTTTTAGAAATTAATGAAATTAATGAACTTTTTATAAGATTTTTCCTTTTAAAATTTATTTTTTTTTTTTAAATTGCATTCTCATTTTCTAGATTCTTTAAATATTTTTATATGATTTTGGAAAAGTTAAAAATAGGACTTAAAATTGTAAAAAATTTGAAAAACAAAGGAAGTACCTCATTTTCTTAAGGAAAATGTCTTATAAAACATAAGGAAATAATGCGATTTCAAAAATCTAAGGGGGTACCTCAAG